TCCTGTTCCTGATAGGGCGGGACAAATTGCTCTGTTATCTTTGTTATTGGTCAATAGAGATTTGTGTTAAAGAATACAAACAGGAGGGAAGAAGTGAACATGCTTACCTTTTGATAATACATGTAGAACACATGGAAATAAAGGAGCTGTGAGTTTTGAAGAGTAGAACTAGGAAGTAATTAATATGCAACGAAATCTCTAATGTCACAATTTAATGCTGGCACATTTTTTTGTATCCTAATTGGATCTTCTTAAGGGCACAGTGTTTAAATAAAAGGAAACCAAATTGATATTGTAATCATGCAGTAACATGCTGATCAGGTTTGTGATGGCAAGTGGAGTTTATCCCAAAACCACCAAAAAATAATTGACAATTAACATTTTAATACTAGATGATTTAATTCACATCCACCAGTTAACGCTGATCCTGGGTCTGGATGCAGCTCCTGCGTTTGTCTCTCCTGGTTTTTGCTGCTCTTTTGTTTTTCCTAAGCTAAACCACATGGGGATATGATAAGATAGATTACATTTCTCATGGAACAATATATAGGGCTTCTTACTTTCATTGTTTTCCATTCTTCCCTGTCCATTGTAATCTATTTGATCAAATGCCCCTGTGGTTTGGGATTTAAATTAAACACAAAGAGCAGTAAAATGAGGATAGCAGAGCTCAGAAGTGAAATCCTAAAAGATGAGAGCATCCCAGTAGCAGAGCATTTCATAGTTGGATCACTCTGTGTCCGATCAGATACATTGGCATTGAGCATGTTAGATTTCAGAAAGAAGGAGCAGATTTAAATACATTCTTATTTCAAAGAGAACATTTTTATATTTTCACTTTTCAGATCCACACACCGAGGTTCTGAATCAAGAGTGTAAGATCAATAAGCTAAGGATCAGAGAGTGGGAGTTTGTAGACACAATTTCATGACAAGAAATCAAGAATCCTTCATTCCTCTTTTAATCTAATTCAATAAAATGTAGTTGATGAAGATTCTGATGAATGTGATGATGAATCAGATACATGTTTGAATGGCTTTCTGCACCACAACCATCATACAGCTTGTCTCTAAATGTCACTTTTGTGGCATTGAGTAAGTGTGCAAACGTACCTTTATCCATTGACACTGTTTTCTGATAACCTTGCTCGCAGGTGACGCGTGTCCTGTTATAACTCTCCTTTAACTATTTGATTTAGTTTTATTTCTCACGTGTTATGTAAGATTGGTGTATTCAGTGCTTCTTGTGCCAATGTTGTAAAATCAAAAGATAACAATATAATGACATTTAAAAGCCATTTTTTCCTCGGCTAATGTATGAAGGTGGCAGGTTCAAACAGAGCCTTCATCATACCTCCCTCTCTGTCTTTGTAGAGATGTGTGCACAGTGCAAACATCAAAATGAATCACCTGACATCAAATGAAGGGCAGGTTTGAGAGTGTAACACCCTCTCTTTTAAGTTTTCCTCTGATAAAATTCCAATTAACACCAATCCTGGGTGACAAGTGAGCAGAGGCTAGGGTAAATGGGGTGACATATGAGGTGATGAACTTCAATAGACACCTCTGTCAGTTTGTGACGGACAAGCATTGCTTTTCCCATCTGTGGACTTTCCAAGCCGACCACTGTGCCTGCTGCTGCAACTCATAAAGTAAATTCCACTTTGCTTAGTGTGACTGAGCTAAACTGGAAGTGACATATGCAACCATTTGGTCCCTGCGTCCGCCTTTGTCACACATCTGTCTGCATGTTGGGATGTTTGATGTAGCAGACTGCCAGGTACTGCTGCTAAAATGAATTGCTAACGCTGCAGATTGAAATGATGAGCATCAGGCGGCGTGTGGATACATCTGAAAGTATTCAGCCTCAGGAAATGACTGCTCTCATCCTATTCACCTTCCCTTGTTTGAAACACATAGCAACATCCGCTAAAGAGTGCTTAACTGAGAATCAGTATTCCAGCTCATGCTCTGCATATACGACTGAAGCAGGATGAATTCAAATGAGGACAGAAAATGTGGTCCCATGTCACCCCGGGTATAATGCAGTCTCAAGCATATCAGGGTGCCCCAGCTGTGACCATGCAGTCTTATCAATTCAAAGCCATGTAACCCTTTCTACACACTTTTGCTCTTCCCCACAAACTGGAAAAATAAATGCCAGCGATACTTTTCCTTCCTCAGACACTAAGTAGAGAAACGAAAATAAATCGCAGTTATCTTTAAGGTCACAGCAAGAAATCACAGATGTTCCTGTTCCTGATTGTAACATGGCTGCATGGAGTCTTCTTGCACACACAGATAAAAAAAGATTTTTTTTTCTGCACTTGGATAAACATTCTCTTGGTTGTTGGACCTTTTTCCTGCAGACACGCAGTTCTTTTGAAAACATAGGAGAGAAATGTCCTCCTTTGTCAAAATGTTATTATTTGAGTCGGAGAAAGGAGGACGGCATTACTCATGATGACTCATGTTTAATGATTGTAGAACAAATCTCTTGTGAATATGTCATTACTTTAAGCCTCCAGTCTCCAAATGAATCCAGCGTTATTTAACAAACACACCTCTGCTCCAGAGTAGAATCCTTTCGGCTTTGCCCTTTCATGAGTCAAGGATTAGAGTCAGCATTCATAATGAGAACAAGTAGGGATCCAGGCGGATCATTTCCTCATTGCACAAAAGGTCACAGATCAATATCTCTGTACAAGTTTGAAAAAGGGATTTTACCTCTGCGGAAGAGAGGGGTGATTATCTGTTGATAATCAATAATGGATAACCACCTGTGCCATGCAGCCATAAAGGACACTTTTAACAGCAAGCAGAGATGAAACAGGTGACCCTGACATTGTTTCACAGCGCACCCTCTGAAAATCAAAGGAGCTCGTGCATAAACAGAACACCTGCAAAGACCATCTTAAATTGAAAACCTTTTAGTTTTAAAATTGGCAATAAGATACAGAATTCAAACTAATGCTCGAACTGTGAGAATGCATATGGATAACATGCTGTGAGCAAACATCTTTACACTTAATGACCACCTTAAACTCCCTATATTGCATGTGAGCTGCATTACATTTACATTCACAGCATATTCAGCTCCACCTATTACATTTTTTATTAGAATTTGAATAAGCATGTGAAGAATTAAATTAATCATGCACCTCATAATTTACTGTAATTGCCAAAGTAATTACAGTTTACCTGAATACAATTACTATTCCAGTTCTAATATCATGTTAAATGTCTCCATATATGTGACAGCACTGCCTGACCATACTTTTATGGACGTCTGGATATAAGGGATTTCTTACAAATGTGCACCTTTTCCAGGATAAAGGTTCTCCATTTAATTCTCCATTTAATTTAATACTATGCTTTCCATAAAGGGAAAATCCACTCACAGGTTCGTCCTAATCTTCTGGGAATTCACAGGTTTATTTAAAGTCAATTTTCTTTAATCCCTGTAGGTAATTGAAGGTATAACAGCTCTTTAAAATGTACGCATGTTGCCTGCAAGCCATGGCAACAGGTCTGGTGAGACGGTATCTGCAATTACATGACTAATTATAGCATCAGTTGGAGCTGGAGGTGAATTAATGCCTGGTGGCTTTCTCTAAGGGTGAAAAGCCGTTCCTGTGCTGTAGGAAGTCTTTTAAATCAAAAATAAAATCCTTCTAGGTCAAAAGTGAGTCAAAAATGTGGTTTAAACTTTCTACTGAACAATTCGACTTAATTAAGAAAAATCTATGTCACTTATATTTAATTTTCAAATGTAACCACACAACCGTTTGGCATATTCCATAGGACAATAAGCTTATAAACTACTAAAGCTTAATTCAGAGGATAAAGCATATCTACTTCTCATAAAGATTAGTGTGCAAACAGTAGCTGTTACCATCCAGCTGCAGCTGAAGCATCATATCAGCGCATCTTCGTAAATAATGTTAGATCACAGCGCCCCCCTCTGGTCAAAGCTTAGTGTGTGGACATGGAGAATGACGATTGGACTTTGTGTGTTGATTGTAAAATGACAAATCATCCACAAGAGTCTGACTGTAAATCTCCGGGAACATTTCATATATGTTCTTCTATAGGGAGAGAAAAAGCTGACAGTGTGTTGTTTGAGTTGCAAATGAGTTTTTGATGGAGGGATGAGCATGCATATCTAAACTCCTTGTTCCATCTTTATATACAGAACATATTCTTCTGAGCATCCAAGTGTAAATACACACCCAAGTAATCTGATTATCCACGCCAAAGCCTTCTATAAAAACAGTTGTGGCCCAGGTTTTGGAGGGAAAAAATGGCACATTTATCCCGGAAGGTTTTATGTTTCTCAGCTTTCTGCCATTCAGGCCGCACTTGTTTTCAGGCATAAGGATTAAAATCTCTCTCTCCCACGTGGGTGCCGAAAAAAGAAAAAAAAAAAAAAAAAAAAGGGATCTAGGAATCTGAGATGTCTGCCTCCCGGGGCTGTTCGTGCCAATTTATTCCGGGTCCATCTTATTTCCATATATTGCTTCAATTGAGCCTATTTCCAATTTTTGGGGAAATGAGGACAATTTCTTACCTGGCTGCTGAAATCCATTTGGGAGCTGCAGACTGAACAACCAACAAACCCTGCTCGTATGAATATTCAATATATGTTTATGCAGATATGATTTCATGGAACAGCCGAAATGACAGAATACATTCAGAAAATAGCTTATCAAAGTGTACTCAAATGTGCATGTGCAACGAATGAAATATGCATGACAAATTGGCTTCAGAGCACACAAAGCAGGCAGGTCCTCTGAACCTTTGCACAAAAGCTCATTGAAATTCCTTTCATTATGACTGTGGCACTACAGAGAAACAGAGAATGAGAGGGACGGACAGAGAGAGATGAGTATAATGATTTCTGATTACAGAAGCAGGGAAAGCTTTGCACCATGTACCGGAATATCATTACAAATAATCATGCGATTTCACAGCTGAAAAAAGTAAACAAAAACACCGGAAATGAGCATATAGTCATTTTATTTACAAATGTTACGGTTTGCCTCAATGCCATTCAGTATTATATATTCTTTACACGAAAACCTGCTTGTGTGTACAATCCTCTATCTATCAGTGAAAACTCCAGACAAGTGCTATCCAAGCAGACGGTTTTAAATAGGTTTTGCAAGAATGCTAATCGAGTCATCTTAATTACTTTTCCCTGTTACAAACAAAACAAACATGTTAATACCACAAGACTGAGCGGAAATAAAAGCATGTGTAAGAGGAAATTGAAACCTTTAAAACTCTCTCAAGATCTCTAATATCTTTATAAGCGAAGGTCATAACAAAGATCATAAACAATCTTACAATTGAACGTATTGACTAGTTTTGTGGCTTAAACATTTAATAACTCTGGCGCATGCGGAACCCTTTCATTTTGTAATACTTAATATGATATAAACATTAAAGTAGATAACTTCTTTGCAAGCTTACCCTCTCCATCACACACGAATATAATTCTCATCAGCGAGGCAACTGAGATTTTCATTAATGGAAATATGTCCATACCAAGTGTCCCAGCTATTTGCAATGGCTTCAATGTTCACTTAAATGTTCATGGGTTGTTGTCACAAGTAGTCTCTTCATCGATCTGCTGGAGGACAGTCACGTCACATAGAGGTTGGCTGGCCTGAAAGGAAACAGGGATATTACACGTAAAGGAAGCGGAAAATAAAACGTCATGATGTCGATCAGATTGATGCTGGACTCACCTTTATGCCGGATGTAGCAGGAGTTACAGTGGAGCTGTTTGTTTCGTATTCTGACTTCAGCCCCAGCCTCCGATCCCCCGAGTTCAGACTTACAGTCGATGCACTGAGGGAGTTCAGGAAAGGCAAAAGTTTAAGAGCTATTCAATAGATTTAAAGCTAGACCAAAGTGACCAAGTCCAAAGGCGGAGGGATGACAGAAGCCCCTTGATTTCATGTATAGAAAGAGAAGAATTGAGGAAAAAGAAGAAATGACAGTCACAGATTTGCAGGAGGGATCTCTGGAGACCAAACGCAAGAGAAGACCAGCGTTCTGGGAAGAATCAACAATCAAAGGTTGGTAGTAAGAGACAAAGTGAGGGAGGGGTTGATTAGTTTGGCTTGCAGGATTTGGCACAGACAATCTACTTTGCTCAGCTGAAAACGGATCAAGACCTTGAGGATCACCAGGTTAGTCATAAAAGGAAAAGAGTGATCATGTTAGCGCTTGAGGATCAGCCGAGGAACCCAGCTCTCACCTTAAAACAGGTCAAATGATAACAGAGCCCGAGGGACTCGATGATCATGGCTGCTCCCTTTCCCAGCGGGGAGTCACAGAACGTACAGATTTTCTTGCCACTCACTGACCTGGATTACAGAACGCACAGCTGTGATTTGAGAGCGTTCCACACATGCATGACGCATGTATGTATGCAGACACACACGCAAAACTCATGTTTACACATGACACGGCACACAAAAGGGTTACAATGAGAATTCATCTGTTTGCTTTTGATGAATATTGATGTTGATGTTGAGGGCCAATCATGTCCCCCGCTAGAGGAAACAGCTGCTCGTTGACAACAGCTCCATTTGAAACATTGTAAAGAAATACGTAGATATGTTTTTCATTAAATAGATTGTTCAGTCACCTATTAAAATGCATCAATTATGTGTCCTATTCTTGTTTACAGGAATAAAACTATGATGAAGTTATTATTTCAAATGTTGATATTTAAAGATCTGGCAACCAAACATTGGATAGTATGAGCCGCTGATGCTATGCAACACATGAACACAAACTCAAATTATTACTGTACTGTAAGTATGAACGGAGTTTCTGTAAATAAAAACAGGATTGTAAATGATTGTCAACCTGTCAACTGTAAAATGGAGGGTAAATGTAAGAAGGACATGAAACATTAAAAAAAACATAATATTGTAATACATTAAAAAGTAGAACAAGTGAAATCAGATGAAGTTCAGTTCCCCTTTCCCACCAATTACTTCCCCATACACAGTTATGTTTTCACAACACCACCTGGAGTATGAATATGGAACCCAGAATACCAGTGAGAGTTTAGAGGCAGCTGTTGGGGGGGGTTAGGCGAAGCAGAATTGTTAATTTTACCTGCTGCGCTGCTGAGGGGCGCCTGCCTCTGACGTGGGCTCTGGAGAAGTGGCAGGTGACGGAGAGGAAGGAGAAGGGGAAGAAGACTGCCGGGACCAAGGGGACGAGGGGGGTCCTGCCCCACCTCGGAGGGAGCCCATGGAGTAGGAGGAAGGCAGGGTGGAGGAGACAGGACGCTGGGCCCCAAGACCACCACCATAAAGGGAAGGGCCACCAGAGTACGGCGCAGAGTAGTTTGGGACGTGGGAGGCGCTTCTGGGAGTCCATGAGGAGCGCCAGGAGTTGTAGGAGGTGTCCAAATTGTCAAGAGACTCACCTCTGCAAAGCCAACCCACACCACACCCACGTTAGCCCATAAGAGGCATTTAAAATGTCTGGCTACAAACTTTGGAATTTATTTGAATGTTTATATATTTTAGTAATGGTCAAATTTGCCAAATGAGTTGTAGCCAGACTTCTAAATGTTTTCATCCTCACACATTATCAGGACATTAGTGAAAGGCCAACCACCATCATAACACAACAGGGTTACTTTACTCTCATACACGGTGGGGAGACTTTACCTGCGCATTGAGGGTGCGTCGGACTCCTGGGTGGTGCCGATGGCGGCTGAGTTCTGGCGGATCCAGCTTTTGTCCCTCAGCATCGGAGTCTTCTTCTTCATCTCGTTCAGGATCTGCTGGCGCTCCAGCTCCGACTGGGACTGGTTTCCCATCCTGTCCCCCACAACACCGCCTGTCACTGCACCCAGAGAGGAGAGATACACTTTAGAAACTGAAAAATAAATCATCACTGGTGGAGAAATTGGAGAAGGAACAAGATTGTGATGATGTTGATACGATTTCCCCAGTCTTGATTTGACCTTTTTTTTTATTAAGTGCAATGAAATTATGGAAGCAGGCTGAGAGAAATTACCCTGCAATCAATGAGTTAATTTTTTTCGCTGCCTGTAATTTTCTTGTTGGCCGAACAATTGATCTACCAAATGATTGTTAATCAAACCGTTTTGATTCGGTGAGATTTCATAATTGACTGGTCATGATAATGAGACCTTTCTCCGGCTCTCTGTATCTCATGGCATTGAGGATGTTCCTCCTCTCCATCTCCAGCTCTGATGCAGCCCGCTGACTCTGGGCCTGTTGACTCGCATTCCTCGCCTGCTCGTCCAGCAGCCAGTGAGCCATGCCCCCCCGCTGCATATAAACACCTACAGCAGATTACAGCCCACATATACTGTATAATATGTACACGTATGTGCAACAACATGCATACATCGAGTCCTTTTTATAACAACCAGCATAAAGAGAAACACATTTGAAACCAACATTTTAATGTTCTTATATTCCTGGTCTCATGTTGTTGTTGCATTTACATGGAATTCATCAGTTTATAACTAATGGAGAGTATATTAAATCAAGAAAAGGTACCTTTTTTCTGAGGTTTTTCCTCTTCATCGAGCTGGGGAGATGATTGAGATTTCGTCCTGTCAAACAAAGGAAAATACCAGTTGGAGCCAGATTTTAATAAATAAATAACAAATAAATCATTTTGTAAGAAGCCATATATTTTCCAAAATGTTTGTTGCCTCAAGTTCCCAAGTGTTTATGAGAAATAGCACAGTTAATAATGGTTATATAAAGAAACTGCAGACCAATCACAGGCAATTTTCATCTCAGCTGGAGACCCAACCACTTACTAGGGGACTTTGAAATGTAAGAAAGTCTACACAGAGACATGTTTTTGAATGATTTGGTTCAAATAGAGCCAGAAATAGAGTGTGGTAAATACTTTGACACATCAGCTATGCAGTAAATAGTTGCCAATTTGTATATGTACTGAGAAACGTTTTGTAAATATAACAGACGAGAAACAGGATTTACTACCTGTGATGTTAAATGATGGACCTGCTTTATGTGTTTGTCCGACTTGTTCTTGTTTGACGTTTTGCAGTATCGAATGCTTGTGAGAAACCGTTTTGGTATACAGAACTTAAAAAAGGTGAACCTGGAGCTAAAAATGTGGACATTCTAACATGAAGGCAACATGAATTAGTTTAGATATCAAATACAACTATTAACATTGAATCACCCCTATCAAGCAGAATACAGACATTTATTAATTGGGTTATAAAGTAGTTGTAAGCAGATTTAGAGAATTGTATGTATAATATAGATAAGACAAGATAACTCTATCCTATGGTATGAAGACATATTTGTATGTATAAATTACAACTGTGTTTTACCAGATCGTTATACATTATACAGCAGCCTCCAGTGTCCACAGAAGGGGTTTTGGTTGGTGACAAATACATTAAATAACACTTATATCTGCTTAAAACTACCATTTATTAAAGTATCATATACTGTAGTGCTCATAAATACTAAACTTGAGGACCTAAATTAAAGTGTTGCCAATACAACCTGTTAAAGTCATTATTCAGACATGTTATAATACAATGTAAGAGATAGTTGTTATGCATTTTTTATTATAAAACAGACAAGTCAAATCAAGCAATCTGATTGGTTCTTAGCCGTGATATACTGAGCGTATACCACGGGTAGAATTGTAAGTTACTTTTCACAACAAGTCAGTATCCCTCCGCGTCTGAGAAAAACAGTATACAGTTGGGCTGAAAAGCAAACTGCTTCGCGTCGGGCCGAACCACGCCCCTTAACTGTGATATAATGGCCATATACCACAGCCTGTCGTGAGCTATTGCTTAATTATAATATGGTATGAAGCAAGCAGGTAATATTAGCACAAATAGCTGAATACAGAAAGTAGCATTATGTTATGACTGCAGATGCACTTTGACAAAGGCAAACACAGTCCGTCCTGTACAGTACTGACCTGTCTGTAAAGGACAGAGACGGCTGGACATTGGCAAAGCCATGGGAGTCACCAGCCCTTTGGTAGTGTGAGGGAGGGGTGAGACGAGGGTTACAACACAAAGCACATGCAAACACATTAGTTGCACTTATGTTAATGCACAGACAGAAAGCAGGTTATGTTTTCTACTTAAATGTGTTATTATCAACATGATGGACAGACGAGTGTTAGTGTTTCCAGGAGGAGCGGTGTCTCTACTGACCACTGCTGCTGCTGCTGCTGCTGCTGCAGGGCTCTCTCCCGCTCTCTGCGCTGATGCTCTGCAACTTCCTGCCGCCTCCTGTCCTCCTCCCTCTCCTCCTCTCTCCTCTTCTGCCATCTCAGCTCTTCCTCCTCCCTCATCTTTCTCTCCTCTTCCTCCTGTCTTTCTTTCTGCTTTCTCTCCTCCTGAAGACGCAGCAGCTCACGCTCCTCCTCATCCCTCTTCCTCCTCTCCTCCGCCTGCCTTTGGCGCTCCTGCTCCTCCGCCTGTCTTTGGCGTTCCCGCTCTTCCTCCAGCCTTTGGCGCTCCTGTTCTGCTTTCCTCGTTCTCCCTTCCTCCTCCCATGAAAGAAAGGCTGGCTGGTTGAAGGGGGAGACGGGTGAGTGTGGGCTGAGGCTGTGTCTGTCCACCACCAGGCTCTCTGGCTCCTAGGGAGAAGGAAGGACGGAAAGAGGAAGCACATGAAGTCGTTTAACCTCCAGGAGGAACTGCAACAACAGCGGAGAAACTCATGTCACCTCTTGAGGTGACAAACCAGCCTGTTTTGAAATTCAAATTTAGGGGGATTTTTGTTGCAAAACTATCAGCGGGAAATCTTTTTACCATTTTGGGAAGTATAGCCAGATATGTTGTAAGTTGAATCCACATGACTATACATTGTTCTGCTATTTATTGACTTGTCTTGACAAAAAGGACATTTTCAGGTTTTGTTAATTGTGGCTCCACTGTGACGTGCGTTAATGTTCAAAAAGTGCTATATTTTTCTGAAATAAACAAAGGAGACCAATCGAGGCGTCTGGTGCTTTTGGATTTTAGCCTTTGCAGGCCATTTACATGCACACAAACCTATATAAGATTATACAGGAAAGGGAAAACCCCAAAATGCATAATAGGGCCTCTTTGATGTGAAATCAACATGCTATTTACAAGCCAAAAATAATTGCTTTAGAAACCCCTCTGTGGTTTTTGATGTTAGGCCGTCATTTATACACGATAACATGTTTTCCTTACCTCTTCTTCTTCTACGCTGTCGGCCACCTCCTGCTGAGCCTTCATCCACTCCTCCTGCATCTTCTCCTGGTCGCGCTTATATTTCTCCTGGATAGGAAGAGCAGGAAGGGAGGTCAAAGGTCATCCACATTGAATATACATGAATAGTCGCACACACAATAAATAAAGATAATTATGGCCATATTGTACAGCAGGAAGAAACAGTCATACAATAGAAACTAAAAATACTGTAGCTGTATTAAATTCAAAATATTCCAAGCTACATGTTATGTAACCACACTAACAAGTTATAAACCTAGTGAAGCTTGCCCAGGGCAGGAAGTCTCCCTGGCTTCATGAAATCAGGCCGTGTATTCAACAGGGATTTAGATCGGAGGAGTAACAAGCCTTCCCGGCTACAGCGCTCTGTTTGGACAACTTTGATCTCCATCCAGAAATAGACCCTCCGAAAATGTTTTGACAGTATTGTACTACATAGAAGTTGGATACTCTACAGATGCTTTACTTTCAGCTGCCAAAGCCCCGTAGGGTTTTCTGTTTTGTGCCTATTAGGAGCCGCCAGCTTTGATTGTGAGGACTTCCTAGCATTTCAAGCTCTGTGTCTCGTCCCTTTTTGTCGGATAAAGGGTTTGATCAACTTCAGTGTCATTTAAGTGGGTGTCGTTTTTGGTGCTGCTAAATTGCAGTCCCACAGACTCGATATAGTGCTGTCCTTGTAATCAGAAAAAGATTCTTGCAAAATGCAAAGAAATGATAATGTGTCTTACACGGGTATACATAAAATAAAACTAAAAAAGTTATTTATTTGATTGTTTAGTTGTTTTGGCTTTAATTGGGGGTAGTGGTGGTCTAATGGATAGTGAGGTGGGCTGAAGATCGCGAGGTGAGGTGGGCTGAAGATCGCTGAAGATCGGAAGGTTGTGAGTTCAAATCCCGCCTGGAACACCACCACTAGTGTGCCCTTGAGTAAGGCACTTAGCCCTTAGTTACTCCACGGAGAATGTCCCTGTAATTGGTAATTGTAAGTCGCTTTGGATAAAAGCGTCAGCTAAATGTAATGTAATGTAATTGTATTTTATTCCAAATATTCACCTTGAGTATTTTTATTTCATTGTTTGGGGATTTTACACAACTTTTAAGTGTCTCTCCCTCAGTATAACACATTACATTCATTGCCCTGCATTCATTTTTTAGCAAGTTGTCACATATAAAGTGGCAGCTGAGTGCACATTGTAACATACAATGATGTCGTTCTATACGAGTCTGTCTTTGTGTACCTGAAGGAGGCGCTCCTGCTCCTTCTGCCATTTCTCCTGTCTTTTGCGCTCCTCTTCGGGGTCCCAGGACCAGCGGCTGGAAGGAATGATTGGGGGAACAAGAATCTGCAGACACAGAAAATAAACATGCAGTATAAATGCACTTGCTTGTATTATCAATAGGGCATCAATCATTGAGGCTTGTGACGTCATCAAACGTATCTATGCAACTGACCACGGATACAAACCGGGTGTATACTAGATGTTTCCTAAAACCTCTAACTATAACCTGATTATGGCTTTAAAGCAAAGAAAATATTCCTGTTATTTTAATACAACTGCATCCAGTGGTGAAATGTATTTACTTATGTACTGCCCATTAGAACAATTTTGAGATACTTGTACTTTACTTATCTCCATTTGATTAAAGCTTATACTTCTACTTCACTACATTTTGTCAAAAACATATTGTAATTGCATCTTCACTACATTTTCTGAAAGCTTTAGTTGCAAGTTCTTTGCAGATTTATACTGTTATTTCAAAATCTAACATCAAATAATATATTAGTATGACATTTTAAGGGTTAGGGTACCACACAGTATACAAAGTAATCATATGATATATTTAGATCTCAAGTAATTCTGTAAATTGGATACTTTTGCTTTTTGTTAAATGTATGGTTCTTTAGATGATTACGTGTAGCAGAGTATTGTTAAACTGTAGTAGTAATTTTTACTAATGTATACGATCTGACCCCCTAACTGACTTTGCATTATTGTCAAATCTATGGGATCAATTCAGCTTGAAAAGGCTTTACAACATACTTCACAACATATTTTGTTCTCAGACATTTGAGTATTCAAGCTTCCTGCAATCCAAGATGATTATTGGCTGACTTAAACGCTTGAGAAGCAAAGTGAACCAGAAGCAAAGTGGTGCACATGAGATTATAAATAATAGGTCTCGAATTTGAAATAACTGTGGGTTTAAGGATAGTGTTCTGCTATAACAGAAAGCAAATCAAAAGAGACAAAACTTCCATTCATGCACTGATAATACTACTCACATCTGGCATTGCAGACTCTGATCCTCCTTGAAAAGAGAACAATCATGCGATCAATACTTCTGACATGGACAGACAGAACAAAAACGATAAGGTTCACCTGAAGGTCAAATACTGTAGCAACACAGAGTTGACAGGCCTATGAAAAGTTTCTTGATTTGTAAGTCAATTCAACATTTAAAATCAAATGTAAAACAACACAATTGATGTTTTCAAAAGGCATCATTTCACCCACTTCAAGTTATTGATTTTCTAAATTCAAGATCAACCACTTGTTGACATTGAGATTGAATTTCAGCCCATACTTGCACATATAGGAACAAGAGCAAACTAACTGGAAGAAAAACACACACACATGAGCAGCATGCATACTTAGGATGCATACAAGTACAGCGCAGACAGTCTGAAAGGCTAACAAACAGTTCAATACATGCATGCTGAAAGAGCAACAGGAATGCTTTTAACTTCATGCGCAGCAGAGTGAAAAGTGTAACCATGTGTTAAACCTGGACACCATCATAAAAACACCACAAACACTAGAGCATTCAAAGAATGGTATTTGTGGTTGGTACGCTGGCCTGATGTCTGACATGCTGTCCAACTTTTGGAGCTGCATATGTTGTTGTTGCATAGTGTTTTATATTTTCTTCTATACGAAACAAAAACGTAATGAACTGATGGTTTTATACCTTCATCTTGAAACAAATAAAGCTAAGCAAAGTGTGTTTGGTTTGTAAGGAGAAAATTGCCCCAAATATCACTAGACTCCCTTGGTTTGAAAAGCATGTCAGTGTCCCAGATTGTACAAAGCGAAGGTGAGGAAGTCACTGCACACTACACCCTTTTTACCACAGAGGTAGACCAGCGCACTGACACTGGACCCTGAGCCACCTGAAGGAGGGAAGTGGCACAGCACAATGGTTAAGCTCTGGCACCAAACAGAGCCATAGAGGAACCTATTTTAATCCCGACAGCTCATGATCAATTGATAATACTTATCAATTGATCATGAAGCTGTTACTGATAAAATACATGCAAAACTTCCCTGAGAATCAGAAGAATTTGAGACAGTGAGACAAAAGCACAGAGAACCCAGCCACCAGATTACACAGATTACCCATTATCATTATTATTAAGAGCCACCCGCCCCCAATCTTTTTTTCTTTTTTTTTTTACCTTTTTCAAAAAACTCTGACCTCCGTTTTAAGTTTTTCAAAGATATGGGTTCTGACTCTAAATGAGAGATGGAAAACAGTGAGGAGAAAAAAATGTTTTACCAGGGGATAACATCTTATCTTACTAATAAATAGATTATACAAGTGTTGCTCAAGATGTCAAATAATACATTTCAGTTTATGGTGCATCATGTTGTTACACAACACAGTAAATGTCATCATTTCTATCTATTATAATCCAGTGTCTGCAAAAAGTTTCTCCCCGAACTTAGTCAACAAGATTACATCAATATGTGTTCTTGTATTCAGGTCAGAAATAGAAATCCATTTCTGACCTTTCAGATTGTGTGCTCTGCTCTTTACCTTTGTTCCTCATGGTCACCGGCTGCTCACGGAAACCTCCATTAACTCTGTTTGAAGCCACATCCTGCAGGGAGACATGGCAGGGCGCACGCTCATTAAAGGGGCACGACACAGAAATAAAACTTGATCAAACCTGAGTTCATTCTGGGTCACTCACGATGACGGGGTAGGCGGGGGCCTCTTTGGTTGCCAGCTTTTCCATGGAAGTGCGTGAGGTGAAATCCAGGCTGGAGCTGACAGTGTTTGAGTCAGAGGAACCTAGAAGTGTCGGATGATCCATACTGGTCAGATTGATGATCTTATGGCTTTTATATGGCAGGGAAGGTTGATCTGTGTCCCAGTCTGCATGCAGACAATGCAAGAGCGAAAAATAGCATGTGTTTGTTTGCACCTAAAACAAACTTTTCTGGGAGTGCAGAAGTCGTTTGTATATGTGAAACTTTGACACAGAATTGTCTATTTACATAAAAAGTCTATAAAGCAAAGGACAAGGTTGTTGTTATGGTGTTATTATAGAGAGCAGCAGGGTGTGACAGAGAAACCTTCCCCAACCATGCAGCCTATTAAAGCTTCCATAAACCCACACAGTGTTTCTAACAGGCTCACAACCACTGGGCTTCACTAAAGTATTTTAACAAGTACAGTGTGTTAGTGCAAGTGAGCTACTCCGGTGGTTTATTATTATTTGGAAAGTGACACTGACGTAGTTGGATAAGTAAGCCTGTTATACTAACACTGTGAAAACAGAACACTCAGAGGACCTAAACTGGGTTAGTTCTCAATAGGGAAAACACCACAAGAGGAACGTTGATGAAACGGTAGAAGTAGGAGAAAAGGAAAAACATGACAAGAAAAACACACACAGGGAAAAAATGGGAATAAGAACCGCTGAAGTCAACACAATAACAGCCTTCTCTCGTCAGATGAGAAAAAAAAGTTACAGGTCCTTCTCCACTTAGCTGTCAAGAAATCATTCATGGATGATTTCACAATGGTTTACGGACCAATTTAAAATGTCAAAACTGTTTAGCAACGCTCAAAGCATAAGCAGTACTGTCATTCCAGGAATTCAACCCTTAAAGTGGTTCAATAGATTCTCACACCAACAAACACCACACCCACTCACACACTCAGACAGACAGTGTTAATAGGACTCACTGTTCTTGCCATGATGGCGTATATCCATGACCAGACTGCCCTCCTGAAGAGCCTCCTCCATGCTGGACTTCCACGCTCTGTAGCTCATTTCTGCCACCTGCTGCCCGTTCACCGCCAACACCTCGTCTCCCACCTGAAGCGGGCACATCTCCGCAGGACTGCCTGCACGAGACAGAGCAAAATGGTATCAGCAACAAAGAAAGTGCACAGTTTTATCATTTATAAGAGGTCAATGTTCGTGCATAAAACAGTGCTTTACAAAATATTACAGTTTTCAGTCTCACCAGAGTAATCCTTCACATATAGAATTGACAGTTAAAAAATGCGATTCTATATCCACAACAAACATATTTGACCTGACATGAAGGTCTTTAGAGATTCACTTGTGTAAAAATAATTCGGATCACTTCAATACAACAAGAAATGTAATGCAAATAAAAATGTTTTGTTATTTAAGATGATGTAAGATGGACATGTGTGGTCCTCTTCTGCCTTGACCAACATTACTATATTTACTTTTTTATTGACAGCCGTCAATGTTTTGTTTCTTACTAATGCTATTTTGATCTTATTCGTGCATATGTTACATATTTTGTTGTCTTTTAAGTGTCTTATAGCATGTTTTCTCTTAACCTCTACATCACAACACTGGCACACTTAGAGAAATTGTGATAAAAGTGCTTCGTCCTTATGGATAAAGACATGAAAATGAAATGAAACATAACACAATAGCGGGTTTTTCAATGTACATACATCTGTAGTGAACAAATTGACGCTTCAGTACGGTCTAGGTTCAAACAGGTGTCACACAGCTACTGTTGTGTTCATGCATTATTGTTTGGTGTTACAAGTATTAGTGGAACGTAACTAGATTACATGAGATACTGTGAAGGTGGTGCAATCTCAGTAGAAAGAGAGGCTCAGGCCCTGCAGATCTGACCCAGATAGATGCTGCCCTACATAGGTCTGGCGACGCCACTAAAACAGACCTACAAACCTGCTGACAACTACCCAGCAGGGATATAAAGTATAACAGATCCAACATTATATATATCCTATCTGTGTTTACCATTATCAGTCAGATAAGACTAATGCCTGCTTCATCTCGCCTTTGTATCACTGGGAATGTTGGTTGCCAGTTTGGCTGACCAGTACTCGTAATACTGCCTGTGAATAAAGCTCTACACTTAAAATAAAACGTGTTTGTTTGACTGTTTTTCTTTCAAATATCTCTGTTGTTACCTGGCTGGATGGTGGTGACACGAGCTCCTGTCGAGTCCCACACTGCCTGGAAGCCAAAGTCTTTGCTGCTGTTAGGCTTCTGGTTCAGGCTGATCCGCATCTCAGAGTAGTTCTCCTAGAAACCAAACACCAACACAGATGAGAAGAGATGGACAACAACGTTCACACATAGTGTAGAAATGTGGTCCAGACTTTCCATCTCTGGATAGCAGCATGTCAGGTTGTGTGTCTTTGTGTGAACCTGGCCAGCGTTGGCAAGAAAGCCTTGTATTAATCATTTATGGCTGTTCATCAAATGCCTACCTGTTGCTATTTTTTTTTACAGAAATTACCTGGCTAGTTTCTTTGGCAGGAGCAGGACTGACTGGAGTTTCACTCTTGAATTGAGGAGGGACAGGTGAGACACTCTTAGTAGAGGTCATGCTCTTCGCTGTGGTCTTCTCCTCTTCTTCTTCCTCGTCCTCCTCGTCCTCACTGCTGTGGACTGAGCTGGACTGAGATTGAGCCTCGTCCTCAGAGGTCATGAACTGTTGATAGCGGCTCGGCACCGACGGCTTCTTAGAAACATCTGCGCTGCCGTTGACACGCTTCTGAGCGGTGTCCGTCTGTCCGGCCTGAATGCAGATTTTCAAAAAAAGAAAGGAATGATACAATATTGTAAAAATATATATTTGATTAACTCACGGCTTTTAAGTGCAAAATAAACAATTCAAATATGAAATAGATCAGAAAACTGGGAGAATATATTTTTTTTTAAATAGATTTCCACAATCGTCACCTGCGGTCACTAGCTGACCTGAAAGCGCAGTAACAGTAATGAATGTGAGGAAGGATGAACATAGCAGCTCTGTCAGTCGAGTTAGCCTTACACTAGCTTCATCCATTATTCACCAGGTAATCAGATCGGACTCTTGGATAACATTGATGCACTCAAAACAAATAACACCGTACCTGACGAACAACATTTAATCCTGCCAAACAAACACTGTCCCCTCAAGCCCTCAAATGTCATCCAGCCCTTTCTCCTGTACTGGTAGTTTGTTTTTAGTTGTATAAATGTCTAGTACTCACTATGAATGGACGGGACAGGGAGCTGAGGCGGGACGACTGGGTCCCGAAGGGCCTTGCGGTGACAACTGAGGTTATACGTGCGCTATCCGATTTCTGGTAGCTCCTGGGGAGGGAGGCGGAAACATGAGACACCCCGGGAGGCTTGGGTTCCATCGAGCTGGTCTGTGGTTGTTGTTTGTACAGAAAACCAGAGGAGGGGGCCCCCACCTCAGTCTGTATGCGCGACAATGGGCGCCTAGGCTCCGGCACCTTTTGTACGGAGCTAGAAGAGGAGATGACTGTGGTTGTGGTCTCCTCTGTCTCGACTCTGCCTTTGCGTTCTGTGACTGGACTCCACTTTAAAGGTGCAAAAGTTGGAGAATGCGATCTGCGGATACTGGGAGTGATGCTGGGAATCAAAGAGGGGATGAAGGTGGTTGTGGTCTCCTCTGTCTTGACTGTGCTTTTGCGTTCTGTGACTGGACTCCTCTCTAAAGGTGCTGGAGAAGGAGATCTGCGGCTGCTGGGAGTGAAGGAGGGGGTGAAGTTGGTGGTGGTCTCCTCTGTCTTGACTGTGCTTTTGCGTTCTGTGACTGGACTCCTCTCTAAAGGTGCTGGAGAAGGAGATCTGCGGCTTCTGGGAGTGAAGGTGGGAGTATTGGTGGTTGTGGCGTAGCTGCCTGCAGATCTATCCACAATGTCAACTTCCCGTGAGGTGGGAGGGGAGGCGGCCCTGCCAGTAGCTGGGGAGGCAGCGGGGGGTTCGACCTCTTTCAGAGAAGGCTCAGAGGAATGGTAAGGAGTGTCAATAGTGTAGCTCCTGGCAGGAAGGGCTCGGGTACGTGGGGAAGTGACAGGTTTATCAAAGACTTCGTCGTCGTCCAGGTAAGACAGAGATGATATGCGGCTGCCGATGCTGTTCCTTTTATTTCCTCTGTGGCCCAGACAGAGGAGGAGAAAGGAGAAGAGGTAAATAGGAAAAAAGTGGACAGTGATGGGTGAAATAAAGATGAGAAGGGATAGAATTTAGAAAATAAAGAGAAAACGTGACATGAAAATTGAAAAGAGGAGAGGTGGGGCAAAAAGAAAAAAATAAGACTGGTTATAAACCATGATTAAATTACACTTTCACACCGACTGAAGGCACAACGACAGTCTCCTCCATCACTCCTGCACAATAATACTGTGGTCTCTATCTTATACCACAAAAGCTATAATACAAACCTTTTTATTTTATTACCTTAGCAAAGGATCCCCCTCCGAGGGTAAACAAATAAATATTGGAACAAGTTATTTAATACAAATGTAAATTCTAAAGCATTACATCTATCAATAACATATCCTTGCCCTCAATAGCCCCTATGAAGGAGTGCTTTCTCTTACCTCTCCTCTTGCATCTCCTTGAGGGTCTTGGACCTTCTGTTGCCGCTGCTGCTGCCGCTGCTGTACGTAGTCTCCTCTACCTTCTCCCTTTCCTCTTTCTTCTTCACGATATCAGAGTTGACACTCCTGCGTCGGTTCTTCCATTTGCTCAGGTCCTGCAGAAAAAGTAAGCCCAGATCACCTCATGCACCATTTTGTAACAATTCAGCGTCAGAGTCAAGTTAAAAACAGACTTGTTGTGTTGCATGGCTGACTGTACAGCAGGAGGGAGTAAAGTTAAGAAGGAGAGAGAAAGACAAAAAAAACAGAAAGGGCTTCATTTGAAGGTGTTCTATTTGTGTGCTTTAGGCTCCTCCCGGCTCACTTCCCCTGTGTATTCGGGACTGTGTGACCTAAATGCTGCTTAAAGACTCTATTATTTAGCCATGACACTTATTGGACAGTTGAAAGACACACCACTGTCAAAGCAAGTCACATAAATATAAATAACTTTATGTTTCTTTGAATTCATATACCTAGAAATGATCAAATGTGATGGAACACTGCTGTTTAAAACTGGAGCACCACTTGCCCTTTAAAATGTTTTTTTTCCCAGGACTAACTTTCACTGTCAGGTCAAATTAAAATGGATTAATATATTTATTTAATTATTTTGAGGTGTCTGTCTTACATCATCCGTCTGTATAACATCTTAACACTATTTCACATGAATTACATTATTAGTATTTACAGGACGTGGCGTTTCCTGCCTCAGACACTGATTTGGAAATGAGGGCAGTCCAGAGCCAGAGGGCAGTGCTGCACCAATCACTGTCTATCTCCGTCTCTGGCTTCTATCTAAACGGCTCTCTTTTCCCCCTGCAAAGAGAGCTGCAGCACAACACCTGCTCTCTGATCAGCGCACAGATCCTTTCAGATCATGTATCTTTCACTAACAACAAAACTTTCTTTCTGCCAGAGTCAGCTTGTCTTGATTCAGATAAACACAATGGCGGAAACATAAAAGGTAATACTCACATCCTGCCACTTATCATCACTTTCCTTTGTCTTCTCACGAACCTGCTGAAGCTCTTCGTATCGAACCTGCCTGTTGACGCTGGGCTCAACCTGGATATCACTTGTTGATTTACTCCTGTTGAAAGAAAGAGTTGAAACGTTTTTAAAAACAACTAGGATATCAGCAGCTCAAGAGAGAAGCGATAGGGATGTTTAGTATGGATATCCTGGCACAAGCTTCACAAACGGTTAAATAAAAGTTAGCAAAATTCAATAAAATATCCAAATGTCCAGGTTGAGTATGCATGCACCTTGTCTAACCATCACATCAAACTGTACCAAAAAGAGAACACCATTTGAAACAGAAATAATCAAAATAATTCCCACCTTGTACCTCCCATCCATATTTTTGGATAGTGATAATTAGACATTTAACCTGTAACCAAGTGTTAGTTGAAAACACAGCACACGGGTCAACCACAACAAACTGTGGAGGGATGTAAGCTCAGTGGGTTAGTAACATATCGCAGCCCTTCCCCGTCAAGCAAAGATAGCAAAGTCACTCACTGCCGTAAAAAAAAAATGCTCTTTGTCCCAACTCACCTAATAAGGCCTTTTATAATTTGTTATCAGGGTGCTCAGACCAGTGCTCAGTCATAACTCTGAGTGGGACACACTAGTCTAGGTAGATGACCCTGCGTATTGCTATTGTACGCATCTTTTCACTTGATTGTGTTGTCAATAGATCCCTGCAGAGCAATGAATCCCGCCCCCCCGCCCCACCCTGAACTTGGCCTTGTGCCATACAATACCCTGTGTTGTGTGTCAGCATTTAGCAGCTAGTGAGTGAGAACAGCAGCACAAAAGCAGGGGGCAGCGAGGTGCGACTGTAAGAGGCCAGAGCAAATGCAAACGTGCCACATTCCTGGGAGCCCGTATCAACTCACCCGTCGATACTCTCTTGCATTTGGTGCTGTCTAGGGAACCAGAAAGAACCACACACAACAAAGTCACATTTTTGCAAAAGAGGCTAAGTCTGAGAGGGGTCTGGTCAAGAGCTTTAGACAATTACTGACTTTAATATCAACTTGTTCCTAGCTGGTGTGATACAAATTAATATAAAGCCAGCTAAAACATGACTCAGCAGTTTTTTTTTACATTATACACTGAAGGGATTACAGTTTAAGGTGTGTAGAGTAGGCGTGCAGCACAGTATTACCTTTCCTTTTCCTGACATTCAGTGTATAGACACTTATATTTCCTTAAACAAAGCTGTCTTTCTGCAGACTGCGACATGATGTCACTGGAAACATGGCTTTACATATGGAAGTGAAGTAAATCCAGATGGCGTTGACTCCAGGTTAAATGGTTGCTTTGTGTGTGCTTGTGTGTGTCTGTTCATAAGCAAACACTAGAGTACAGACTTGTGTTCAGGTTACTATGGAGTCCATGAGTCACGTCTTCATATCAGAGCTGTGGGGAATTTCTATAGGCTTTCATGCCGGCTTAACAGGCAGGACTACATTAGTTTGCCCCGCTTGGTGCTGTCAGTGTGTCCAGGAAGTTATGTTTGGATATTACTCAGGATTGAACGCTTCCACACTCTCGTGCTGCTGCACTTTGAGCTTTACATATCAGTGTGAAGTTCCCTCTGCTGAGGAAATCGACATCGAACTCTGATCAGATCTGTGTTACTGTATGTGTTCAATGAGGTTAACAAAGGGCCAATTCAATCCATCACAAGATCATGAAGTCTAAGATTTTCTTTATTAAGCTTGCAATATTTTTTCATTCACAGAAACTCGGTCTGATAGGAAAACAAAACCAAAGATACAATTCTGATTTCAGAAGACAATTCTGAATTCTCTTCAACAGTTCTCTCGATGAACCAATCACATTTTGATTCATGATGTTGTAGATTTCTGTTCTAAAATCACACTTCAAAAACACAGTACCAGTAGGTATAATTTCCACGTTAAAGTCAAATGAAGCTTTTGCCATCATGCAGAAAGCTACACCAATGGCCCCATGCTTACAATGTCATAGGGACTTTATTACAGTTTATTTCTGACTGGAAACATTTTAAACATGAAATAACAACCAAACATTTAAAACACAAAAAGTCTGAGCTGTTGCTGCTCCTTCATTGCAGTTTATTTGACAGACCCAGTGAAGTCTAAATGCACCTATCAGATTTTACAATGAAGACTTGTTATTGATATCCTATCTATGACAGCCTTCAAACCAATCGTTTAACAAGTGGGATCAACATGGAGGCGTGTGGTGCAGTGGGTAGTGCGTTGGTGTCCGGATCAGGGGGTCACAGGTTCAAACCCCACTGCAGTCAGCATGTCGTTGTGTCCCTGGGCAAGACACTTCACCCCAAATTGCTCCTGTGGGGATTGTCCACAGTATTGAGTATGCAAGTCGCTTTGGATAAAAGCGTCTAACAAGTGACATGTAATGTAATAATGTAACATGCAGTCTAGACCACTTCACTATCAGACAGGGTAAACAAATCAAGCCCCTTTCACGGTCTCCAAGGTGAGGAGAAACCAACAGGCACTGTTACAGAAATCTTCTCCTTCAACCTCAGAGCAGCCAGCCTCTCCACCATGAGCCTCTTCCTATGTCTCAGCTGACTGGCTTCCCTGATCGCCTTCCATTTCTGCAGGTCACCTTCACTACAGAAAGAAGGCACTGAGGGCATCATCAGAGAGCTCTGGCTCTGATCAGAACAAACTCCACATTTCCTGACCAGCATGTCATCCGTTTTAGGACGCATCTCATTCGCATCCTCATTCTGTTTGTTTGCTGCTACCTCCTGGATCAGAGGACATGGGGGGCACAGGAGACGGGCTTTGAGCTCAGGAGGCAGATCCCATGGCTCTGGGATGGACATAGGGGCGTAGTTGTCAGGGGCTCCGGAGAGGGGCCGCTGTTCCTGCTGAGATTTCTCCTTACGGTAAACAACATCGTCCAGCTCGATATCAGGGAACTCTCTCTCCTCTGTGATGCCGTGTCGCTGGGTGATGATGTTGAGTTGCGGCTCAGAGGTGTAGAGACGACGGTGAGCAGACAGCTGCGTCTTCATCAAAGCCATGTCTGTGTTGGACTGGAAGGTAAGGGTTCGCCTGGTAAACATGTCATCATTCTCCAAATCAGGGATTAGGCTCTCATAATCAAAGATATCCGGGGGCTCCCTGGGGTCTTGGCGCCCTAAGAGGGGCCACCTCTCACATTTGACCAGCCTGGGACCCGAGGTAGGGTCCACTGGGGCAAACACCAGAGGGGGGGTCTCTAACAGAGGGGACTGTATCTTGGGGAGCTGAGGGAGAGTGTGTGCTTGAATATGAGGACTGCAGGTTGGGCAGAAGAAGAGAAAAAGGACAGAGAGGTGATGAGTGCATGCATGTGAAATGGATCAAAGAGCAAGAATAGGAGGAAGAGATACATTAAGCAGCCACAGTAGTGATATTTGATTCAAACTGATTTTGATCACTCTGCTAAGAAGTCAAACTGCGATGCGTGTCAAGTCTTCACTAGAATAGATTGTCATAAAAATAGGGTAATGCTGAGAAGGATTATTTTCTATTTTAGTGCTATAAAGCGTGTTAGGGCAATTTCAAGTAGCTTTAAAAAAAATCATTAGTACATTAGAAAGCAGCTCATCCTAAATTCAGCGTCAAAAGGAGCACAGTATAGTTCTCCTAGAAATTCTGGATGATCTAAATCATTCCTTCATTGTCACAATCATGCAGCTTTATCGACCTTTTCCCCACAACGAGGGTGGTGTGAGCCGAGGCCTCGTGTGTGTGGGAGTGAGAGGGGGAGGGGCCGGAGTGAGAGGGGGCGGAGGAGAGCCAAGGACTGGTGTCACAGTCCGAATCATCTGACGAAGAGCCCGACTTCTTATGGCTACAGCCGGGTTGGACGGAGGATAGAGAAGGAGCAGAGAGAGGGGAAAAAGGGAGGTGAAAGATAAGAGAGCAATAGCAGGGGAAAAGAAAAAGAAGTAAGTGGGAGGAATCTTTAAAGAAAATGCAGTGAATGACAGAAAACCCATTTCTGAATTAAAGGATTTTAAAGGTTAAATTGGCATGCAATCATTATTTAAAGATTGCAAAGTGTCTGGCAGAACAGTAAGAAAAGATTATGCAAGAAGCAAGGAATTAACTTTATCCATGATATTGCTACTGAATATATTTGAAATATTTGTTTAAATATATATGAGATAATTCCACTGGATTTGAACGCCCCACACACCTGAAGCCTTGTATCTTCTTGTACCAGGGTCTCCTCTGAGAGCCCATTTTAATCTTCTGTATGTGAAGGTCTTCTTCAGGGCTCCAGAACTTTGGTAAAAACTTGTCATAAGACACTTTGGCAACAGGCTGAGGTTTGATGCCCATCTTGCGGGAGTAGAGGTCATCTTGGACGGGGTCAGCATAGCCCTCCTCCTCGTCAGAGTCGCCAGAGTCACCGTAAATCTCCCTGAACAGGCTGTCGGTGGACACGGGCCGGCGGTGGTCCTCCCTCTCGGAGCCCTGCCGGGGGGGCTGCATTTCCCCGCTGTTGACGCCGCTGCTGCTCAAGAGAGACAGCCGAACACACGTGTCAAAAGAATTTTTTCAGCAGCAGCACAGCACGCCAGTCACGCAAAGAGTAGCATAATGAGATGACGCAAGGATTAGCAAACCAATGCAAGCTTGAAAACAAACTATCAAGGAGGCAAAACTTGATTTGAGGAGTTACTGTATGTTGCCAACTCAAATCACTCCTCCAAGCTCAAATACGTGCTGCAGATAAAATCTCAAACCAAACCAAACAGAAACCAACAAACGACTTTAGAGCACTGTTAGAGGCAGCATACTAGAACCAAGGAGGTTGATCATGGTTACAAATAACCATGCAAACTGAGGGTAAGAGAAGCGTTTTGGTTGGCTCTCATCAGGCAGGCACATTAAAGTCACACGGTTGCTTCATGTTCTCTGACCTGAGGCAGGTCACATTCTGTGGAGGGGCAACATTGGGGGTCATATTGACCTTAGGCCAGGGGCCCCCGCTACCGGCAGGCGCCCTTCCTGCTGCCAGGGGGGTGGCGGGCAAGGCGAAGTTGGTTGGAGGAGCCGGGGAGGGGCTGTGGAAGCGTCTGCTGGCCAGGTCGTCCAGAACAAGGTCGGGGTCCGGTCGTTCTGCGTCAGAGTCGCTGCCGCTTTCATACTCGTAGGCCAACGGTACATGAGCCGCAGGCAAGGCACTCTGGGATACTTGACCTTGGCCATGGCAGTCGCTGAGGACGTCATTCCACAGCAAATGAAACACAACACCAGGACACAACAACATCGACCATATGAGACAATACAACCGCAACACAATGGGAGAGGAGACAATGTACATTTTAGGCAATTTAAGCACAACTGGGTTAACTTGATTTCTATATTTGTTATGGTACGTTGCTCTTAAGAAAGAAAAGAGAAAAACCTTCAATCAAATCAAAGTGTTTACTGTTGTGTGTGACAGTACCTGGTCAGTGCGCCTTCATCCTCTGTGTATATGGGGTTGGCCCAGCTGCGCCGGTGGTCCTCATTGCGCTCGGCCCGTTTCTTCCTCAGCGGAGCCGGCACGTAGGCTGACGCTTTGTCTTTACTGGGAAGGAACTGGTTGAACTGGGCGGTGGCCTTGGGTTTGATGACTACTGACCGCCGGTAACTAAGACCGTCCTTGTTCTCAGCCATCCTGAAGGCAGAGTCTACCTCGGTGTCACTGCAAAAACCTGGAGCTAGAGGAGGGAGGACAAACAGTTTTAAAAAAAATGTGGGAGATAATAAAGAAAAGTGTGAGAATAGAAGAGAAGAAGGAGGTTTGATAAGTGTAATGAAGTAGCAAAAAGGAATAACTATGTGAAAGAAGAGAAAAGAGCGAGGAGAGTGTGTTGTGTGTTCTGGCGTGACTTTAGAGGACTAACAGAGGGGTGCAGGGTGGGGAGCGGAGGCCTCCTCATTTACAAGCTAGTGTGGATGGCTGAGGAATGTCTCACTGCCTTTTCCTACAGGGGGGACAACACTCTGCGCTCACTGACCAGCACCTGACCCTCTCTCATGCATACCACACTTTGGTCATGAAACAAGATCACATACTGACTTCAGCATTGATATATAATGTCTCCTTCGTGGGGGACCTTTCAGTGAAAACATTCACTTTTAAAAGCACACCACTAGATGGCAATAGGCATTTGTTTTCACAGATGGGAGGCAACTTCTTTCTGGCTCAAAAGCTGCATATTTCTCTGTTCACAAATATTTGAAGTTCGTGACAGATGAACCTAATTGTAAATATTCATGCAGAGAAAAGATGTGAGAAAGTCTGGACACTTTATTGATCAAAAACCAGGCTGTGAAGAGGATTAAACATAAAACAATATAAAGAAAGCATGCTCTGAACTCTTATATGGCATAAAGTCAGCATTAGAAGGGTGAAAAGAAACAGCAGTCAAGAACAGCAGGTTTTACACGTTTTGTCAGATTAGCACATTATATTTGGGTATAGATGCAAATGACATGATGTCTCCTACCCTCGACGCTGCCTTTAAGAGTGATCTCAGATGAGATGCTCTGGGGTCGGGAGCCCAAAGAGTCCAAGCTGTCCAGGGAGTCGTCTCTCCGGTGTCCGTCTCGTCGTCCTCCTCCTCCTCCTCCTCCTCCTCCTTCTCTCAGTTGGAAGAGCTCCTCTCTCTCTGAGTACCAGCTATCTCCAAAACCGCTGTCTCTGACACTGCTGCCTTTCTGACTGGGCGATTCCTGCAGAGCCTTTCATACACACACAAACACACACAGTCAGATAATAGGGTAACACATTATATTATTTAGCTCCACTGTGTGTGTGGTGCGCCAAAGAACACCCAGGTAGAGTGGGAAGTCTGTATCTGTTGGCCCTTTTTTCTTACACTCAGTTACTGAGAACACACACACCTATACTGTGTATCAGGGACGGTGCATCACATTTAAAACAGATTTAATGAACTGCCATCTGTGTCAAAACAAACAGTGCCATCGTTCATGTACCCTTGATGACAGTTTACTGCATTAATTTTTGTTTTATTATGTGTAAACACAAAGGCTAGCTCCAGAGGCACTTTAAAGAGCGTGGTTAAAAACAAGAAAAAACTTGTCAGCCACTTAAAAAGAAAATTATTTTCAGATCTGTAATCCAGCAAATCCTACCAGACAATACAAGTCCACAAACTAAATCCAACATCACCCCCGCGCCAGTGCACTTGGATTATCATAGCTAAATGTACAAAACGAGCACAACCCAACTGCTATTATTTAAAATCCCTTTAGTCTTTTGAATTACAGAGGACTTGCACACCACCACCTATAAATCTATGTGAAAACAAAGTGCCACACTCAACACTTAAACGACTTAAGGCCTATTCAAGAAACAGAGCATCTATTTGATTTGTTCACTATGCGAACTTGGTGCCGTGCTGTAAACAAGATTAGAATAGTTGTATCAAGGAATCAGGTCATTTATGACTTAACGTAGCTTTGGTTTTAGTGGCCGGCAATCTGAGGCCCCCCAGTGTTTAACAGCCATTCTTCTGCACATAGTCTACATACCAGGGAGGAAACAGAACCTTACTGTGCAGTAAGGATTTCTTTCATGCCATTTCTGGTTTCCCCAAGAAAATTAAGCTTTTGTTACATGACGACACAGGTTAGACAGCTCAGAGTGCACAATGGGATAATTATCCACTTTGAGGGTTTACCTTGTATAGCGCTGTGCCCAATAAGCCCTCGAATGCCTTGAAATTCAGGTAAGGTCCATCATAGATACGGTCACACTGAGCTCTTCTTCCCAACCAGTATATGGTGATCAAAACCTGGAGAGAAGACAACATATAACTCATTAGACAAACCATAGAATATATGTGAGAATAAATTATTGTTTCCACATCAGATGACAGCTATACTTCGACCCTAGCAGATGAATGTTCTATGCCGTGCTAAGCAGGTTATTGTTATAATAGTGACAGTGAAAGAAGGTGATATCCGCTGGTGGCCTGCTTTTGTTTCCAGCCTCATCCAGAATACTCTGTTGTTGTTTGTGTGTGCATTATCAGACTGGGCAGGTAAATGTGCTGCACCAAAGCAAACAATCATCGCCACATGGACGATGCTGGTCCCCCATTACGTGATACGCAAACTGACACGTCAGCTGTTTGGTTTAATATCACGAGCCACATGCACAACAACAATGCCGAAATAATATACACGATGAAGTTGTGATGACAAATACTATGCTTTAACTTGCAATAAACCTAAATCCACAAAAATATGACTAGCAATGTTATACATAACATGTCAATGCAAAAGTCTTGTTTGTTTCTGGTCGCTGTGCTGTTCCTTTCATCATCCCCTATCCCTCTCCTTATTTTCATTCGGAAAAACGCCTCAAATAAAAACTGTTCAAACTATTTAGCGAAAACGTAATATAACATGTTGGTTGTTTCACCTCAAACAGTTAGATATTACCTTTAATATCATCTTAAAAATTATTTTAAAAAGGTTAGGTGTCTGATGTCTTAAAACATCAGACACATTCTTCTTCCTTGTCAAAACCTGGTATCACATTACCCACAATGCTCAGTACATATAGCCTCCAGCAGCTTGCCTCAAGTTGAGGAGCTCACTTTTTAAATGGTACTGCAATTTATTCGATTTTTAACAGAAGTCAATACAACAACACATACTAACATACTTTAAAGTTTTAATCCCTTTATAAAAATGCTAATCTCCAGTCATTTCGAATAACTGAAGCTAAATCAAGTTATATTATTGTCAAATGACATACAAAGAAATATTTCTTATATTTTTCCACTTACATTTTTCAGTCTCCTGTTGGTCTCTTGATGCCTGCGAGAGAAAGAGCAGAACACAGAGGTGTATGTGTGAGAGAAATGACAATAAAAGAACAGAGGGCATGCTTGTTGGGTCTGTGTGTTGGGCAGTGAAAGAGCTGGAAAGAGAGCACAATCCCGACTACTGCCAGCCCTTCACTCTCTCACTAACAATACAGAGGCTGAGAGAAAAACAAACACACTTTTCTGGAAAATATAATTGTACGCCAAAAAGTAAAGTGTTTAAGGTGTGTCTTATTTTTTAACTCTAATCACACAATCAAGCAGCTGTAAAAACATCTAGTTAAAGTTGAGGGGCACAAAAGGGGTTTTTGTTTCTGATTTCAAATAATGATAATACTAATAACTGATGATTGATCATCCAACAAGGCTCTACTGTTGGAGCTACAAAGCCCCTCACATGCCGCACAGGTCATCGGGAATTTCAGTCATATTTCTGGGGTTTGACAGTTGACCTGGCAGTTAGTAAATCACTTTCACAGGAAAATGTCAGCTCCCTCTCGCTCCTGTGAAACCAAACAAAGCCCACAGTGTCAGCCTGCACGCCAGATATTACCCTTTTTCACATGTACCTGTCACCTATGTAGCGTCTATTTAGGGAGCTCAATAAACCGTTATAAACCGCCAAAGTACGGTAACCATAACAGTGAATATGGGAGATATACAATCTGCTTCACATCCCATGTACATGCTACACATTCCTGCTATCATGTGGTAATACAATAGTCACACATGCCTTTCAAGCCACGAACACTTGGATTCCTTAAAGCCCCTTCCCAGCATGCAATGTAACAAATGCACCTGCTGAGCATTAATGCATGTGTGACGTTCACACCTGAGATGCCTGTCAATCAAACGTGGTCAGGCCCATATGGTAAGGGGAGGAAATTGAGTAAACATTTTTGATTAAACACATAATTCACACATAATTTAAATGCATTAAAATCAGGGGACCTAGCTATATGGGGAAAACTGAACTGACACATTAGCATTAAATTATATAACATTCAGTGGTACAAGTATTTCAATTTGAGGTTTTTGTGCTTGATCATTTCCATCTTCTTTTACTGTGTTTACATTTTATTGCATTACAAAGAGACTTCTATTCAGAGAGAAGAATGTTTTTACTACACAACATTTATCTGAGATCTACAAACAGTCTTAGCTTTTACTTTCAAAATAATTAGATTTGATCAAACTGTTGAAGATTAAACCATTGGGAAGAACGTCAGTGGAACTTTCTCAGCCTCATGTCACACCAGGGGAATTCAACAAGCTAATTCGCCAACAGTGAAATCTGAAATGGACGTTTACCAATTTGGCATAATGCACATTTATAGGCCCAATAAAAAGGGAAAGAAATCCCTCTCATGGGTGGCTTGGAACAAAGTCACAAAGGCTCAGATTATAGCAGTGAAAGACAGCAAAAAAAGAGCTTTGTACCAAAACTACCACCAGACTGCCTCTCGCAACGCTTATGTATGCCTTGTGGTGATAGCTGAATAGAAGAGAAAATATATAAGGGCTATTTTCAGGCCACTGTAGCCTCAGGACTTTTAGAATCAGCTGAGTTCTCATATGATGGAGCACAATAATGGAGAGAACGTCATTAAATCTGATACATGCGATATTACAGAATAGAAATAGCTTTTGTGAGGTAGTTTGATCAGGAATCATGTTGGGTTTTTATACTTTATGTGCCAAAAAGAGTAAGTGTTTGTGTATCTTTCACACAAGCAAGCAGTTAAGGCAGAATTTTCCTCACACTTCATTCCACTCAGATTAAAGTCAAAATATATCATTAGGGCTGCGAAATATATTCTATTTGATTGTTTCCATCTTTAAAAAATGTAAACAGATTAATGTTCATGTTTTGTTTAATTTCACAAGCAATTAAGATTATACTAAAAGCAGCAAAAAAGCCAAACTCATTCCATTTTAATATTGTTTTCTTTTTGCAAGTTATATTACTTTGATATAACATATGTTCCTAATATAGTAGCAGCCCTATATATACTTTTTGCCTTGTTAATATGTGATAAGCTTTTGTTAGGTTTTTCTCCAATGTTACAGGTAAATGAAAATCAGTGAAATATCTTGTTTCGGAAGTAAAAGAGGACACTTTCCAGACAACGTATACGTGCTAAAGAGTGAGTAAACAGAGAACTTGCCAAATTAACAGGGCACTCTCAACACTTCCAGCCGTTTCAGTCTCAACCTTTGCATGTTTACACAGACACTCACATGACCACTCTCTTGCAAAGGTCAAAAAGTGAGACATCCTTTCTCTTTTATCTTCCAGTGGAGATGCAAAGATTTCAGACACGATTACCTGTTAGCCCATTATTACTAACAATTATCAACCACACAGTGCAAAAGTTATAGCTACATCAAATATTACACTCACAAAATTAATTAATTCAAACAAATTATTCATTATTTGTATTCAGGTGATTTCTTTCTTTCAAACAGCAATATTGCATGACATTGTTTTGCCAAAACACACAACTATTTCCATTTGATTTTCATTCAGCTAATACAAATCATAAACAAAGAAAGAAACACACACAACTGAAGAAACATTAGCCACTATTCAAATCTTACACAAATAACTTCTAGACATAAGCCAAGGTAAATTATCCTTCCAATTTAGTCAATCACTTCCCTGTCTTGTAACAAAGACAAAAGTATGTCTCGATCTTTAGGTAAACAGAAACCTGAAGGTGAAAACTGACCAATCACAGCCACAGGATGTGTGTCAATCCATGTAAAGCCACAAACAAGATCAAGGCAGCTCCGCTTGTTACAGACAACAACATCCCAAAGACAAACAAACAGAGAACCCAAGCCTTAAATTACTGGGTGTGCACGGGTAATCATAAGCATACCTCTGCAATGAAGATCACTTGCTCTGCAGCATTCAACAACACCAAGTCACATCCTTCGTCTAAAATCTCTCATTCTAATGAAATGTTTTTAGATTTAAAGACACACCCAGACGCTCTCATGCATTATGAGTCCTGAAAAATGCAGACACAAGGAGAGTTTGAATAGAGGAATCAGCTGTGGGTAAGACAGTGTCGGGCATCATTGTGTTCTTATTGGAGACACTGCAGGCTCTGTGAGGGAGGTAGCAGGGTGAGGCTGGCATTTCTCTCTCCAAGTCAACTACAGAGCACAAATATAACCCTTGTGTTAGCCTTTTACAGCCAGAGCCATGGCCATGGTGTAGAAACTTTATTGGCCTTTTACCATCATCGCTCGTTTGGTTTCACAATCTGCCCACAGTTCACACAACATTGCAACAAGAAGGGAAGGCAGTGCCATGTATTCAACTACAAAACCAGAACATGCAGTGCCAGCCCAGTGTACCACACCCAGAACACTAACACATAGGGCAGTTTCTCCTTTATGCATGAGGCACTTCACTTAGACTTTGTCACTGAGAGTTATAAACTACATGAAAAGCAGTACACACATGGTATGAGGTTCCATATATGTTGGTGTTGAATACATTCTGATAACAGGCTGTCAAGTCAGTCCAAATGTGTCTGTGAAACGGCGCATTCCTTCAGGTAATTCAACTTTTGGTTTGATTCAGAGCCAGGGATGCCATTGCATAATCGAATTCATAAAATGAAAAACACAACCACTCCTCTTTATCCATTGTTTAAAAAGGGTAATTGACATTCCTCAAAGGACAATGTCTTTCGATGTACCTGTTGAACCAGTGCAAGTTCTTTTTTTGGTTTGGAAAGTAGTCAACCCTTGTCAATAATTTGCTTAATCAAATGGCGGCAAAGACTGAGACTTTGGACTCATCTCAGCGGGGGGTATGTTCTGTCACTCAATCAAGGTCACAAAGGAGAAGCTGAGGGTGTCGTTTTTTCTCATACTGATATTCTGATCAAACTGTGCTGTTGTATTAGCTGTAAAATGTCTTTATTGTAGGGTATTTTTATTATTTGTACAGCACTTTGGCTCGACCAAAAATCGTTTATAAATGTGCTATATAAATAAAACTTCTTTACTTTAGTATAAGTAATTATACACAAAATAACGGGTAGTAATCAATGTGTTTTTTATTTATTTAACATCTTTTCATCACTACTCATAGCTTGTTCTCTAAGGCATTTGAGTGTTACAACATACACAGTAGATCCGAAATGCTGTTATTCCTCTTAGACTTGCTCTGATAGAAAAGTACAGTACAGTAGATACAATAAGGGTTAGCCTGAGGTTCATGTCGGTTATAGACTGAAAACAAGCATGAGAGTCCCTTAGCAACTACAGTACAACAGCACAGTGTGTAATGTGACTGTACATCCTTGGTTCCACATGCAATTCCCATCTCCTGAGGCAGATTTATGTATCTCTAGGACAAATGGAACTTGTTAAAACATTCACAAAGGGTCAAGCATACAGTACTCAGCTGACATTAAGTGTCATTAGGGAAATCACGGCATGTTCTAGCCTTTTGCTTTAAGTCAACTCAAAGTGGTGGTTCTAGTCCAAGCATGCTGCCAAATCTCCAAATGGCAGCTACAGTATGGGTTTAAAGGAAGTGGCTGGAGTTGAATAAAATAGAGCAGTTTCGGATGCCATGATTCATGAAGCACTTTATAGCCCTCACCCTTAGCCTCATTTCCTGGGCAGCTGTTAGAAAACTAGACAAACGTTGAATCATAGCCGCCAATGACGAATCAGATCGCGTCTGGTCAGTATTAGACCTCCGAGTGTTTGCATTTGGTTATAGTTCAACGTCACATAGATGATGCGAGTAAAACCTAGAGAACACATCACCCACCAACGCACATTCTTCTCTTATCAAATGTTGATATTGAATGAGTTTCTGGCTAATAAAACGTCTTTTTATCAGAAAGCAAGTTACACAACAGGAGGAAATAAAGCGACATGCACTCCAGATGGTGGCAAGTCTATGACTACAACAACCGCCAAGCTCAAAGGTCAAAGTAGACATCTATAATAATCTTTTATGGCTGTCGTGACAAAGCAGACCTGTATGAATTCAACTGTGTTCTCAACACACCTTGCTTGAGTCAATATCTGACTCGAGCTTCATGCCAAATGAAAGACACTGGCCATGTTAACACCTTGATTTCAAGGACAATCTATCAATGTGTGAAATCCAACATTTCTCCTTGAGCTGGAGGACGGTAATGCTAATCTAGCTAAATGAACTGTGAACTAGTGTTGAATAATAACAACAAATATTCAAATATCCTTAAAATATACAATCAATTGTAATAAAAAATGTATATAAATCATGTCTTTTTCAGCCCAAGCAACATTGAAAATAAAATAAAGTCATTTGAGAAGCTGAAGCCATTAAATGTTGGATAGATACGTGATTAAAGGATTATTCATTCATCAAAATAGCTGACTAATACATTTCTACCAACTCCAATTCATTATCTAACTGCTTTTATGCAGATTCAAAAATATAGTAACACACGTACACACACAGGTTAAATATCATACTCTGTGTGTAAAAATGACTTTCTCTATAAGAGGTTAAAGTCATAACAGTAAAATAGTTACATTTTAACATTATAATGTATTAAAGTTAATGGAATAGAAAAGAAAGGAAAATGAAAGGCCAATTGTTTTATGTTTTAGCTTCTGCCTGGTATAAGTGAATGGAAACGTACAGTACCTACAGGATAACAAGCTCTCTGCTGCTGAAACAGGGAACAGGGAAGCTGAGCGAAGCACCTGTCAGACTGGGTTTAAGGGAGTGGAGGTTGGACACACACCAGGGATAAAGACAGCTGATAGAGACAACTTTCCCTCTCTCCCTCTGTGCTCTGCTCTCTGTGGCACATTTGACTATAGACTCTGATAAGCAACAGTACAATAAAGCCATTGGTTGCTAGTCTGCAGCCTTGTTTGGGATTATCTCCTCCTGTTACTCTCTGTGCCATCTCTATCAGCACGAGTTATAAATACTGCAGCTCGGGAACCACATAATTGGGCCCACAAATTCAAATATATATATTTTTTTGTCCAATTAAATAATGCTACAGTTAATACAAAAGGGACACATAAATAAATCATTGAAGAGGAAATTCCCTTTTGTACAAAACACTTCAGCTGAATCAGTCGGAACAGATACAGGTTCATATAAAAGAAGAGAACCTGCTTTTTTTTAAGCATGTTTGAGGTGAAACAACAGTGCGCTTCAGCAACACAAAAACTATTGATGTTTCTCCACTGGATGAATCATTTGGGATACGGTGACCAAACCAAGAAACCAGAACAACTGCAAACCACATTCAATATTTCACACACGTGAACAAAACACACACAGGTGTACCTTTAAGACCCCATGCAGGAGAATGTACTGGGAGGTGACAAAACACTATTTAAAGCTCATCTCCTGAGTCCTGATACCATTCCAATCAATCCTGCTTGTTAAAGGGACCCACAGGTCCTACAAATAGAAAGTGAGCCCCTCTCTGAACAACCCCCGCACGCAGGCAGACAGACATAGTGGCAAAAAGCTGAGCTTCAGGGCAATCTGGTACTGGGACAGTCAAAGGATTTATTGAAAAAAAAGTGAGTGTTTTTCTCACTTCATAAACGTGGGTATCATTTTCTCCGACATCGAGAATCTCATTTTGAAAGAAAAGTAATTTATAGTACCGTCAACTTCATGGGAAAAAGTTATGCAAGAGGGGAAATGTCTGATAACGCGTGGGCACTAAAAGAATATCTCTACATTTATGACAGTGAATCAGACGTTCAGTGAATCATATTTCTGTATCTAAGGGCAGCATATCCTCTGCTGTGGGAATAGGGTGTGTCTTGATAAAAGGCAGGCCGATATGTTTATTTAGAGTTCATATTCCAGTGAGCAGTCTCTGTGTTTTTGTGACGGCTGTTGTTTCGACACAATTGTATGTGATACTGAAAACTGAATGACAGATTCTTGGGTGGATCATGGGTACAAAATGTTCCTAGACGTTGTGGCAACTTCTCGAAGGAACATCCGAACTGAGATTAATTGCCCAATTAAGTGACACGGAGTTGGAGAAAAAAAAAATGAAAGCTCCACTGGTGCGGAGTGTTTTGGAAAAGATCACAACTCCATAACATCCCCTTGCATTTGTTGACACCTATTAGCTATAGGGTGCCGATCTACATCGAGTTTTACAACCTGCAGCTATTGTTGCCAAAGCACTTTATTTGCTTGTACAGCATTGCTGTAGATGGACTCTGCTCTGATCTCTCCCTTGTTTCACTCTGTCCTGAAGGCACACCTGTGTAAAAGCTGAACAGGTTATTCAACATAACACATGTGTCTCTGCCTAGCACGAAACTGACACAAGAGCAACTGTCTGAATGGAAAAAAACATAAACACTGTGGCAGAGTCTTGAAATGTTTTCGTCCCATTGTCGCCATTCTCCACTTAAGCTTCCTGCTGTTCACACTATAAGCAAGACATTTCTTGAATATCTACAACCTTTACCCGACTTCACCACAAATATGTCGTGATTATTATCTAGACCTGCACCAAAGGGAAATCCATTTGATACAAAACCCTTTGCTTTGTTTTTCTGACCTTTGTAGTTTCACAATTGTTCCCTGCATCATAATTTAAAGAAACACATAGAGCTGTGCTTTAACAGGTGCTTACAAACACAAGCATACTCACACACTGAAAATAGCACTGACCTTTTTTAACTGCACTTTGAATCATGCCTCACATGAGGAGACACATGCTCCAAAACACTATGTGGTGTGTAAGTCACATTTAAACATTGTGAGTATGTGCATATGAAAAAAACATGAATAGAAGCATGTATAAAGAAAATACCAGTTGGTCTCAGCTTACAGGACCATTTTAACTCAGTTATTGGCAGGGACGCATATCAACATGTCACCAGTACAAATATTGAACAACGCTCATATTATTAGAACTTACTTGACTGTTACTCTTGTTGATAAATCTTGAAGATCTCCTGGGTGAAAGAGCTGCGCTTCCTTTAGTCCTAACTTCCCGCAGGCCTTGAGGAAGACGTTCAGGTTGTCCTGGACACAGAACAAAGCAGGGATCAGGGTTGTCCGCCTTCAGAGGCAAAGAATAAACGCTCAAAAAATACTCTGGCAGGGACACAGCCTACAACTCATTGCTTCCAAAGTTCATATCACTCGGGAACAGAGCGGACAGGGAGGAGCATGTGTGTGGCAAATAAGAAGTGACCTAGTGCAGAACACACACAAACACACATGCAGGGGGAGAGGCTGCGTGACAGCAGCTGAGTGACAGCAGCAAAGCTACCTGTGGGCAGGGTTAGGGTGGAGAGAAAACCAAAACCAGGAAGGATGACATCAGAGTTTTGCACAAGTCCCACCCAACCGGCCATGCAAGTGCAAAACTGACGCACACTGGAGCACAATGCTGCTGCGCTCTCCTGCTCCTCACACCCTGAAACTGTCCACTCCCCTCCCTGCCAAGCCTTTTTATTCGAGAATACCTGCGGAATCTGCGGGGCGGTGGATTCTTTTGGAGACATTTGGTTGCTATGAAACAAGAGGTTGGGTGACAGATACTGAGAAATATTCTTCCTGAAGAAACTCAAGAGGACATGGGAGTGTCCCGCACTATGTCAATCATGTCATGTGGCATGAAGTTTATATGTGGGCACATTCATTGCACAGAGTGTAGTGCACAAAGCAGAAAGACATTCTGTTCTATAGATATAAACACATCCCATGCGTTCTCAACTAATCTTCTACCACAAAAACACCATTCCTTTCCGGGGTTATGACTTTAACAGTTGTAATCCCAAGGGAAGTGTTTGTAAAGTCTTCATTTCCCATTGGGTCTACTGTCTTCTTAAGAGGGTTTCATGTAATAACACATGGTCTCAACATGGGCTGGGATAATTAAGGGGTAGCTAGTTCTATATTTAAATTTGAAACATGCTTATTAGCAAATGGTAGGACAGAGCTGACCTTTCAGTGGAGGAATCCCTTACTAACAGCTTTGCTTGTCCCTTAACAGCCCTTTACGGGGCCACACAGGTCACTGTGGGCCCCTACAGGCCAAGGATCAGACCCCCCTACTGTAAATAATGAACACAGTTGGTTCCCTCTTTATTCATTATAACACAGAAGAGATGTTTTCTTCGTCTTAATAGTCATGATAATGCAATTTTCCAGATTGCAACAGAATACCTTTTGAAGATATTTTCCTGTTTCTCATCTCTCGTCCGTGTGACATACTGTAGTTCACATGTACATTTCTAAGTGACACATTTATGACCTTGTTTTTCAATGATTAGCACATGAGCAGTCAGAAAAAACAAAGTATACCTCGCATCACCTCAGCATGTTAGCTCACAAGACCACACTAAGGGCATTACATGTAATAATCAACTAGATACATTAAATATGATTATAACCTGACTGATGGGGGATTTCTAGGGTGGCATTGCTCTTTTTTTAAATAGTTTAACTTGAAAACAATGTGTTACAATTTGCGTAAGAGATAGGGAAAGTTCTCAAACTATGCAACTGATAATAATCGTTGATAAAACTGCATCAAACTGCATCACTGAAATAAATTCCTGGCTCCAACTCAACTTCCTGAAACTCAACTGCGATAAATCTGAGATAATAATCATTGGACCAAAAAAGCTCACCACACCTATCCATAACTTCACCCTCAACATAGACGGCTTCCCAGTTCAAACCTCCCCTCACATCACATCCGGGAACCTAGGCATCATATTTGACCAAACCCTCTCCTACAACAAATACATCAAACAGATCACAAAGACAGCCTTCTTCCACTTCAAAAAACATCGCCCGTCTACGTCCATCCCTCTCCCCCATTGCTGCCGAAACCCTCATCCACGCCTTCATCACCTCCCGTCTGGACTATTGATACAGTATCCTCTATGGTTCACCTGCAAAAATCCTCAACAAACTTCAATATATCCAGAACTCCGCCGCCCGTCTACTCACCCACACCCGAATCCGTGAACACATTACCCCCGTCCTCATCAAGCTCCACTGGCTCCATAACCTGGCCCCATCCTACCTGACTGACCTCCTCCAGAGACACACTCCCACTCGCTCCCTCCGCTCTGCTACTGCCAACCTCCTGTCCCTCCCCACCGGGACCAACCTCAAGTCCTGGGGCGGCAGAGCCTTCTCCGTTGCTGCACCCACCCTCTGGAACTCACTACCCCAATCCATCAGCGATTCTTCCTCCCTCACAGCATTCAAAACATCACTCAAAACCCATCTGTTCAACACTGCATTCAACCACTGACCCCCCCGCCCTATTTTTTGTTTTGTTTATCTCTTTTTGTTTTTTTAATTTTTATTTTTATTCTCTGTCAAAGCATCTTTGAGTTTCTTGAAAAGCGCTATACAAGTCCCATGTATTATTATTATTATTATTATTATTATTATAATTGCCTACAGTAATCTTGTTACTTCTCGACCAACATAATCGAATAAAGCTAATAACGTGCAATATCTTGTATACATTTACCTGTCTAGCTCTACATAATATTCTCTGAAAGCATGCAGGCCATTAAAGACAACAGAGCCTATTTGCATCAATGTAAATACAAATCTAAATGTCACAGCTAAAATTGTTTTACTTTATGCCCTGGTCTTCTCCTTATGAACGAATAGGCATACTCTTACTGTACCTTAGGCCAATGTATTAAAGGTTTACATGAAAGGAAAATTAATATCACTTTGGTAAATGTCATTTCACCTCAAAGAGAATTATGAACACACTAAAAGCCCCCCTACAACCAGCCCCAGAACATGCAGAGATAATGATGTTGAAGGAATGTTATGCTGACTTGTGCCTGCACATAATCCTGCTAAATATGCTGTACCCATCCAGCAGCCTCTAATCCTCTCAGACCCGAGGACTCAGTATTCACACTGAGAGAGGGAAATATTTGACTCATAAGGTGTCTGATTTGGTATAAAAGGGTCTCTGTCCATACTGGTCACATTGTGGTCACTCTATTCTTTCACTGCATTCTTTGTCTAAAATGGGCATGCTCTACAATTACCCTCCACTGACCCTTGGCAATGCTTCAAACACCAAGCAAAGCTATGGTTAAAATATCAGGCTACACATTTCCAAGTCCTGTGACAATAAACCAAGAGGAGATTAAATACTTGAAATGTTGGCTCCCGTGAAACAGACCAAATAAAAGACCCTCCTTTCTCAACAGACAGATCCAGTCATAACATGCACCCATACAACACAAACACAGTAACAAAACATGGTCAAATGCCTGTCATTGCACGGATAATTAAACAGACATTTAGATGAGTAAAGACACCCTCAGGACCATTGAAACTGTCTGTCTCCTCCCACTGCTCCCTCAACCCGCCAAGGAGTTGGTGTATGTGGGAACATCCAGCATCATGTCAATTACAGTGTGTTTACGGTGGGCAGAGGCAGATGGAGTCATCTTTAACTTTGTCCCTCTGGATTCAGCCCAATGGGCCTCAAATCCACTCACGTAGCTGGCTGCCTCACCACAATTGTGGGCTTCCTGCCCAGCACTAGTAAAAGCAGAACCGGCCCCGAACCAGTAGGTGCCATCCAACCCACAGCTGAGTGCTCAGCAACAGGCAGAGAAGTGTGCTGACATGGGAAACATTCCCTTGGACACAAGTGAAGCCAAAGAATAGGCCCGGTCTGGAGTCAATGTTTGCTAAATATTCCACAAAACCATATATTTCCGTTTATTCCCCTTTTCCCTCCCTGGGCTTTTTATTCTGCCAGAGCTGAAGCCTGGTATCCATTTCAGAGCTGAAATCTTTCGGATAGCAAACTAAAACGATAATTATGACCATAATGGTAGAAAATATTTAGATTTGAGCGCTAATGATGCGTGTGAGTCGCAAAGACCCTTGCATTCAGCGGTCATTAAAGTTCAACCGTTTATCTTCATCTCAAATAAAAAGGCATCAACATTACTCTTGTTCTTTGTTTACTGTAACTTTGTTACACATTCCAATTGCAAGGTTAACATACCGGAAAACTGCATTTTCCAGTTTCTTATTTTCTGACAACTTTCAGTGGAAAAGAATAGCAGCATACATGAAGACAAACCCAGTGCAAACATCCTCACTACTGTATGTGGAAACAGGTGTCTAAGCATAAGGATTTAATGCTTCAATTATTTTACTTTCCAAACCCTTATTTCTAACACTTAAAGAACAGACATGTTTTCTATTTAAAGAGAGGAGAGATACAGGACATTCTTAGCAACACTACTTGACTGCTTTGGGAGAAAAGATACTCTCACAACGGAGTGAGAGTGAGTAATGTTTGTTTGGAGAGCTCTCCACTTTTCCCCATGTGGTTGGCAGTAACTGATAGCTGCAGGCCAACCAGGAGCTTTCACGTTTTCTGGGGAATTTATTATCAGGTGGTTTGAGGTTGGTGCCCAAGTATCGGAAATACCAAACCAGTGCTACTGATGGAAGAGATACCATAGCTCAATTACCTCAGCAGGTGCCCAGCCAGTTGTTCTACTAACTGTCCAAAACAAACTGGCAATTTGATTTATGTCATAACATAGATATGATGGTAAAGTGTTTGGTACTGCAAAAACCATGTTTACTGTTTACATATACAGCATGAATACTAGTCTGTTTCTTCTACCGCAAACTTGTCATTGTCTTGCCAAACATGTTAAAAGTCACCTAGCCCACCGACGTGCACTCAGACTGGATGGTTAAGCTTGGGGTTCTCTATAATTCCCCCAGACAGCTGGACTCAATTACTCCCACAAGAGAGCTTTGTGAGGGATGGGTTTAAGGTAGGGTTTTCAACCCTCTACTTCCCGAGCACTTGTAGTCAGACACTCCCAAAACATTTATATCAACTGAGCCACTGTCTCCAAAACGGCCTGTGCCACAATTTAAAGACATTGCCAGGTCTAAAAAGGTGAAAAGATTGAGCAACACTGATTCAATAACGGGTTATTATGTAACCAAACTCTGCCCCCTTCTGACCTCGCGTCACTCAATCAAAAACCTAATTATCATACCAGCACAAAGACTTTTTGTCTTAAAGGACTTTGACTGAAAGCAGCCTCAAGCATGGCAGACATCATATTTAGGGTGCAGTCATATGCGGCCAGTGGCCTTTCAAGCATCTCCACTTTCACTGAACTTATTAGTGTGGATGGATATGAGGAGCGACAAGTCACTGAGGCAAACACCTTCCTCTCACTGGCAGCCGTGCTTCAGAACTGTCACCAGCTTAACTGCTGCCGCTTCACCTCACACTGTGTCCTTACATCTCAGAATATACTCTCGACAAAAGACGTTAGTTGCTACAACAGTAATAACAGGAGCCGTTACCTTGTTGAAACAAAACTAGAATGAGCTGGTGAGGCTATGAGTTAAGATATATTTTCAAATGTGCATGCAATGACTGATATTTAAGATGAAAGACTTACCAGTCCAGCTATAGGTGTAGGCAGCCTGTTAACTCTCTTGATGATTCCAGGCTTGATGTTGTTGATCAAACTGCGAGCAGAAGACAGAGACAAGAGGCAAAGGGAGAGGGTAAGTGAAAGGACTTGGTCATTGGCTGGGCTGGTTTAAATAACAAGGAATGAACAAAAAAGTGTTGCAAAGTCTCGGTGTTGTGTGTTTACGACTTTGTTTGATGGGGGCCACCTGGCTTTAGTTTAGTAAATGACCAGTGCTGCACCGTGATGTAAACACAACATGGGTCCTCTGCGCTGTAAACATACCCTCTACTACTGGGACAACCCCAAACAAACCAGCAACCACCACGTACAGCTCAGAAAAAAACTGAAATGGTTTTGATACATGCATATTTGGTGTTACTCAAAGGGTTTGGAAAGGGTTTCTTAAATCTAAATGATACCCCAAAAAAGAACAACACCAGAAAAGTCAAAAATGCCTGTTGCAATTCTCTAGATCTAAAGGGAATGTCATCAAACGCCTTCCCAAATCCTAAAGTTATACAAATGACTATAAGACAAGAAAAAGCAGGGAAATCTTCCACTTGAGAAACTGAAATGATGCAAAGTTTGCAATTTTTGCTTGAGATGTTGATAAAATTATGAATCAATTAACAAGATAGTTGTGGATTGATCAATGTATCCGTGAAGCTCTGATTCTAATCCTCAAAATGAATGCGCTCATATGCAGAATGGCTCTTTTCTGAGTTTTATTTTATCTTTTATATTTGAGAATTGTTATCGTAGATGACAACAAGTAAACAACATTTAATGACGTAATTGGTTAAGATAATATGAACTCATTCATACACTGTTGTAGTAGTTTAATCTGTGCAACACGCTTGAAAAAGTCACTTGTTCTGAATGTAAAATCTTAATCTGCATGTTAAAAAGTGCAAATCTCGCCCTTTTGTTTAATGAAAGAAAGTAAAAACGTGTGAATGTGGATATTTTTTTTGCAGGTGCTTCCTCGGCTCTCTCAGCACTGGGGGTAGATGTAAGACTTTGATTAGGTTGACAATAGATGTAGAGAAAGACTGCTAAAGGAATTTGTTTTAAAGTCAGTCATTTAGCAGTGAAACAATAGAAAGCTGTACTATTTGATCAGATAACACACATTGTAATCTAAGTAGGATGTAATCATGTGTGAGACCCACACCGAACATTCCCTTCCAAGCAGTTGTGATAACCAGAAAACAATGGGAATGGAGGCTGAGCTTCTAGGTGAAGGCGATTTAATCTCTTGTCTTCCTCTTCCTCACGCTGAGAAAACATGGACAGCTCCCAGAATGAAAGTGTCTCTGTTGTTCCCTGAGAGTGAGCAAACAGTGGAGTCAGGCTCAAATCAGCAGAACGAGGGGCTTCTTCTTTGAAACGAAGCCAATAGAGGTTTGGAAGATTCTGCATGGGCTGCTGGTAATTACAGCTTCTTGCTGATTCGTGCAAATCACATCACTGTGTCCATGCTGCTCACATACACATGTAAAAAGGGACATGATGCAAACCTTAAGCACACACACACACACTAACACATCCCTGATCTGAGAGAAGCCACAACTCCACAAGTCAATGCACATATTAGAAGAGCAGTTGATGAATCAATGCAAAAGCCAATTCTGTGGAGATAAATGTGTTCCTCAACTCATCAAAACTCTTGATGCATCTGACTAATGAGAAAGCAGGGTGCCCTTGCTTTCCGATGTGGTTTCAGCTGGAGGCTTTCCGTTCTCTACACCGCTTCTCATAGCTCTTATTAAAGTAAAGGATGGCACTCTGCCCGTCCACAGATCTGTAACATCTGTCAGACGGGCGACACAACTTCCTGAAATAGATGACAATTCATATCCCCAAATAAAACCACAGAGGGCGGATCTAACACTGGAAACATTTAAATAACTCCACAATGCATCCTCTATTGTGCTGTCTGGAAACACTGGCTCACTTTATGTGGCTGACAAACAAACAGTTGACCCTGCAGGGGGTCCGCCTGGGAAATATCAGTAACACTTATGTTGGAGTGCAGACCTGGAGGGGAGCAGAAGGCTTCCATCTGAATGAGTGGCTTAAGAGAGGTGCCTGGGAAAAGCAGTGTACTTACTCACACAGCAGAACTCCATTCTCCAGCGCTGATCGGAAGTCGTCGCTCCCAAGTGTTTTCTTGGTTACTGCCTGGAAAAATGGATAGAAAAACAGTGAGCAAAATAGCAAGAAGGGTTGGGTGAGGAGAGGAGGCGGGGGTTAGTGTGTGTGTGGTGGGGTGGGGAGGTTGGAGAAGAAAGGTAGGATGTTGAGAACAGTAGCAGAGGAAGTCAGAGGTATTTCCTCCAGAGTTCCTACAGTGTCTCTGGGACAGAGTTGAGTACAGTTGTGCAGGTATTCCTCTGGGCTCTCCAGTGGCTCTGTTCTTCTCACTTTAATGTTAAAAGCTGCTGGTAAACGGGAGAGCTGTGCTAAAACTGTGCTGGAGCCAGGCTGCCCAAGCCGCAAGGCTCTGGGAGCATCTGGAGCGCTGGAGGAACACAGCGCTGTGTTAGAGCCTCATGCCTTTCCCATGATCTCAAACCACCATTGTGGGAACACCAAGAGTCGCATGACGTCCAGCCTCACTTAAACACATGCACATACTGTTATTGCACAGAAACAAAACGCTCATCAGTGTTTGTTTTTTACTACACATTTTTGCCTTGAATATCAGCAATCTATATTCTCCTAAAGGCAATATAGCTATTGTTTTCTAGGTTTTGGTGTGAAACTTCATCTCTGTTTTAGGATATCAAATTCATGGTAATGGCCACTCCTTAAAGAGCTTCCTGTTCTGTTTTTGTTGGAATGTTTCCATCATCAACATCTTAAGCCACTCAATCCAACCAAAATCATTACTTCAGAAAACATTAGAATGTTTACTTCCAGCAATTCTGCACAATCCTGGATATTTATTATTTTAGAAAAAGTGAATAGCTTTTTGCAATCCTACTTGGAGGCATTGAAATCTTGCATTTAAGATCAGTTCCTTGTGAGAAAAAACCCCACAAATGCTCTGGCACCATCTTGGATCTGTTCCTATACCAAACACTAATCAAATGTTATTTGGCCCATGGCCTTACTTTCTAACATATTTCACTAACACTAGTTTGTTATATATATATTCTGCTAGTCAAATAAACAAACTGGGACTGTTTCTGTGGGGAACATGTGTGAATAAACGAACAAAAATACAATTATTGGAAGCTGAAGTTTGTCTTGCTTTTAAATTGCAATTCATTACAATGTCATACATCACCACACACTACTTCCTCACAAAGTTGAATCAACAAAGCTTGAATATTATAACCTTCATAAAGATAGGATTTATTGCAGGACTGTTGCTTTAGACAGCAATAATTGTATCTAAATGAACCTAATAAACTGGAAACTGAGAGTATGTTATGAAATATGAAAACACTGACCTTACTTAATTGCAATGCGTTTGATTTTAAGTCTGCATGTAATTTAATTAGTTGACTGTCTCCAAAAGGGCAGATGAGCACACATAATCCACTGCACATATACAGTGAGATAAGACACCTGCCATAAACCAAAGTGCAAACACCAAACAAACACCACACACTCACGCACAAGGCAAAACAAGTCCAACTGGTCTTACTAACCAAATTGGTCGGTTGTTTCTTGTTCTTTTAAGAGAGAGGGACAAAAGCTGGGACAATTACTGGCATTGGTACAAGCACTGGTACAAGCCATTATTTGGTGGAAGACAGGAGACACCGGAGCAATTAGAAAGACTGCCTGGAGGACACTGTTATTATTTTCATAAAATACTTGTGTTACACCTAAGACCACACCCTACTGTAACCTTCCAGAACCTTCCATTAAAAAGAAAATGAGACAATTCTGTAATAGATGAATTACAATAGTTTCAATAGAAGCCATTGCTAGGAGTTTTGTTGAGAAAACATACAGAGATCTTGGCCTGCTTATCATCCATTGACAAAAATACAATGATAACTAGACAGTGACAACACTCAACAGTAACACACTGGCAGAAATGCAAAGCTGCCCCCACACACATTATCACACAGAGGCAACGAACTTCACAGTACAGTGTATAATCAGTCATGCTCTGCAGTTGGTATATGAAATCCTGACCCCTGCTGTTCTATGTATGCTGGGCCATCAGCTGGAATTCAAGTATGCAAACAAACAATACAGGTGGGAACAGCACAATCATTTAGGCACTCTTTCAGTGGTGTATTGAGATGTTTGATAAGAAGAAGGAACATAATAAACGTGATAATTAAGATATTATCTCCTAATCCTTGTGTAGAAGGTGGGACCCACCCCTATTGAAGCTTGCACTAAGCTGGCTGTAACAGAATATTTTCCTCCTCTCTAGAGGTATTAACTCCCCTCAGATCCAGCCTGCTGTGCCCTCTCTCTCCTGTTGAACCTGCCATGTGGGATAACTACTCTAATCTGCAACAACATACTGCTGCTCTGATTTAACAGGGGAGATTTAAGGCAGGAGGAGAGATTTCAAAAACAGCTTGCCTTCCTACAAACCCACCCTCAAGAATGTGCTGCTGAATGTGTTGAAGAACTGAGCCTTGTAACTACTTTTATTCCTGATATTAAAACACAGAAATGTGACCCTCGGAATGCAAAACAGGCTCTTAAAAGTGTTTTGACACGTGTGAAATAAAATGTGTCTTTTGACTGCAGTAAAACCCAAATAATCAGAGGGATTGAGGAGTCTCTGGGTCCGTGACCACAGCTATTGTTTATTCATGCCGGGCATTGAGGCAAATCAGTATTCAAGGTTTGTGTGGATGCAGCCCACCCCCCTCCTGCTCCACTAATTGTTCCTACAATTCTTATACAAAGGACAGGGACATGTGCCATCAGAGGACAATTGGCATGTTTTCCAATTATTTCACCAATCAGACAAAAATATACCGATGTAGAAGCCATTAATATCAACACCATCAACATATCAGAATAATGGACCTATATTAACATGCAACAGCAAATGAATGGCTTCTTGTGCGAGGTCCTGCTTTACATGAGTGCATCTGAATGCATGTGACCCAGTTTCTAATTGCTCGCAATCAATATAGATAAAAACCCAAAATGGCGCTACAGTGAGATGACTAATGATCTGGTATGGAAAACAACACAGCAACACAGGTCACGGAAGGCATGTGTTGGCTGATGGACCACCACAAATTAGTGGATGGATGAGCTGGAAAAACAAATTAAAAACAATTCATTTAAGGTGGAACATTTGACTGGTTCCAGTTTATCAAACATGGAGGTTTGCCAAATTCCTCCGTTTCATTTTATTGCAAATTGAGTATATTATTGAGTTTTGGATTATTGATGAGAGAAATTAAACACCATGAGTTATTTGAATGGGCATTTTCTACTATCTTTGGCCAAAAACAATTAATAAATACTGAGAAAATAGTCAGCAAATTGATTGATAATGAAACTAACTCTTGATTGAAGTCCTGAATTCAACACTCAAAACCATAAGGAAGCTTGAAATAGTTTCAGTGTTACAAGACTTCAACCGGATAAGTAACAAACCTCAAGAAATCCACAGGATTGTGTTCCCTTTGATTAGCTGCTTTTATTCTAGAGGATGTACGAAACACAATACGGCCCTTTTCAACCAGCCACACCTTTCAAAGTGGCTTTGAGGAAATAAATTCTTGGCCGTAGCAATCTAAACAAAGGAAAACCGGCATAATGGGCCTCACACTGTTGCAGTACCCAAGTGATTTATTAAAAAAAAGAAACTCAACATGCTTAAACACCATCAGGGAACCATTAAAAGCACCACAACTGATCTAATAAAAGAGCTCTGATCAAATTAATAAGATACTGTGTCTGTGTGTACAGTAGGTCATACAGTACTCGTGATCTTTTGACCTGTAGGTTGCATAAACTCTTGTTCTTGATTGTCACGACAGTCACACTTACTGCCTTTCTATTCAATTAACAAGGGTCTCCATTATTCTAGCGGGCTCTGCGGTTGTAGTGCTCGCTGCCCTGTGCTGACAGCTGGCCAGCTCTGAGGGAGCTATGCTCACAGCCATGGCAGCTAATGCAGGAATGTGTCCATGTGACAAGCTCCAGACCATTTAGTCTAGTTTTTAACAATACCACCAACCTCGCCACGCACACATGCATCTGTTTAAAGTGCTATGAAGCCAAGCAGCTTGTTAATCATTCAGAGGCAGATTCCAATACCCACAAAACTTTGTCTTTGAGGGGAAAGAGCTCGCCCCGTAAAATAACTTGGTCCCCGCCAAAACCTCACATACCTACACTGTTAGTATACTCGTCCCATTGCCTGTACCCCAGAAGAATATCATTTCTTTGCTGCACCTTTACCTATTCAACTCGTTCAGCTTCCTGCTAACCCTCCCTAATCTTCCTGTCCCTGCCTGATAGCATGCCCGCTCCACCGCCCTGCACGAGGTAACCCACAACAATGGGCCAGTGTGCAAGTGTGAGAGACAATGATGTCACATCAGAAGAATTTAGATTCACCCCCTCATGAAAATAGAACAATATTTGTTTAGTTAAAACCGTGTAGCAGCTCCAAGCCACCCTGCTGAGAAGAGAATTTGCGAGATGAGGAAACATAATTTAACTCGCTTGTAAAAACAAAAAGAAAGAACGAAAGACTGGCTGAAGGTTGAATGGAAACTTTAAATAAGTTGACATTTTGGAAATTAAAAGAGACTGTTTTTGATAGTGCTGGTGGATAGTTATTTTTAGTTGGTAGCTGTTTTGCAATTTAAAAAAACTGTATATTATGAGGAAAATCTTTTAAAACCTTTATTCTATATTTTACGCATTTTTCATACATATATTTATCACAAAAGACAAACTGTGTGACTGCTTTTTTAGTTTTTGAATCATCAGTACTTGTAATAGCAATTTACAATAATATACAGTATAGGCTAAGAATGACTAATTACTTATAAATAGCGTGTCATTAAAAAGGTGGAACATCTTGCCCTACTTCAGGTTATTATCCAGGCTTGAACTGTGCTTACAGGAGGTGTGGTAAAATAGCTGAGATTTATGGATCAATCATAGATTCTCTTTTCTTAATTGCTCTGCCAATTCTCTCACGACATGTTTCAAAACTGTAGCCTCAAAGAAACCCTGGGAACATCTAAGAACAGCAGGTTTAGACAAGCAGCGAGTAAACAACAATGATGAATACATTCAAATCCATACCTGTATTCTCAAGAGACAGACAGATAAGATAAAGGGAATAACTAATGTTCGGAGGAAAGTACAGCTACATTATTCCCAAAGACAGAAACAATATACTTGATCATCAGTTGCTTGAGACTATAACCAGGGTGTAACATTATTCATCTGTTGGTCCAATTTAATATCTGAGATTTAGGGGTAAGCCACTAGATTACACCCAAACAACATAAATCAAGAATGTATTAGACAAAACCCCTCAGCTTTACACCTTTATAGGCTCATGTCAGTCTTATAGTAGCTAATATAAGAAATAATTCACACAAAAATACCACTTTCCAGTTTTGCCAAATAGTGAAGACAAGCTTTTACTAATTAGATTTAACCTTCTCTATGATTAGTGCTTACCCCCTGTCAGTGCCTTTGAATAAAAGTGTTTTGTAAAAGGTTTACAACTTAATAGTCTTGTGTTGGTCTTACAGTGAGGAAAAAGTAATCACACAAAAATACCACTTTCCTGTGATCACAAGCATTTAGCAATTAGATTGAACCTTGTCTATGGTTATTGCTTACCTCCTGTCATTGACTGTGATGAAAAGTGTTTTTGTAAAAGGTTTTCAACTGTATAGTCTTTTGCCAGTCTTATATTAGCTGAATGAGGAAAAATAAATCACACAAAATAACACTTTCCTGTTTTGCCATATGGTGATCACAAGCATTTACCAATTCTATGTAACCTTTTCTTTGATTATTGCTTACGTCCTGTCAGTAGTTTTAAAGAAAAATGTTTCTTGTAATGTTTTTGACTCACCTCAATCCATCTCTGTGCCTCCAAGTACGCCTCGTCGCAGCTGACCTCGGACTGCTCGCGCCACTCCATCACAAAACCGTATTATCCGAGCTGCACCGAAGGGACAAATCTGTGTGTGTAGATGTCCGCATTTAAGGTCCAGTGACATCAAATGTGGGCCGGTCCAAACAAAGCAGAGACAATGAAGGCACTCTAAACTATTCAAGCAATGTAGAGCATCACAGATAAACTTGAAAATCAAACTACTCAGTCATGAAATATGCTTCCTTTTGTTCATTTCCAGTAGGTTATTACTGTATGAATGCAAGGTGTAACAGTGATACACTCCCTTAGCATCAGCCTGCTTACCTGTTCTTTCATCCGACACACCTGTGGATCGCTTGTTTTGGTATTTTCACACACTATTTACTCCACCTTTTCAGCGACCAAGCCTCCCTCACAGTCCAACCCTGGCTCTCCTCCTAGACAGGAGATGTTATCTTCTCATGGAGTTCAAACTGCATGAGGCTGAGGCAGGAGGGTTTCCAAAGTGAGGTCTGAGGACCACCCACGGGTCCTTTGAGAGGCTTCAAGTTCCAGGTGAACACAAGTTGGCTGATATTTCCCTCTCCCTCGGAGGTTGTTCTGATCCCAGGTTTCCACTACTGTAAGTATAGTGTAACTCTACACCAATTCATATCCAGCTACAACATATTCTCACATTACAGCTTGATAAGTAAAAGCCGTGTCCATTTGAAGTTGTTGGGCTGCTTAGTATCAAATGTTAAAGCAAAAGTTAAAAAGTTTGAGTAAACTTTTCTACTTGCGGGAGATCTGCAAATCCTTTTCCTGCAGCGCCCTCCAGCGGCCATCAGGGTGAAATGCAGGGCAGGAAATCAGCACGCAAGGTACATTAACGTATTTTGAACACGAGTTGAATTTATACCTTGCAGGTTTCTTTGCTACATTTATTTGACAGCTATAGTTACTTTACATATAAAATTAAAATAATTCACATACAATACTATGATCATCTTACATTACCACGTAAAAATGCATGGTCATAGATTAAAATACCCAACAGTATAAAGAGTTTTTAAAATATGATCTATCTTGACCAGTGACATTAAAATCCATGTTAATCCAAATATATTAATATAACAGAATGAGTACTTTGATGATTTTTTAAGTTTAAGTTTAAGTTTGACTATTTTCCATTGAATTAATTCAGTAGTAGAGTGACTACTTTGTAAGTACAGGTTACTTTGGATTCAAAGAAATAGCTTTTGTATTTTCAGTGTAGAGGCCTGATAAAATTTTTAATATTTTATTTTCCTATTGTAGTGTGCTAATAAAAAAGATACATATTTTCAGCAGGCCTAATCAAGTTCATTACATTTGACAATAAACCCATCAAATACTAAATCATACAATGATAAACAGATACCTTTCTAACATGTTTGTGCTACAGAAAAGATCAACAAGAGAAATGTGTAGTAAATTTGCCTTTTATTTGACAGAATTTGTAATTCATATTACAAAAATGTGGGCACCTTCCCCACTAATGTACAGTCACATTTCAGCCTTTCTTCCAGAAGACTTATATTTTTCTGCTTTTTATAACATTACTGTATTAGGCCTATCTTTTTTGAAAGCTATGACTGAAATTAAAGCCTTGCCAAACATATCTCTGCAGCCGGTTTTGACCATGTGTTAGACACATCATCTTAAACAAATCATTACATACAGTATGAATCATTGAACCCAAGGTAAAAAAGTTAAGTTGTGCTCCCTCACATATGTGGAAATCTTGTGAAATATCTTTCTTAATTGAAAGTCAAAGACGCCATGTAAACAAAATGTAGTGCAGTGTCAGGGTAGTACAGTTGATATTTGTATTACAGCTCTCACGATGTTTCAGCAGTGTGGATCTGGAAGAGTTTGATCTTAACAAGAAATACTTTTGTTTTCACAGGAGCACTCTGATTTCCTTCGAATTTCACCATAACAAGTGATGCATAACAAGATGTTATTAGTTTAAATGATATCCCTGACTTTTTTTTCTTACCTTTGCCACAAAAATGAAAAATAATTAAAGAAAAATCTAACTCTCCAATTGAGCAAGCACTTGAGAATGTTTGGCAGTAATATTTTCTTCTTTCTCTGGGATCACAAAGGAGTTTCCTCAATATGAATCTTTGGAGAGGGCAATGATGGTGAAACGAACCTCCTGAGGGTCGCGAGCCATGAAGACCTTACAAACCTCTACAGCATCCTGCGGTGCAATTGAACACATCAGGAAATGATGACTTAGAACTCAACTTCAGAAATGTTTTTTATAGCAATTGTCTGTTTTATTCTGTGGGGTCTTACCTCAAGTAAAGTGTCTTCGGAAGTTTTGCCGTGGACAATAGGGAAAGGCTTGCGGCCATCTAGGTTAAAAAAAAAAAAACAGTTTACCAGGAAGTTTGCCTGAAATGTGTATATAAAGTAATTACTATCTACAATGACACAAATGCAATGCAATATTTTGGACGTACAAGCACACTTCAGTTGGTAACTCACCCAGTTCATATAACTGTCCCCCAACATTCACAAAAGCTATAAAATGCAGATTCACTTTCTCATCTACACTTGGGGCCTAAAGCAGACAACAAAATAAAAACAGAGTATGTTTAAGATACATATTCTTTGAGATGAAAGACAAAACAATTGGTGGTATTTCTGCCAGAAGCATACACAGAACATTTAAAACGCAATACAAACCTCAGTCTGTCCCTCCTGCGCACTGGATTCATGTGTCACACGTATACTCTGAAACAAAGTAGAAATAAAGCCAATGATTTGCAGTGTTTCGTACTTCATGGTAATTGTACCTACATGTTAGGATAAACTAACATGCAATATGTTCATGTACACAAGGCCAGTATTATTATGTTATAAGTGACAGATAGAGAGCAGTTACATAAAATGTAGAAGGCTACAGTTACCAGGAAAATAGTTACAAAGAGTGTCCATGTTGTTATGACTCAAAAAGAGGATATTCTATAAAAGGGTACTGTATAAGTTGTTGTGATATTGATAATTGTTTGGGGCCGAAACAGTTTTTTGATTCATCCTGTGATTAACTAAAATAATGGGGAAATATTTAATAAGTGCATACTCGTGGTTCTTCTTTTGTAAAAAAAAAAGTTGACAAAAAAACAAAAATCTTAACTGATTACTTAAAGGTAGGGTAGGTAAGAATGGAGAAACCAGCTCGAGTGCGCTAGAATTTGAAAGTAAGCCCTTCCTTCAGACTTCCTTACAGAGCCCCTCCTCCAACACACACGAACGCTCACATGACCAATGAGGGCACGAGATAAGTTTGTGCACGAGATGGAAGGCTGACAGGCAGGTAGGCCATCCAGTTATTTTAGCCGGGCCGGCTCAGATGATTGGTCGTGCTTTTTACAGTACTACGGCTTCCACAGATGACATTTTTGTATGTATTTATTGTCAAAGTATTTAATATATTCATTGCTATCGGGATGTTAAGAGCATTCCATGGAATATAACAAGTGTTTCTGAAGTGAATTACCTACCCTACCTTTAATCACAACATAATTAAGCAAAGATTTTCTTTTCAGTTTTTTCTTACCTCATCTTTTTCCAGGAAGGCGGCCTTTTCCTCTGAGGCCATTTTAGAGGTTTGTACGATAAACTTCTTAAGAGGAGAATCAGGCTCTGAGGAGAGAGGACAACATGAAGTAAAATCTATAAAAAACTGTCTGCAGGCAGAAATGTTTTAGGATTTGAACTGGGTGATTTTCAACACTGATATTGCAACCCCTAAAGATTAATTTAAAGTGGACCTATCATGCTATATTTGAATAATATATTGTAGGGCCATACCTATATAAAACATGTCTGTGACGTTTTTTTTTCAAAATACCAAACAGATCATGCATTTTAGCCATGCCTCATTTCGCTCTATTTGCTCTTTTCCAGCCCTGTTTTTGCAAGGGCTGATTCTGTGAGAAGTCTTCTTCGCTGCTTTTGTGGCAGCAAGTGAACCGTATTGAGTTGATGCTTTCAAATTGTAAACATGGAAATATTTCACATCTCTACCATTGGATATGACGAGAACAGAATAAATACTCACCAAACTCCAGGTGTTTTTGGTTGTTTGCCACTGCATGAATTAATCCTATTGTTCCACAGGCGTTTCCAATAGTCTGCTTCATGAAGTAGACGTCAGCAGACACGTCCTGTGGCTGACCCTTGAGTTTCTCTTCCTCTTCATGCTTGAAAGCCTCATACTGGACAGAAGAAGGAGAGAGGAGAAATATCGGTTGAGAATTGTTTTTGAATGGCATGGAAATGAGTCTCTACAACATGTAATGAAAACACAGTTAATACATCTGACAGTACAAGTACCTTCTCTGTCACTGGGAAGAGAAGCAGCACCGCACACACTGGTCGTGGCACCATGCTGAGAAGCTCTGGATCCAATCCGTACACATCTCCAAATTGCCAGGTTGGTCTCATACCTAAGCAATTGACAAACTGCACAAACGCTGAGAGTAAATGTGTATGCATAAAGTACAAAGACATTACAATTAACCTTACAAAATCTCACAGCGAACTTCCAACTCAAATGTAAGTTGTATGTAATAGCTGGCTCCTTATTACCAACACAAACATCTGATAATTACCTAAACCTCACAAGGCTAGAATACACATGATTGACAGGATACAACCAAAAATAGTCATTACTTTCTTATAAATATGTGCTTTGTACCAGCTTACTAAACATATCTAACGTACAAGGACTTCTAAGTAAGTAATGCACTTTGGTACCTCAATAGAAAAGTTATATTAAACTATTCTGAGCAAGTATCGATTAATTACTGATATTTTATTAGAAACTTTAAATGTGATTATACTATTTTATGCTTTTCTATCTTCTCATGTACAGCTGATAGACTGATGCACTCAACATCTTGTCATTGTTAAATATAGACAGCAGTTAGTTTGGTTATTAACATAGGACAATATCAATAACTTTACTTACTAAGTAGGAACATATTTACTGTAGGTTTAACTAACCAGTTTATGTGTATGAAGCTCGAGAAAAACACGTAAGATAACTTCGTAAAATATATTCTCTTTAGGGTGCAATTGCAGCATGCTACTAGCAATCAGTTAAAGCTTTTGTCATATTATTCGCAGTCTGTTTTCTAACATAACTTTTAAAAGGCAGCATTTTTTACTTCTACGCTTCACTGAGAGCATCACGTATAAAACAGTAGCATTGTTGATGAGTAACGTCAGGCCTTGTTCCTCAGAAGTCACGTTGCAGGTGATTATTGGGGTGTTAAATTAAATCAGAAGGAAATACTCACCTTTGTCATGACCTGAAATAAAAAGAGACATATACAAATGTTAATAATACTTCTTTTGTAATTAACAAAGAAGCCACACCGGCTCCAGCTTTTGTTCTAAGGGTTAGCCACAAGTTAGCTAGCCCTCACATGCTTGTGAATGAATGACTACGACAGATCACCATTTTGAAGAAATAACAACAACACATACTTCTGGATTTGACTCCAAAGGCAACCATCGTGGACTGTCCATTTTGAAGTAACGTTAACTTTTATTTTCCTTTCAACTGAGAGCTAGCCGATTTACCCAAATCTGTCTGACAGCTGGATATAGCTTCCGAGTCAGGGAAATGGAACGTGGCATTCACGTAATGCGTAGGGGTACACACTTTTTTATAAACAACATATATATCATACCCGGTACTTTCCGACATTATAACATGAGTAATATATATTGATTTGTGAATTTTAATATGTTTCCAACCTAGGGAGTCGTGTCATATTTCTTAATCGGCAAAATGAAGGATAGATGAATGTACTACTCACACCCTCCACCCAACAGTGGACCATTCCATGATCATGGGCGTGATTGAGATTCCCAGCGGTTGGGGCTGTGGAGCACTATTTTATACAGTCGCTGTATGTATTGTCATCTCTTTTTTGTATTTTTGCAATATAAATATTTGTGTATACATGGGCGTCACTTTGTTAGAAAAAGTGGTGTGGACAATTTCTCCAGATTTAACATCAGCATAGGAAGGAAGACACAATATTTCCTTCTCTTGAGTAGTGTACCTCAAGTACCTGCATGAAAAACCAATGCATAGATCTCTGGACCACCAATGTGTTTCCAAAACTATGAACGCCCAATTATAGGTCTTGCTGTGATGTGATTTAGATTGAATTTGTACCTTTTTGCACACAACGAGCACACAGGTATGGAGGAAAGAACATAACACAAGTTAAAAAATAAATAAATGCATAAATCCAGGAATAAATCAAGGAATAACAATTTTTAAGAATAAATAAATGTGAAAAAACACAAATGTGGAAATAAAAACAGGAATAAATAAATGTGAAAATAAATACAGGAATAAATAAACACACACAAATAAATACATACAGGACATTTTTTATAAATGTGGAAATAAATATAGGAATAAATAAGCGTCTCCTGAAAAGCGCTATACAAGTCCCATGTATTATTATTATTATTATTAAATAATCACAAGAAAAAATTTATAAATACAGGAGTAAAGAAATAAATGTGGAAATGAATACAGGAATAAATAAACACAAGAACAAATTAATGAATATGGAAATAAAGAAATGAATAGCTGCTATCACCCCTATTCTGAAAAAACCCGGACTCAACCCTGACAACCCTAATAACTTCAGACCAATCTCGAACCTACCCTTTCTGTCAAAAGTTCTGGAACGCGCTGTAGCATCACAACTCAAGCATCATCTCTCTGCCAATAACCTCTATGAAACTTTTCAATCCGGATTCCGCTCAAACCACAGTAAAAACTAACTTGAAAAAAATATATAAAGATATTTAATATGAACATTTTTTTTTACTAAAACTAATAAAATATATATATAAAATATAAAACTTAATGTAAAAAATATTGCATTAAAAGATGTTTGGCAACAACAACAAATTAAAATAACAATTACATTTTTTTTGTAAATGGGGACAAAGATTTCTGTTTGCTGCTTTAAGAAATAAACATACACAAAGGTACAGGACTTCTTATGTTTCAATCTGGCAGACCAGGTGTTGGTGCTGCCGGATTTGGCACCCCCCCTATAACTTTGTCCAGGAGGATAGTCATACTTCCACCTAAATCACACTGGTGTTTGCTGTTCCCTTCTAATTTCAGAAGGTTTTCCATCTCTGGCAGAGCAGATTTTCTATCGTGAGGATAATTAAGACCTGGTATTTGCATGCTGACCAAGTCCTTTCTCTGTTTCTGTTGTACTATCTGAATAAAACGACCCTTTTTTCCTGGCAATGAGAAATCCCTGCATTTATAAGTTCAAGTGTTTAAAAGTCTTTCAACAGCACATATTCTTTATTCAGATTGTACACCAGAGAAAGGACTTGGTCAGCATTGAAATACAAGGTCTTAATTATCTTCACGATAGTATTATTATATGTCTGGCCATGGGAAAATTATTCAAGAAACTAATTATCTCAATTTTTTTTTTCTTTTAACATGTAAACTACGCATTCTGGTACCCTCTGACAAGAAAATTAAACAAAAAGACAACATTTAATTCAGGCAAACAGGCCAAACCACATGTCCAAATTGCACATCTTGACACTAAACCAATGTTCTTGTTTATTACATTTCTTTGTGCACGCTGTTTTTCAAAAAATGTATAAGTTATACTTTTAAAAAGTGGTGGGGACATGTCTGCTGCGTCCCCAGCGCAAATGACGCCTATGTTTGTATATAACATAATCAAATAAATAATAATACATATTTATTTCAAGAAGAAGAAGAAGAAGAAGAAGAAGAAGAAGCCGCCAGACGATGGCGCTGCTGTCTTAGTAAAATCCTAGAAGAAGAAACTGACACTTCACCAGTAGGTGGCGGTATACACATTTTACGATGATTTTTGATCCATTGAGAAACAGAAAAGAAGAAGAACATTCTCAATCCTCTTCAATGGAGAATAGTTTTCTCTAGCCAAAAGCTCGCTGTCCTTGTTAATATAATAACAGCAAGGTCCTCAAATTGCCAAGCGAGAAAGTCACTAAAGTGGCAAAATTATCACGACGGTGTATCCTGCAACCTGACTGTGAGAGGAGATGCCAGCATTAGAGGAGTCTCAGGGTGGGTCTTCAACTTCATGTAGCATCACAATCTTTTCAGTAAATTGTAGTTTGACTAAAAAGGGGAAGAAGATGGTACATCACCCAGGCAATGTATTGGTTTTTGTCATTAGCGTGTGCTTAACTATGTAGCTAACTGGTGGTGTGTAAACCGGTAAACCCATAGACTGTATAAAGTGTAAACCATGTTATTATGAGTTCTCCTTAACGTCAGGGGACCATAACCCAAAACACTTAATTCATAACCTGACCCAACCTTACCCTAACCGAAAACGGGTAGTTATTTTGCTACACTAAACCAAATCTATTGACTTTTGCCTGTACAATTTCGTGCTTCCCATTAATACAATTAGCTGCATCTGTTTTGAAAACACATGAGTAAGTAAAGCTCGGAAACGGCATAATATATACAAGATCATCCTGCAGACGGTTAATATTTTGGCACAGTAAGTGTTTATACGTTAGCTTAAAAGTGGTCCGAGCACACAAAAATAGATTACTTTTTTGCATTGTTTTTTTTACCTACTAGCCTAGTTAAAGAGACCACTGAATCGCTGCAAACAACCTAGAATTGTAATCAAATACCAATGCAGTCTGATGTTCAGGGTGATCTGGGGAATATATGGGATGCACTGGTTATGCACATCACAGGAGATTTCTACTGAGAGCATAACAGAAGAATCTGAATACATGATATTGTCTCTGTAATTTATCTGAAAAATACTTTATATAATTAAGTTAAATACATCTCCTTAAAGTGCTTACATACATGTTAGCCATTGGCATTGGAAGATATTTAATGACATGAATGATAACCTTTTGTGCCTTGGCTGTTGAAAGTAATTTTTTTCTTTATTTTTCTATATTAAAAAATCACAATTACTATTCGTATGTATTGAACCTTATTATACCTTGGTGTCTGCTCTATTTTCCTGTCCTGAATATTTTACACTCTGTCTGTTTACTGAATAAACATCTAAGAAAAGAAAGATGTCTAATGAGGATTTTCAAGTAAAAGAAATGATAACGGATATATTTGCTCCTAATTTTTATAATTGTATATCATAAATAAAGACATTGTATCATTAATGTATTGCAGATATGACAGAGGCACCAGAATTAACATATTTAGACTCAGGTGACACAGTGACTTCACTCCTGTGTTTCAGGTGTCAACAAAGTTGTGGACAGCATCTGTAAACTTTCTCCAGATCTGTTGGCGGAAACAGTGAGTATGATGCATGTTTGATTATTTATATCCCTGTACAGTTTGCAAACAAGTTTAAATCTACAAAAAGGTAAATTAGAATACAACATCATCTTAAATTAATACTAAATACAAATGTGCTTAGAATAGAAGCACCAGTAGTCACATAAATACCGCTTAGGCACATTTGTGATATTGGGTTGTATACAAATTATTGACTCAGCATCATGTTGCCCTGTAGTATTTACTCAGGCACAGAATGGGTTTCTCAATTGACAATACATTAAACCAAGTTGTAGTGGAGCAAATCTCTCAGTGTGATTAACAATCAGATGCTAAATAATGCAATATAGTGTGTTTTGCTAATAGGAGCCGCACTCTGCACAAGTCGAACAGGATGTGGTGTGGTTGTCATAGAGCTCATGCTACACTTCTGATAACCAATCTGTTAATCTCCACAGTGTCGCCATATTCTGTTTTACCTTCAAGGGCAAACTAAAGGAGTAGACTCAGCTGAAATTTCTGATGTGAGTCAATGTTTACTTCAAATATGTTTTAACCTACAGTAACCCATCTTCCCAAGTTCCTCTTTCATAAGTTGTTTTGTTTTTCTTTTCTGTGCAGGAATTCCAGAGAGCTGGAGTCAGATGTGACCATGAGGCTCTGCAGAACATTATCAGATTTCTCTTGTTAACATTCAGGTATCTTTTGTCCAATTATTATTATTTTTTGCCTCTGAATTTGCATGTTAAAATGTATGCTGGTGAATGTGTGTGTCTAGCTATCATGTATTACTTATATTATTTTTAAAGGCCCACATGTTGATTTTTGTTTGCCCCTTTTGAAGTATATTGTTTTAATAGGATTCAAGGATTCATTCAAGGATTCAAGGTTTTTATTGTCATTTGTGCATAAATTGCAAACAGATGAGTAATATCCCTTGGATCAGAGCAAGCCTTGTCATTGGCTCTTAATTGTGTATCGTAGCTTTACAATCATCTTCATTAATTTGCCAGACAAAAGGCAAAATCATGTGTAAATATTTACATTTATCGTAAAGTGTGATAGTTAGCCTTTGTATCTTCAGGTCTGCTGGGAAGAGTAACCTCTCTGGGGACGACCTTGTGAAGAGGCTGGAAGAAGGCAGCAGTAAATGGCCCAAAGCTTCCCTTCAGGTGTTGCACAGGTTGTGGAGTGAACACGGTGCATCAGTCCGTGCTCAGCAGGAGGTCGAGTCAGCGCTTAGCATCGGTCAGGTATGTCCTTATCTCATTTTCAAAACATTACTGGTGACCTGAACACACTTTTGTCTAATTGAAGGCTAATGAGACGTTGTTTTTTTTCAGTTAGTGGACATGCAGTGGAAGCTCGGCATGGCAGTGAGCTCCGACACCTGCCGCTCTCTCAACTCCCCATACGTGTCTCTTCTGTTAAAAATCGTTGAACCCTCTGGACAGATCTGTCAGAAGTCTTTTGAAATGACCATTCCTCAGTTCCAGGTCTGTATTTATTGATGTGAATGTAGTGTTGTTGGTAACATTTATTACATGCTTGATTTTTATGATTCTTCTTTTTCCTTTGCAGAACTTCCACAAGCAGTTCAAGGAGATGGCAGCTGTTATGGAGACTGTGTGATGGATGCAAGCACACATCGGAGCTTAGGAGCTGGTTGAAATGACAACCCAGTTTACATTAAACCATTGGTAGAACAGCTTGGCACAGGTGTGTGTCTTCTGTCTCATATTGTGGATAAATATTAGGGCAAATGTCTGCTTTGCACTTTAAATGTTTTGTATATTACTTAAGCTTCTACATTATTTATCATTAGGAAGTCCAGCTGTTTAAAATAGTAAAATAAATGCTTGTCATCACTTTTTTTCATTGCAAAGACGTAAGTTTACTTTCTCCCATTAACTAATGTACAATGAATGCTAATGCAGTCTAATACACGTCAATCTGTAATACTATATATACTGTAATATGATTTTTTTTGTTCTGGTCAAGAGAGGTACTGTTAAACTGTATTGCAATATACAGAGAGATGCAATACAATTCAACAGCAACACAAATTACATCCTCCAAAATGACCAAATAGTTACATCAACACCCCTCTAATACAGAAGAAAAACATATATACCATATAACCTATGCGAATGTAGGATGCCTTTGCAGGATTGTTGTATCAATAAGTGTTGTATTTTTATTTTTAACTAGGTGTACCTAATAAACTTGCCACTAAGTGCATATCTACACTGATAATACTGCAAACCCTGTCAAACAAACAATATGAATAGTGTGCCTCTTTTTTACATAATGGTTAACAATGATATGGTTTTCCGTTTGGTTTTGTTCTTTTAGACTGCACAGAATTTAATTACATTTCCATAGTGATACAATGATTTTTTTTTCTTTGCCATATTGCTGTATTGTTTACCTGAGGTTAGAGATTGGTGGATATGTACTGTATAGTTTTACTTGTTGGCTATTTCTGTTTGGAAGGGAAATCATCCACGTGACATTTTTACAGGGCTTTTTCTATATATCTAAATTATGAAAACTTACTTTGTTGTGTTATTTTCTTGGTAATGCTGAAATGGCTATTGTTCGTTACCGTGGAAACCTTTGCTTTTTTTGTTCTGTGGTTAGTCCTCTCTTCATGCCAAACAACAACAATGAAAACAACGATTAAATGTAATCATTCATTGCATGGTTATTTGTTGCCAACTTCACAAATCAGAGTCCATGTGAGGTACTTATTAACAAATGCACTATTAGCAGTAGTTCCTCTGCCATTCCTTATTTGCTCCATGGTAACTACTCAACATTATGTGAACCATATAGCAAAGGGTTACCATCTAATTTCTAATGTATCTGCAATGCATTGTAACCTGTACATTAAATGCAATGTCAACACTCAGAAAAAAAAAAAAACAACCATATTATTTCATCAACTGGGGGTATACAGTTATATTTTTAATATGTACACACATCATCCTGAAAGTCTTGTTATGTGAGGTGTGGGTAGCAGAGCTCTAGTGGCTCCTGCCTGAGTGATGAGGTTATATATGGCACAGATACTATTTTGGGGATAGGCGGAGTGCTTAAAATGATTGCATTGGGTAGATGGGAACCTCTTAGGATATCAGATGTGAGTACAGTTTTCCAAGACTGTGCTTGTAAACATTTAGTTGAGAACTGCTTAAGTAGAGTACTGCAAATACTTCTGCCAACATATTATTTGGCCAAGTCTGGTCTTAAAAACGTGTGCTTAATGTACCAGTTAGCAGTGTTGAAAAGTAACTAAGTACATATTCTAAACTACTGTTCTTAAGTACAATTTTGAGGAACTTTACTTGAGTATTTCAATTTATTTCTACTTTGCACTTCTACCCCACTTGACTCAGAGGTAAATAGTGTACTTTTATTCCACTAAATGTATTTAATACCTTTAGTTACTTTGTGGATTTTGAATAATAATGTGACACAAACATCACTTAAATAAGACTTTAATCACACCTGGAGTAAATTCACAAGCTACCCTACAGCATACAAAGTAATTACATCTATCTGCACCTTTACCAGCTTTAATAAACACATTAATGCATCAGTAATTGTAACCAAAACATAGAATATATTATCCTGAAATGGGCCAATTTGCATAATGAGAGTACTTTTACGTTAGGTATTCTAGGTATATTTTGATGCTAATGCTTTTGTACTTTTTTTTACTCGAGTAACATTTTGAATGCAGGACTTTTACTTGGAACAGAGTATTTCGAGACTCTGGTACTTTAACTTAATGAGTAGGCTACTTCTTCCACCTCTGGCAGTTAGGTAGCTACAATTCACAGATTTATGGTCCTGCTGGGGGCTGCAAAAACTTTCCAAACACTACCATGAAAGAGGCTTTCCAATTATTCTGCACAGGAGGGAAAGGTGGAGCTTGGTCCTGTCACGTTTCACACCGCGCTGCGCCCTGCCCACTCCCCCAGCACATGGGCTGGATGGGCGGGTCGTCAACGCGCAACAGCCGCTCCGCCTCCAAGGCGTTGTGGAAGAAAGGATCACATTTGGAAGACTGCATCTAAAGGCGATAAACAAGCATCAATGTATGTATGTTAGATATATGCAACCTCGCCGTCATGGCTTATAGGATTTAAGGGCTGGGTCTATATTAATGCACCCCCCTCAGGAGCAACGTTAAAATAAATCAGATCTCTCTGAGCGACTTGTGTTTACACAGGAGCAATCCACAGCCACGTTTTAGCAAGCAAGCTGGGTTGGGACAGTACAGTACAGTACGGGACTGTTTAGCTTTTTGAGTCACTGCCCATGCAAACAGTGGAGCGCCAGAGCAGGGAAGCAAGGTACAAAATACATGATCTTATAAGTTAATTTACCTGAAGTCCAAGAAGGAAAAACTGTGCATCGGAGATATTTTGATAACATGGATTTTGCAGCTGATCGGCAGGGCGAGCACATGTTGTTGTGCATGTAGCAAATCGCTTGGTTGTAGGAACTTTCACTGTGGATGTGGACAAGGAAACTGTTGCAAACTAACCACAACTACTGCGATCTTGGTTGCAGGGAATGGTAGGATACATCGACATCCTTTTTTGAAAATAGTCTTTAGTCCCACATCGCTGTCAACGAGCTGAAAGTCGACATGGAGAGTCAGGATGAGAGGGAGAGCAGCCCCCCGAAGTCGGACAGGACGTTCTCCCTGACTTACATCGGCTGGTCCTCGCTTGACAGGCGGTCCACCCTGCCCATGCTGCCGTGGCTGGTGGCGGAGATCCGGAGGAAATGTGAGAAAGGCGACTGCGGCCCCGTGGTGCAGCCGAGAGAGGTCCAGCTGGCCCTCAACCCCCCCTTCATCCGATGTGTGCCCTCCAACAGCAACAACTCTTCAGTCTTTATATTTGAACACAAAGCACAGCTCATCTCTCGCTTCATCCACAACAGCAATGACCTCACCTACTTTGCCTATCTCCTGCGGGGCCAGCCTGACAACCCAGAGTCTGAGATGTCCTGTCACGTCTTCAAGGCCGGAGACCCCAACCAGGTAGGCCTGTCCAGGTGTCAAAAACACCTTTACACGTGTCACAGCAGCAACTAGACCAGGAAGAGAGCAGTACGCCTAAATTCCTGGTAAAGAACAAGACACTTAAACAAAAATAATAAAGGGATCTGTAAATAACTCAAATGATACATATATGTAGTATTGCTATAGGCACTTGACCTCACAAAACTTCCATCTATTTTTGTCATACTTATTTCCAAAGGGATTATAATTTAACGTGTCCTGAAGGTCCTCCATTTTAAATCCACTTTGATGTCAGACTTTACAGTTATGCCCACCTGTTTTCTTTCAATGACCAATATGAATTATGTAAACAGAAGACAAAGGAAGGTCCTGCCAAGCCTGATTTGAAATCTCCTTTAGGTGACAACAATGTAATTTAATCTCAAACAGACAATAGATTAGTAAATGGTCCAAACATGTTTGCCTTGGTATTAAGTATTTAGGCCACTGGTCGGTGGAAATGATAAACGGAGCACACTGGATTTTGGGCAAAGTTAATCCATCTCTGTGCTTTCCTCTTTAGGGGATCAGACATCTCTCTGGAAAGGTTTCAACTAATGATTACTTTCATGGTCGATACATATGCAGATTATCTTCTATAATAATCATTCTGTCTATAGCCTACTAATGTTCAAGTCCAGATCCAAAAAATATTAAATTTAATATTAGATGTTTTATTTTTTCTGTTTTTGAGAAGGGACAATGCACAAAGAGCATACAATGAGATATGTATTTGTCATTGGAGTAAGGAAGAAACACATCAAAACAGTTCAAAAAGGCACGCAATCTCCATATATGAGAGGCTCAAAATAGCATTTACGATTAATTGATTACCAAGATGGTTTGGGATATTTTTCTTCTGTTGATGCCATGGACTGCTAATTGTTTCAGATGTTCTCCCTGGTAAACATAGTGTGACAACAACTGAATCGGCACAATATTGAGTCAGCGACATTTATGCTGACCAGTATGCCACTGTTGAGTAATACACCAAAAAATGTGGTAAACATTCCAAAATCAGGAACGTGGGAGTTTGAAATCATTTTTTTAGGTCTTTGCTGAAATGCAGTCATAGTGTATTTCTGAGACATTGCACTCAAGAGCTCATCCCATTAGCGCTGATGTGTTTGTGTGTCTGTATACGTGTGTGTCTGTATGTGTTTGTGTGTGTGTCTGTATGTTTGCTTGCATGCCACTCAGAGTATGCAGCAGTGAATAAGAAGTGCACATGTTTTGTGTGTTTACGAATTATTGAGTTCAGGGTTGGGCCAATTATTCACCTGCTGTAAGACAAACTGAAGTCTGTATTATTACTGTTTTTTTCAATGGACAAGGAAACCTTCACAAATAATGTTCTCTAACAGGTAGCCAGCTCACGTTTGCTCACATTTCTGCATTGATCTAAAATACGGCCTTGTTGTATCATGTTTCCTGTGGTATGTGCCGGGCTCGCAGGCTGTTTGTCTGCTGGTGAAAGCTGAGAGTAGAGGCAACACATTCATGGCAGACGCACTCTCAAGGTGTCTGGTGTTTCGAGGTGTTTCCAGCAGTCAGAAAGCCATCCTGAACATACCTCATTGAACATTATTACGCACCAAAAACTGGTTTGGCAGCCAGTGAGCTAGCAACCAGTACAAGGTGAACAAGGTGGAATGCATGGCTTATTCTACCAGTACACTGCTGCCATGTAAACAACCTCTTGCAGTTAATGATTTATATTTGTAAATCCTTTTTTATTTTAAATACATATATTATCATCGTGCTACTGTGAATTTTTCCTTTGTCCAAACTGAGTTTGAAGACATAATTAGTCTTTGGCTTGTTGTGGACTGACAGGCATATTTTTAAATCTATTTTTAGCTGTAGACATGACATGGGTACATTGTGTAAAGCCTAAGAAAAGGCTGGCATCCACCAATACAATGTGAAAGGTTAAAATAAAATGCGATCATGATGTCTTAAAGAGCAGAGAAGCTTAGTTTGCTCATCTTGATTTAGGTTGAAGACAAAGAAAGTGTAATAAATCACAGTCTAAAGATAAAGATGGAATGCCTCCTTATGACTGTTCTTTTGTTTGAAAGATTGGGTGCTTCAAATCAAGTTTGACTTCCTCAAATTGAAATACAACTTCTGTTCTCACATGTATTTATGATTAAAATGAATCAGTTATGCATTAGGTGCAGCCATTCTGTCATTAAGGGCTCACTCAGTCATGTCTTGACTGTTCATTGGTGTATCCATGACAGCAGGTTGTACATAATAGTTTACCAGACACTGTCATTTTGATCTTCACTTGGCTCTGAGATTGGGATACTCCTATCTGTCTTCAGGGAGACTCTCATTGCACAAATTTAACACTGACCTAACATGTGTCAATTGTGCCATTATCAAGCCAGGATTGACATTCCCAGCCTGCACAGTGTTAACCTCACAGTGTAAACCACAGACCACCTCTGCTCTCACTTGGAAATGGGCCACAGTGGAATCTCTCACTGGGTGACCCTCTGCTGTCTTGTAAGTGCCGGTCATCATTCAGCTACACGATGCACTCATGAGTCAAGGCCAAGGCAATAGTGGCATGCTGGACTGCAATACAAAACTCTCTTTTAGCATTAAGGGAATTTAAATGTACATTTTATATTCCACCTGTTATGGAACATAAAACAAAGACATTTTCCATTTGCTGCTATTGTGAGAGGATGGTGTTAATACACTTGCTGAGTCACACCTGTGCTAGCTTTGGTTAGCTAGGGAATGTGAAGTGGACGTGCACATGATCCGATTTCTTGCCAAATGAGAAGCTAAGGATCCTGGATTCTTATCTGGTTTTCATGAGATGATAAAGTACTCGATCGGCTCTGGAAAACGTGCCTTGAGAACAAATTGACTTTAGCAGTACAATACATTGGTAACAGTGCAAATTGAAAGGATTTTTTTTTGTTGACTGTAGACACAATATGAAGGTTAAGTTTTATAACCAACACATATTGTTTTTGTTAGACGTTGTGTAATGACATACCAACTTAAAGACACACCACATAGATCCTCCATGGACATATCACGTGTTATTTAATGTAACATAGTGTAAAGATGGATGTTAAGCTTGCTTCATCTCTCAGCTGTCTTGATACATTATGATTTTCAGTTATACAAGTTAATACAAGCTTGTTGGCCCATGCCAAGGTGACATGTGATCCTTTGTCCTGCTTTGTTTTGCTTTGAGACATGAACTTTCACTTGTTAAACTACAGAGACTAGTTTGTCCTCAGGCTGATGGAAAAGCACTGGGATGACGTCACAGCTGTGCCGAGAACAGTAAGGTCCTCTAGAACCAATAAAGTTCCAGTCACACAAAGACAGTTATGTTTATAAAACTTTATTCATCCAGATTTCAAATGATATTCTCAAATGACACAGTTCTTCTCAGTTGACTATATTTTGGTTTCTGGATGATTTCTTTTCTTTTTTTGTTTGTTGGGTTCAACTGTTGAAATTTGACATTTGAAGTTTGGAAAACTAAGTTAATCTCTAACTTGATGCTCTTGTTTTCTATTTATTTAAGAGTAAGTTTACAACAACTTACATTGATTACTTTTATGTTTAATTTAGGAAATATAGTTTTTCTACCTGCACTCTATAGTACAGTCAAAGGCTAGACATACAGGAGAAGGGGAGAGAGAAGAGATGGCTTGCAGCAAAGCAGCACAGGTTGGATCTGAACCCTGGGTTCTGCGCTAGGGCCATAGGTTACATATTATAGTACATAGGTTACCTGCTTTACCATGTTAACTACCGTGGTGCCCCATATTGATTTCTGTCAAAGTGAAAATCATGTAATCTTGGATTGCTCCTGTTCTGACATGGGGTATTATCTTCAATGCCACCGTTTCTGTCTGATTCCATCCTTATCTGGTGCTGACACAATGATAACCTGTGTGTCTAATTAGGCCTAATTGTGGATGGTGTGAGCCGGTGTGTTGGGTTCCAACGTGGTTAGGTTAAACCGTGGCAATAAGGGCAACACAACTATCTGCAGGCTAGCCTATTGTTTGACCAGATATTATTAGGGTCTACTGGGAGGTTTGACATGACATGAGCCATGAACTGAGTGCTCAGGACTCCTCCAGCTCACAGGGGGAAATCCTCCTGTTTGTTTTCACCTAAGCTCTAAAGCTGCCAGAGTTTATATAGGCATTGGATCACAGCCAGTGTCACTAATATTGTTTGATAGAGCCAGGCAATGATGGGTGAAGGTTAGATTTAATAACCAGTTTGAAAAACCGTCAGAGGGGGAGTGTTTGAATACATGGAAAAAAAACTCAAGGCTCTTCCCAACAGCTTTTGGCCTGTCTGTGCCTGTCCCTAACCAAGAAATTAGGTCCCTTACTGGCTCTGTATTGGATTAACTACAAATAATTAATCAGAGGAAATGGTGCTCTGGCTTCATCTTACACATGTATAATCTAGCATTGCCTTTAAATGTTAAGTCAGCGCTGTAATTTTTTCCTACACGGGCCTAGTTGCGTGACGGATCAGATACTGCAGCTGTGATCCTCAGACACCAAGGCCTCTGCATTACCTTGATGTCATGGTGCCAGCACGGCTTTTTCCAATGCTTTTTTAAATCTAATTTTGTTTTTCGAACACTAAATAAGGTTGACATATTTCAGGATTTGTGTGTACTCATGTGTAGACATTTGTCTCCGCACCTTGAAGTTAGCTGTTCTCTCAAAAGATTCTTAGAAAGTTCTTAACCTCTTAAGCCCCGAGCCTGTTTTTCAGGTCTCAGGCTCGAAAATGACATTCCCAGAACAAATGACCATATCTTCCCTTCTAAAAGGGGTAAATTAATAATCTTTATTCTCAAAGTAATGATAAACCTGTGAGTTGGATGTAGAAAAGTCAGAATCAATATAGATGTTTTTTATTTTAAAGAAAATTCAGATTTTACATAGTAAAAAACTGTAAATTATAGTGTCCGTCCAAAGATTCTTTTTTACTTATAGTGAAAACTACCCTTTAATGATGGGTTAGTAGACTAAAAGCTTTAGGAATCCAAAGTACAACATATAATAAGTACCCTGTATCAAGATTGATGCAAAACAAGTGCAATTTGACCTTTTTAGAGAGATTTAGCTAAAAAAACCCACTTCTGGGGTCATTTGGATGGATTTGACCTCTCTGGCCCCCCTTGGTCGATTTTGATGAATGAAATCTCACACGTTAACAAATAAGGAGTGAGAGTGACCCGGAAGCTGCATACACTCTGGTGGCTACCATTAGCAGCTAACTTTTCTGCTCCGATTTTTACATAAAAATGGAATTATGGATTATAAATAATTTCTTCAAAGGCACAGGTACATTATCAACCTATGGATCAACAGTTGTAGCATTTTTTGTTTTTGTTTTAATGCCATTGAACACGTCTGTTGACCTAATTGACAGCTACGGTGAGACGATCTGCCGTAAATGCTCCGTAAAGGTACGTGTTGTGATGTCTGTGTTTGCTTCCCCTGTCGCAAGTTCGGATCGCTCAGTGATGATACTATATCTAAATAATCTGTGGAGTCTCAGCTTTAATCGGCTGTATTGTATGTGCAGCTACGATAAGTAATAAGGGTATCTTTATCTTGAATTGTGTGCCGCAGTGCGTTAGAATTTTTTCGCTTAGGGGTCATTTAGACGCTGCTTATGAGACTTGTGTTTTGTTTTGGTAAAAATGGTTCATATCTTCAGTTAGCTGAGATTCTTCCCGTTAATCTGGTGCTACACATTAATAGTTTCATAAATGTTAAGAAGCCCTGAGACATTGTCTAGAAGAAAAAAACGGTGGGAGGGGTCCAATGGGGGGACCGCCGTGCTTAAGAGGTTAAGGATTTGAGAAAAGTAAACCAGCTGTTACAAACTGTTACCAAATCAATTACACAGGTCAGTTTGGTTCCAGTTGAACAGATGGCTGTGTATGTATGAACAACCAAACACCACCTGCCCTATTCCTCATCTCAATGCAGCCCTCTGTCACCAGCCACGCACAGCTCCATGCGTTGGAAGGCAGGCCCTTGGTAAATGAGACTTTAAAATAGCCACAGAAGCAATATGGCAGACACATACTTGATCTCTGTGTCTCAAACATAAACAGGACTCCACGAGAGGCAGGGATACACTTTCTCAGGATATTTTACTATATTCACAATTATTATTTTACTGTTTGTTTACCCTCCAGCTTCGATCCTGTTGTTCTGGTCACACCTATAAAGAAGGACCAATTTTGTTACATAACTTCCCTCCCTTGTCTACAATATAAGCATATTTGCTCAACAGTCAGTAGGGGACTCTTATCAGATAGACACTGTTTGTTTAGCGCTCATTCTTTTGATAAACACAGTATTTGTGGACTGCGGTTTGGTTCTTCTTGTTAGCACTTTTGCTTTTTAGAGATGTGGAACTCATAGGCTGTCAGTCCGGTTGTGTCTGCTTATTGGTTGTAATGTCAATAAGTCTCTGATGACTGAATGATGGATTGGCTTCAAATTCCCAAGTATTGCTTAAGAATGTGCATTGAAAGACTTGTGTTTTTACTTTCAACTTGCTTTTTTACTGGTTGCCATTTACCAAAATTAATTTCCTGTTGGATGGAACAAGCCGTCCCTGCAGGAGGTCAAACGAGGTGCAGTGCCCAAATGAGTGTAGCAGAAACGGGCTGAGTGACCTTCAAGTCTCTAGTTCTTTCCAGTGCTTTTGTTTTTGTCTTCTGCACGATAGAGTGTGGGCGTTTCCTGTCTCCATGCCTGTTTCTATACCAATGCAGTGTTTGGTCTGTCTGTTCTGACTAGATTTAGTTAGTTCATATGTAGTTCTGTTGTTTTTTTAGCCTTGAGTTATTTCAAGTCGCAGCATGAGGTCAGGCCATGTTATTTGTTTATCAAAACAAAAGAGTTGTTGGGTGAACTGCAACTGTCAGCTAAACACAGTTAGACTTCAGCTTGAGCATTGGGTCTACATGTATGTTAGAAAACAGCTGCATTGATATGATTTGATTTTTAATATAACTTTAAACTAGTCATAAACTGTTGATTATTGTTGAGCTATGTTATTTATCCAGGTGTAAGAAGAGCTGCAGGGAAAAGCTCCTCTGGCATGTGGTTCCTGTTCACTTCCTTTTCCCTATTGTTATGCTTTTTCTTGTTAATGTCTTCCTATTCATTATGTGTCTTTGTTCCACTCTCCTTTCTTACAGGTCCCCGAGGTGATCAGCAGAATTCGCCAAGTGTCCAAATCGGCGCTAAAGGGAGACACCAAGCCCAAACAGGAAGCTGAAGAGGCCTTCTACAACTCCCAGAAGTTTGAAGTGCTTTATTGTGGCAAGGTACAAAATAATTCTCAAAAAACAAGTCTTTCCATTTCATTAGGCAATTATATTAATGCGGTTACATTTCCGAAACAACTCCAGGTGACAGTTCTGCACAAAAAGGCTCCATCCACACTCGTTGATGACTGCATTGATAAGTTTCGTCTGCATGAGGTCGAGCGAAAGCGCCTGCGCCTGCTAAATGGCCAACGGGGGTCCACGGAGAATGCCCCTGTGGAGTTCCTTATTGGGGAAGATGGAGACCCCCTCTCCTCTGTTCTGAATGAGAGTGTACAAGCCCCGGAAAGCCCAGGAGTGGAGGAAGTGAATGTAGGTGGAGGTAAGAGTCTCATACAGATCGAGGATTAGCTTTAGCTCATATATCAAAATCGGTTTGTGCACACAACTACAGTAAGAGGTCAAAGCTGAATCTGCAGGTAGCTGGTTTTTTGTCAATTGCGTGTGATACGATAAACTGTGATTGAGAAGGCAGTCAGGCTAGTTTGTACTGTTGTCGTTGTCTAAAAATGTTTTATTTAAAATAAGAAGTGATAGTCCTTCTTGCTAAATAAGCCATCAATAGCTCTCTGAATTGGTTGAAAACAAAGCTTTACTTACCAGGCAATAAATCAGCCTCCTCACCAGTTGATAATTCATGTAGAAGATCTGATGCAAAATAGCAATATAAGAAATGGCATATTTGTTGTGTTGAAGGTTAGACCTAGACAGTATATATTATTACCAATTGTAGTTTTTTCCTTGATATAATATTTAATAAAAACGTGTAAGACAAGTTGATGATTTGGTTAAGCTGGAAACATTGGCACACGTGATGTCATGTGTTGACCCTGTACACCAAAAAGATGGTGGCTATAAATACCAGAAATCTAAAATAAACAGAAACATTTATTATTGCTCTATGTGTTTCAGGTAAAGGCCTGTCTAACAGCAGCAGTCAGAGCAGTCTGCGAGGAGCGTTCCCCGAGTGCATCCTGGAGGATTCTGGGTTTGAGGAGCCTCAGGAGTTTCGAACCCGCTGCAGCAGCCTGGCAGGGAGTCTGCAGAGGAAGCCGGGGGAGGGGGTCATCATGGGTCCCACCCGCCGCAGACACTCGAGCGCACCAAACCATGTCCAACCATCCGATTCAGACAAGAACCGCACCATGCTGTTCCAGGTAAATGGAAATGTATAAATGCTGTGGATTGACTTCCATGAAAAGTTAAGATATACTGTGGTTTTTTTCTGATATCTTGGTTTCAGTAGCAGCTCAGATGTTTCTTATCTCTGTGTCCAGTTAACTGTGGACCCACAGTCCGTTGGCAGAGCACAGCACTATTAGCAATGTTATCTCATTAAAACCTGCTTAGTTTGCACCCAGAACCAAGGGTCTTTTGTATTTGAATTATAGCCATTTTCAATGATTGCTTTGATTTGCAATGATTTTGGTATAGAAGTGCAGTTGTACTGAATTGTAGTACATATTTGGTTTATGTGTGGTTCACTCCTCAATCATTTGAACTAAGCAATGTCATATAATATGCTACATCAGGTGACTTTTTAGAAAATATTACTGGGTACCAAGGGCGGACTGGCCATCGGGACGAATCCGGTACTGAAGTGGGCCGGTCGGCGGTAATTACTTGCGGTACCGAGGTGGGCCGGCGGTACCGAAGTGGGCTAGAGTCGAGAGTCCCAGTCCGCCCCTGCTGGGTACACTACAGAAAATATCAGATCAGAACATTAAATACCAAGGAATTCACATTCAAGAATCTGCGCACGATAGCTGTAACAATTTGCCCTCATTAAAGCACATCGACCATACGCCATAGGTTTCCATCTTGTTTCACTTGAGTCCCATCTGTCACACCAGAAAACCAAATGCTTGCTTGCTTCACGCTATATGTCATTGAAACCCTCCCTGCATTTAGTTCTGAGCTTCTTGCCACAGCAAATCATTTTTATGTACCCGTGGCTGGCAGTGGTGATGTATGGACTAGCTCCGCCGTGTGTTGCCGCTCCAGATAAAGAGGCTGTAACTCCTGAGTAGAATTTGTGAGTGCCGCTCTACTCCTGTTTAAATGAAAAGCCAACACTTCATGAAAAGCTTGCGGGCTTCAGAGTGAGCCAGCTGCCATTCCTCACACATCATGGCCATTTCCTCATGAAGCTAATTTAAGAATCTGGAGCACAACGTTCAATATGATACTCCACATTGCAGTCAATTATGGGAAAAATCGTTGTTGCAGACTTGTTGACCTCGATTTTAAGTTGGCTAGTGTGTTTAGCATGTTATTCAAAGTGTCTCAGGACAGTCATAGCCCTTGTCATGGGATGCTCAGATTATATTAAGTTTCCATAAACCACAATCAAAATAAACGTATTATTGTTTTGCATTTGTACTTTTTAATGAATCGGTATGTGTTTTTCGCATGAATTTGAGCATAATACCCTTCTGTGTTTTTCAGGTTGGGCGTTTTGAAGTAAATCTCATAAGTCCGGAGAGTAAGACGGTGGTGCTGGAGAAGAACTTCAAAGACATCTCATCCTGCTGTCAGGTTGGTTTATTTTTACCTCCTGTATTCACACTAAAAGCCTCTCTTTTCTGTCTCTGATGCATTCCTAGTGATAAGATAAGCTCAGACTCATTTCAGGCATTTCTTTTCTAGACATCTAATGCATTACTTTCTGTCTTTATAGCAAAGTAGGTCTTTAATTTAATCGTATAATACATCTCTATCAGTGCTGTTGAACAATTCTTTTTTTTACTGCCTGATGTCCTATCTCTTTAAATAGACATCCTGCATAGAGATAATGCTCTGTGTAGTGTGAATTTAATAATCTCAGGAGCCATTATGGTGTCAGTGAAAACTTCTGAGTTGCAGTTTTTTGATTTATGTTGCTCGTCCCTCGCTGTGATTCATTCTAATATCCTGTTTGTCTTGAATTTGTTGCAGGGTGTCAAGCAGTCCGACCATTTTGGATTCATCTGTCGGGACCCAGTAGAGTCTGGTCCCAGTCAGTATGTGTGCTACGTGTTCCAGTGTGCCAGTGAGTCCTTGGTAAGCCACACCAAACATGAGCATTCAAATGACTGAAGCTTTTGTTCTTGACCTCATGGTTTTATTGTAATCTTTATTGACGGTTTGTGTGTTTGTGTGTCCTTTTTTCATCCTGAATGTGTCAGGTGGATGAGGTGATGCTGACCCTGAAGCAGGCCTTCAGTACGGCCGCAACCCTGCAAAGCAACAAGACCCCCATCCAGCTCTGTGAAGCCTGCCCCATGCATGACCTGCACAAGCTCTGCGAGAGGATCGAAGGTAAGTCAACTCAGTCGCTCTCTCTGGCTTTACTTATGATTATATTCATGGACTGTCTTTTTTTCTCCGAGTTAAAGCCACAAAAAAGAAGATTCTTATATCCCTTTTCTGTTTCGAGGTCTCTACCCACCCAGGGCAAAGCTAGCCATCCAAAAATATCTCTCCCAGCTGACTGACACTGAGCAGGTTGACATTTTTGAGCGAGTTCAGGTAAGGTTGGCTCTGCTTAGAGAACACTTTATTATCTGACAAATGAGTGACAAATTGACAGTATTTTAGCGATCAAGACAGTTGAATTTCTTTCACAAATACTGCTTCAAAGCAGTGTTGTTTTTACATCTTAAGTTACGAGTGTGTGTGTGTTGTGTCTGCAGAGGTTGAAGCCCGGGTCAGACCAAGAGGAGAACGAGCTGGTGATTCTCCATCTGAGACAGCTCTGTGGAACCAAACAGAAGACCCATCTCCACATTGGAGAAACCCCCCAGGTGAATAATTAACACTGTATATGCTGAATAAAATCATTGTCAGATGTAGATTTAATTACAGAGATTTGACTTTAAAATGACTGATATCTAAAGGAAAGGCATTGTTTCTCTCAAATCAAAATCAAATGGTTGAGGGTGACTGCCCTTTGAAATCCTTGAAATGTAGTGAATGTAGACAAAAAGTAAATTGCTTTTTTTTTTTGCCTCTCTCAACCTCTCTTTTTTCCTGGAATTCTTACTAACGTTTCCTGTTATACTTTTTGTTGATGTAGCATCAGTTTTAAACAGACAAGGCCACAGAAAAAACAAGACACTTTGAATACTTGAATTCCAACAAACCGGTCGAACTGGGTTTTCTATTGGCGATGCAACTCTTCTGTGAACACTTGAAGGGTTGCTTGGAATGTTTTAGAATTTAAGTATTTTGTGATCGCTTCTACTGATGCTAACACCTCAATAAAATAAAGTTCATTACCTCCCATCTGAAAGCAATAGGTTCCTTTAAGAAATCTAAGTTGGTTATCAATTGACTCACCGTAACCTTCCATTTGTTCATAAATAATGAGTTGTTGATTCTTATTTTAGCATGATCTTGATCTAATCATACAATATTATTCTTCCCCAAGTGGTTTGCTACTGTTTGCTTGCAGAGTTTGTGTACTAAACTCTCACATTGAAAGTCACATTTGTATTAATTATGTCTGTTTTCTTTCTGCCCATTGCTATCATCTGACAGAATGCACCAAACAGCCCCTCAGCAGCAGACGGCTCATCCACCAGCAGCCGCTTCAAACTCGATGTTCTGAAGAATAAAGCCCGCACCTCCCTCACCAGCTCCCTGGAGAACATTTTTGCAAGGGTGGGTCACAAAAGAGAGTTTATTTTATACCACTTCTTCTTTTCTGCCCCCGCCACATTCTAAATGTAATCCCTCACTGTCCCCAGACAGAATTTAACCCCTGTGCTTTGTACCTTTTATGTGTCTCTCTGCACTCTCAGTTTATGTGTCATTGTCATCCAGGGGATTTGGATTGACCCATATCTGCCAGTGAGACAGCAGAATAATTCCTTAGTAGCAGGATCCAGGCAATCTTAGGCAAACCTCTGCTGCCATCTGTTATTGTCTTAGAGATTTAGCTGAACAGTGAGCCTATAATTGTTAAATTACGGAAGTCAGGAAATGTTCCTAGCTAATTTAGATTTTCTGATTAATTTGTCCCATGTTTTACTACATTTTTGACATTACATTCACAACTATTGACTTGAGCAATTTTACTTGTGAAAAAAGGTTGTGTTTACATGGTTTTCATTTATATATATCTTTTGTTTTTAAACCTGTTCAGGGTGCCAGCCGGATGCGGGGCCGTTTGGGGAGCATGGGAAGCCTCAGCAGTTTTGAAAGGGTAAGTGACCTTGAGGGAGAACACGAGAATTCCCAGAACTTCGCTCCAGGGACTCTGGGAATTCTCACTTTTAACCCAGTGGCCCAGTGGTCCTTCTCAGAAAATAACAAGTGAGATAGCCATGCTTTCACTTTGATCAATGTCACGTGGCGACATTATTCTGCTCTGCATTATTCCCACAAAGTGTCATGATGCAGCTGCTTTGGCCTTAAGTCAGAAGAATACAGCAGGGAGTGTGTGTACAGAGCTGTCAGGGAACCATTTGGTGTTGTTGGTTCCACTCTGTCACTGCTCTGCAGAATGTGAAGTGAGTGTGTGATGTAGTCCCCCTGACTCCCCATCAGTCATCATGTAGTGAAGAGCACTCCACCGATTCTAGCATTGCACTCCTGAAACATTGTCTGACTTACCAAGTCAGACAATGTTTCAGGAGTGCAATGCAGGGCAGCTTAAAAGAAACATGATCAAAATCAATGCAGCAGATCCAAAGATATTGTCTCTTTTTGTTCCACACACACATCTTCCTTATAAAAAAATATGCCTACATTGCCCATAATGCAATTGTGATGACGTAGACATTAGCTGTTGACCTAAAGTCATTTTATGTAAAGCGTCATTAAGCATTAGGAACAGCGCTATAACAATAGCATGTCATATTATTATTATTAGGGCCTGAGCTCGACTGAGTCGGAGCGAAGATTGAAATCCTTGTGATTATTTTTCTTTTTATTATTATTATTTTTCTCTACATAATTTACTATCTCTTTCTCTGATGTTTTCGACATACTATACTATGTTGTTCTTTTTAGAATGTACAGACTGTTCTAGGTCATTATTTTTTTACATTATTTGACATGCATACTATGTCGTTTTTTTGCATATTTCCATACTATGTCGTTTTTTGCATATTTTCAACATACTATACTATGTGGTATTCTTTCTCATATTTTAGACATACTATACTATTAGGTTTTTTTCTGAGATTACCGACTTACTAGACCAGGAGTCGGCAACCTTTTTGATATGAAGTGCCATTCTAAAAAAAAATGTTTTATCAGCGTGCCGACGATCGTGAATTATCAACGGGGGGGGGTGTTGAAGAGCTCGACGAAAACACTCGTGAAAAGTGATGTTTAAAACTCAGTTAATGGGGCTCATTCACTGGCGCTTCCACAAACAACAACAAACATAATTGTTACATTCAAATGAAGTAGCCTACATTATTCAAGTTTACATTAACTTTGGATAATAACACGGGAGAAATGAGCGGAAGCGCTCTCTTTTCCTCTCTCCCCCTCTCCCTCTCTCTCTCTCTCCTGACAGCCTGTCAGTATCTCATGCAGCTCACTGATCCAGTAATGAGTGACAGTGAAGAATAAATATATTTATAACTAGTTCCAAAGGTAGATCAAATAGCTAAGTGTGTTAGGTCTAACTCTTGTGTGTTCTGCTCCGCTCACCGGTCCGTCACAGCGGGTGGAGCTGCAGAATTTCTGCTTCACACACGTTGCATACCGCTATTTTATTGTCTTTTTCGGACACCTTAAAATACTGCCATACTGGTGAAGCGATTTTGGCGAGCTTGTTTTGCCGCACACAGAGAAAAGTGTCATGTATGTTACGTCTCGCGATCGGCCTTTTTGAGTGGGGCTGCGTTGCGTGCATGGCTTCCTTCTGCAGGTAACGGGGAGACGCGCTCTGGCGGCGGTCTCATTCAGGATCCGAAAATAAAATAAATATTTTGTACACTTATTCCACTTATTCCTAGTGTGCTACTGGTTACGGTGCCGCGTGCCATTGGTGGCACGCGTGCCAGGGGTTGCCGACCCCTGTACTAGACTGTCGTTTTTTCGCACATTTTCGACATTCTTTTTTTCTATTTTTTGTGTGTGTTTGTTTGTGTGCGTGTATATGTTATTGGTTGTGTGTCTGCATTAGTGTGTCAGTGTGTGTAGGTGTCTGAGAGTGTGTAGGTGTGTGAGAGTGTGTGTGTGTGGGAGTGTGTGTGAATGTGTGTATGTTTCTGTGTGTACGTGTGTGTCAGTGTGTGTTTTTGTTTCCAAACTTGTAATCAGACCCATGAAGCCGACTCAAGTAACATCACTTGAGCCCATTCTTTGATTTCACATAGCTCCCTCCCTCGGGCAACAAAAGGCTTTTTTTCACATGTGCAATAGTTATCCCCATTACCTGCAAATAGACCTTGATGTGTAAAATCGGTGAAGTTGTACTTAACACACAGAGATATGAAATGGACCCTCCACATAGCTGTCATACAGCTCACTTTGCCTCTTCTATAATCATGCCATGTCAGATTTATATGAAATATGTAACATCAGATTAGGGGAAATGATTTACAGCAGCCTTCAAATCGCAGCGCCAAGTGATGGGATTTTATTAATAAACTGCCAAATCTGACTTACTATCACCAAATCAACCAATACTTGCTGTTGTAAATGTATGAGGGCCAAGTATAAGTCCTTTCATAATCATATTGTGTTTTATAGATATCATTCTGTTGTTATTCAATAAAAAAGATGTGACAACATGACATGTGTTTATATCTTTTATGTATAAGGACAATCTGGTGTCTGTGCTTTCAAAGCTCCCCTGAGCCCCTCTATTGTTATATTAGTGATGTTCTTTGGCATGTTGTTTGCCTTCTGATAATGTGTAAAAGTACTCATCTGGGGATTGTGTCAGGATGCCAAAACCAAGCAGGAAATTCTAGTCAGGATGTCCAGTTGTGCTGCGCCATGCCGGCCTTGGCTTCCTATTTTCTTAGCCCTCTCATAGGACACGGCTCTAAACAGACATTGATCCACTGAGCCACTTTATCTCCCCAGTGCTTCCTAAAATCTACTAATCACAGTTAAGCTGACATTGACATTTAGCATGATTTACCTTGTGATTAGCAGTGCAAGGTCGTTTGAGTGGGTGGCAAAAACTCTTGTAGACCTTGCATGCCTTGTTTTTCTATGTATTTTGAAAAAGCAGAACAAATATTGCTGAATTTCCCCTGTCATGTCAGATCTTACAGAGGGAGGTCTGTAAAAGCATGAAGGGAGGCTATTGGAAGGTTTTCATGAGGCTTTGAGCCACTGAGGTCCTCCCCACCAATAGTGTGCGACGCTGTGAGTCACAGGACTGTGTCCATTAGAATACAATAGATGGTGGGAGTTGTATTGCATGAGGCAACACTGAGTAAAAGAGTGTTGAGTGGAAAGTTAAACATGGAACAAGTCTTGCTTTGGGGTAACGTTGGCTAGGTGAGTGCAGACCTGCAACTTGAGTAATGAGGTGGTGTTTTATTTGTCTGTGGGCCTCTGGGGTAGAGTTACTAGCTTAGCATGGTTTGACTTCCAAAGACATTCAGTGTGATTACTCTTTGGATTTGCCTGCTTATATGAAGGGTGATTGACCTATGTACTGAAGCTCTAATGAGTATTTAGAGGAAACAGTCATTATTCAGCATTGTTGCTCCCTGTTATAAAGTCAGATATGTCAGAAAATCCAACCATGATAAAACTGCCAGATATGAAATGTCATAAATGTACATTACTATGCAAGTTTTTTACTCACGCACTGACATCTTTCTCTGTTTTACCTTCTTCCTCCTCAGCAGGATGAGGAATCTCCAGGTCATTCCCCTCCAGGTTCCCCTCCTGCTTTCCCTGAAGACGACCCGGATGCTGGTCAGTTCCGTCCACGTGCCCACACCTTCAGCCATCCACCTGTGAAGAAACGCATCTCCTTCGAGGGCCAGCTGAGCAGCCAGAGACAGGCTCCACTGCGCAGACAGCAGTCTGTTAACCCAGAGCTGCTGCAGAGCAGGTAACGTACTCTGCAACCATCAGGCACTGCACTCTGAGTCTGAACCTGTGGAATAAAGGAATGATCAATGCAGAATATAGATGTCTTATGCTCAGTGAATTGAACTGAACTCTGTAGGAGTTTGTGTTTTCTTTAAACATATGGCTGACTTTGCTTTAAAAGGCAGAACCTTTCGCTTCTCTATAATCAGTTTAACACTAACCAAATATTTATTTAACCTTGATGTTCACACAGACAATGTAATCATTTTGCAGCGCTTTGATCAGTCCTATATCTCTCCACCTCCTGCTCCACTATCCTTGAACAATAGCATCACCAGTTTCCTGTCAATGTTTTGATTGCTCACGTGTTCCTCAGTGTTTTTCTGTTTGGTTGTGTTTTTGAATTTTTTCATTTGTGGGCATTTGATGTTTTGCTCGCCTAGTCCCGGGGCGGTCTCGAGAACGCGCAGCGTTTCGGAGAGCGAGTCCACCTTCAGCCTCCCCTCCTCCTTCTCCGCCCCCACTTTCCTGAAAAGCATTTACCAGGGCTCACTGGGCTCCCTGAGCTCCCTGGCAGACAGTGGGAGTCTAAAGAGGTGAGAGGGGGTGCGCAGACGACCCCCCCCAAACTCCTCGACCAGGGTGGGGATGAGATGGGTGGGGGGGGGGGGGGCAAACCGCTCTTTGCTGGGATGGCAGTAGCCATGTACATGTTGGCTGGACAAACCTTTTAACAACTAGCTTTTTCGTCCCTATATCTTTTATACTTTTTCCTGTCTACCCGCAGCAAACGTTTTATTAATAAGGAAAATACTTTCCAGCTGTTTCCATTTTTCCATCATATCTGCAGCTGGTCCAATCCTCTTCCTATTGCTCTCAGAAGTTGAAGGGGATGCTGGTACACCCTTCTCTTTGGCATTTGCATGTGAATGATGCTTTTGCACGGCAAAACTGGATTTAACCTGGGTTTTTTGCCTATATTAACCGCACTTCACCTTTCCTGACCAATGTGATGCCTTAGGAACTCAAAGCATCATGCCTACTTATTTAATTGATGTATTTATTTTTAAAAGTTGCTTTTAATGTTAAGCTGCACCAATTTATCATCTAATGTCTAAGAAAGTGGGACATACCGCTGTGCGCCTGAGTGTCTCCTTTCAGCACGCTCTGTTAGGTGTGTGGATGGCAGAAAGTAAAGGTTAACATTTCCATTATGAATGAGACTCAGCGGAGCAGACGGTGTAAAATGTCATTTCCACGCAATGTTTTTCTCCTCTGACAGCGGCCCAATCCTCTGAGCACATTTGCACAAGGATCATGTTGCCTCTGATGATAAATAATAGTAGGTTTAAAAGTCAACTTATTGAAAAGCCTCCACCTGCTGTGCATATACATCTGAATATGCCAACATATTCACAGCTAGGTCCGCACTATCTGTTGCACTGTGAGATAAGGTGCTGTCTTTTTGTGACTTCTTTATGACTTTACAGGCAGCAAAACATAACAAGAGGTAATATGTCAAGTGAAAATCTTTAAAAGAGGTTATTTGCAGAACAACTGTTAGAGTAGAGTCATGGTCTCATGTTGACATTACAGCTCTCAATAGAGGTCACTTCCTGTTTTTCATACCCACATGATAAACTGGCACTTGCTGGTATGCTGACAAGCTTATAAACTACAGTAACTATCAAGTGATCTTCAACAACTTAGTTAAAAAGCTTGATTCTCTACTGGAGGAAAACTGTTATTTAAACTAGTCATTCATGAAATGTCATCAGTGCTTGCAATTTATTTTTGCGGGCAGAAATTCTAAACATATAACATGTAATTTCACTGGTGCTCATAAACTGCAATGCAGAATGCACTGATATAAAATAATCATAACAACAATAAGACGGTTATCTGCAAGAGAAAACAAAACATGATGAAAATGGTTTAGCAACCTTTACATTTCAGATATTAAATTAATATGTAATCTGATCTAATTGAATGCAGCCTAAGTATTTAAATAAATCAACCTAGCCTGCAAGTGAACGTAGACACTGTCATTGCTTTTTGCTGCTATTTTACAAATGATGTTGTAAATGTGGAAGCAAAATAGGCTGTGCTCCATTTCACCTTCCTCCCATGCTCATATGTTTATTTCTATATGACCATGCACTTTATTTTGGTTGCCAAAATGGGGCCGGCAAAATCACCTGCAAAGTTTGCAGCACATGGTTGTATTGTTGGTGTGAATTCCATGGCCTGGATATTATGATTAAACTTTAAACCTAGTATTAAACAGTGAACATGACATTAGTCATGCTTCTCAGTAATCATGTTTTCTTCTTCACTAACAAAAGCAACTTCTCTTCCAGGAAATGAAAAAACAAGCATCCCTCTAGCTCAGCTGTGGCTGTTTCTGTGGCTGCTGTTTTTTGTCCTTCTGCATAACAACCTTTTGCCTTTGTACATTGGTATCGAGTCAGTGTCTGGTACATGTTTTTAATCCGTTTTTTTTAAGGTTCACACTGACACTTTGTCATCATTTCAGTGAGTTTGTTTATGGGAAGGTTGTATGAGCCAAGAGGTGTGTGTGTTTGTGGACTCAAGGATGTGTATGTGCCTGCATTGGTAAAAGTAGCTGAAAGAGTGTTTGTGCAAGATGATACGTGAGTCATTTATCGGGTGTCTGTGACGCTGCCGTCTTCTCTCGTAGCAATGGGGAAGGCAGGAAGAGGACCCTGTCTGCCTGCAGCAATGACTCAGTGAGCGGAGCCCTCCCTCCGACCCCACGCAGGGTCTCCTGGAGACAGAAGATCTTCCTGAGGGTCGCATCGCCCATGAACAAGCCGCCCGCATCGATGCAGCACCCAGGTCTGGTAACACAGTCCCTCGTGCTCACAGTCACACAATGAGTACTCTCTGAATAATCCACAAGTGCATAGACAATGAGGACAAGGCAGGGTGGACATTTGATTCTTGTGCTATTTTGAAGTTTCTGACTTTAAATTGCATGCATATACGGGGAAAGCAGTAAGAGTTCAAAAGAAAAAAAAGAATTTTCCCACTTGTGGAAATTAACCTTCCTACCTGTTTTTATGTCTAGTTGTCTTGCCTTAAACATTGTTATTTGTTAAATAGAGCTAATGGATTATTTGCAGATGTGGGGCATAATAATATCTTCACAATAAAGCACCACAAACCTGAATAGTACACAGACATAATCATTAGATGTATTGTTCATATAAATACTGAGTCATTTTCTTTCTTTATTTCTTGTTTATTGTACTTTCTGTTGACGTTTTTGGATGTTGTGTTTCAGAGCTGTTGCCTCTCTCTCCTTCTGGTTTTGACTTGAGTCTGGATCCTTTGGGCCGTCTGCTGCCAGGGGCCAGGGACCCCATTACCGGGGAGAAGCCTAAGAAGACGGGGGCTGACTACCGGGCCCTCTGGAAGACCGCCATCCATCAGCAGATCTTGCTGCTGCGCATGGAGAAGGAGAACCAGAGGCTAGAGGGTTAGTACATTTACCAATGTGCACATAAAGTATGATAATCGCCCTAGAACAAACCCTTCCTCTGGCATGACGAATGTGCAGAACACGATGTCTGTAGAGATACTGCTGCCATATCATTCAGCACCTCATGATGATTCGTGTATTTGTTTCTTTGCAGACACTGGTGGTATTTATAATGTATCATGGGGCTGATCTAGCTCAAATTGGCTTACACTGAGTCCTATTGTTAAGGTTGCTCAGATATTTATTGGGGAATTTTTCTACTCAAACGCGAGGGGTTAAAATGGAGGTTGTTTCAAAGATTGTAAAGCCCCCTGAGGCAGGTTATGATGCTGGGTTATACAAATAAAATTGGCTCTACTTGACTTCTGTATTCAAAACAGTGGTCATCACGTCCCTTTTACCAACCTCTCATGAAATTGTGACACCCTCATCACACGCTTTTAAACAGAAAGACTTGTTCCTAAGCGCTATGAGTGTGGACAGGGCTAGGCTAACCCTTACGCTGTCATTTAGTTTATTTTGAGAAGTGAAATGTTCTGGCGCACAGCTATATTCAGAGCAAAATGTTTTGGTGTTGCCCGCGCACACACACGCACACGCACACGCACACACATGCAGATATGCTTAACTACTAAAACTCTCAGTAGGTTAGAGTTCATGCATGAGCATCAGCAAGGGTTACAGCATTTGGACATAGCATTTGGAAATACCGCCCTCTGCTGGCCGAGGTTATTTAGGGTGTATGCCAAAGTTTATTTTAGCACTCCCTTTTTTTCCCCACCTTATACAAACACTATAAACAGGGAGTTAACAATCACGAGCAGGACTGAAGAGAGTGAAGAAGAGGAAGTGCAGGCCATTTTGGATGTATAAAAAATGCATATTTACATTAAAGGGGACCTATCATGCAAAATGCACTTTTGTACGTCTTTTATACATGAATATGTGTCCCCGGTGTTCCAGGGAACTCACCAAGTGTCAGAAAACACAACCCTCTCTATTTTCCTCCATACCCAAATCTCTAAAAAAAGGGGCTGCAACGGATCTGATAAAAACTGATCCAGATTTGAACACTGTCCTGACGTCAGGACGGTGGTGCTACGGCTATTGGGCCAACTCCACCAATCAGGAGGAGACAGCCACGGACATTGCCGTTCGAAAGCGCTGGAGACTCTGTAGTACATATGCCAGGCCTGTAGGTGGTGCTGTTCTCACAGAATCTGCCATTGCTAAAACAGAGCTAGAAATTGTCAAATTGAGCAAAATGAGGCATGGCTAAAATGCATGATCTGTTTGGTATTTTGAAAAAGAAAAAGTATAAATATGCCTTATATAGGTATGGTCCTACACTATATTATTCAAATATAGCATGATAGGTCCACTTTAAATGAAAGAGAACCCATCTTTGATGTTTTTTGAAACTAATTTAAAGTTCAAACTATGGATATCAGAACAGCATTAGCGTCAGTACAAGTATACAAATAATTATATTATATAAAATTATACCAACACATCTCTTTCCCTTTGTTTGTTACTATGACACCAATGCTGGTCTGAGGACCTAACTGTGAATAACCGTTTTCAATAGAAGGTAAGAGATACAAAGCAGCCATTGGGATCACGCTGATAGATGTTTTGCATGATTTCAGGTGTTGGTTATTGTATTCATTCAACTCAGAATCTTTTGTTTGCATGATCAGGGACGATCATTCTCTTACAGTGTTTTTGTTTCTTTTGTCCGCTGTACCTCAACCCACTACCTTGATGTAGTCTCTCCAGCATAATAAAATGGGTCTTTGGTGTTAATGTTGGTATTGTGGCTTGTGTGTATGTGGTAGGCTTTCAATGGTTACTGGTGACAAAAGATGTTAATGGCCCTATCAAATCTGACATCTTTTAATCAGAAATATCTTGTTGTACAAAAGCAAAAAAGAAGGCTTTATCCACCACCCTGCTTTTGCTGGCATTTGGTCTCGATTTTCTGATGCGAGAAGAGAATCTTGATTGACAGAAATGATGTTGAATTTGTTATTTTGTCTCTTTTTATCATGGTGATTGTGCTGCAGCAAGCCGGGATGAATTGCACATTCGCAAGATGAAGCTGAACTACCAGGAAGTGGGCCAGTGCTCCAAAGAAGCGCAGGCATTGTGGGAGAGAAAACTGACAGCCCCGGGCAGAACAACAGTCCCACAAGACAAGGAGGAGCTGTATCGTGCACTCTGCCAAGGTGAGGGATGCATGTATGTTTTTGTGTGTAAGACTGTGGGAGTATGTGGTCATGAAGACATGCTCATGTATATGTGTATCTGGTCAAATACAGCACCATTTTCTCTTCCGCAGGTGTTCCCAAGAGCAGGCGAGGGGAGGTGTGGTTGCTCCTTTCCCATCAGCGCCGGCTGCGTCACAGGCTGCCTCAGCGTCAGCAGGCTCTGGACATCCCATACCAGGACCTGCTGAAGCAGCTCACTGCACAGCAGCACTCTATTCTGGTGGATCTAGGTGTGCACAAATATTCAAAAGGGCTGCCAAAAGTCACAGAGAGCCAAAAAGACGTCATGGATTTGATTTGCCTGGTTTATATATATATTGCATGGGGAAATTATTTATACATTAAGGCAGCGGTTCCAAACCTGGGAAGGCATTGCAAGTGGGCCGCCAAATAATTTGCAAAACATTATGATTTGTGTGGAAACATTTTAATTATTAAAAAAGCGTTTTATTTGAACCTCCTTTCCTTTCTCTTTCTCAATCCTCCTTAGCAACGGTCATTACAGTCTTTGACAGCGGTCTGTACTACTGGATTTACAACGTGTCACATGTTCTGAATTGACCATCAGAACTTTATTTAGCCTCCGTATTGTTTATGGTTGAATGTGGGCCACGAACATTTTTTGATTCTGAAGTGGGCCCTGAGTTGAAAAAGGCTGCATTAAGGCATTTCTGGAGAGCTTCTTGCTTCTCTATAATTACACGCTATTAGTATTATTTTGAGTAGTTGATGTTGTGGTAGTATTAGATCAGTTGTTCTTTTTTCAGAATTATGTAAACATAGGCCATTTAAAAAGAATGCAAAATTATCCCTATGCTTCTGTTATGTTGAAAGCTTAAAAAAAACAATGAAAATGTAATAATTCAGATGTAAATCTTATCTATTCCTCCCTGTTTAGGCCGGACCTTCCCCAACCACCAGTACTTCTCAGCGCAGCTCGGCGCAGGGCAGCTTTCCCTCTACAACCTCCTGAAAGCCTATTCTCTGCTGGATACAGAGGTACATACTGTTATCCTGTTTCTTTTCTCCACAGTGCATCACTGTAATGCCACAGCGGGCTGAAGGTCATGACATTGGTGGTAAATATTGTGTTCTCTATTTACTGTGCCACACAGGTTGGCTACTGCCAGGGTATCAGCTTTGTGGCTGGAGTGCTGCTGCTTCACATGAGCGAGGAACAGGCCTTTGACATGCTGAAGTACTTCATGTATGACCTGGGCATCAGGCAGCAGTTCAGACCGGACATGGTCTCTCTGCAGGTCAGTACAGGAACGGGTGGAACATGTCATTGGAATATAAGGAACGTCTTACCATGTGGTAGCGGTATTAACTTCAGAATAGTTTATATTTATTTCCTGTAAGATCAGTGAGGGATCAGCTTTAGACATAATTACCTGTTGTGCCAACATTCAATTTCCAAAAGTGTCAAATTAGAGCCGAGTTACTACTTTTTCTAGACGTTTAAATTAGGTGGTGTTCAATTGAACATTTGGTAAATTAAACTAGCTCAACAAAAAAGCCACTATGAAAATAATTTAGCTTTTTTGGTGTTTCCACTGGTAATATAGAACATTTTAATTTAAGCTTTGATTTAAGTATTATAATTTGGAAATTAAAAGAGCTTTAATTTTACACAAACTGGCTATAAATATACATTCCATAACATATGTACAGTACGTGTCTAGTCTATTGGAAAATGTGTGTAAGTAACAAGCACACTAGACTTTAACGTTCATGTTCGAGCTGGCCTTACCTGCAGTAAAAGGCCTTGTGTGGGTTTTGAGTAAACACCAGCAAACAGTAGTAAAGTGTCTCCACCTCTTACTCAGACCACACCTGCATGCCTGTTGGCTTCTGTTAAACATCAGCTGACTTCACGAGAGCATCAGCAGGCGTGGTAATGTTTAATCTGCATCAGGTAACTTTGTAGCCAAGCAGCCCTCTGCGTTCTCCCTACACAGCAGTTCTCTTCTTTTAAGACTAATCCAAAGGTTGTAAAGCAAAGAGGAACTCATTTTCTCTGTGCAGCTGCTCAGCTCGAGGAGGTAAGAAGGTATTACTTGTCTTCTTTGTAACGGTCAGGATATTGTAAGACTGATAACGGTGTAATTTTAGCTTGAGCTAACTTCTGCTTCTCTTTTCTGACTGCTGTGCTTTTCACTGTAGCACTTGTCAGGATCACTGTGATACATTGTTGAAGAGTTTGTACTGTACAGCTCTTTTAAGGCTTGGCCTTCATACGTGTCTGAACAAGTGTGTAAGACGACACTCATAATACTTAAGGAGCTTTCAGCTTGGGTAAATGTTCACTTGCTTGCTGATTTTTCTCAGATCTATTTGTGGTACTCAGCAGATCCAGATAAACCAGTTTGTTCTGCACAGAGTGTTTTCCCTGTCTGTTTATAATGTGTTAAATGTGTGTGTTTATACCTGTGCGCACTGTCTGTGTTATCCCAGGTTCAGATGTACCAGCTCTCCAGGCTGTTGCACGACTACCATCGCGAGTTGTACAATCACTTTGAAGAGCACGAGATCTGCCCCAGCCTCTACGCAGCACCGTGGTTCCTCACTCTCTTCGCCTCACAGTTCCCCCTCAACTTTGTGTCCCGCGTCTTTGGTATATATTATTAGAATAATGGCCCCTGTCATTTTAAATGTTGAAGAGGATGACCTTTAAACAGCCACTTAATGCAGCTTAAAGGATAAGTGTGTTTAAACATTTGGTGTTTTTTTAATGCTGTGTTTGTTTTGTATTTTCAGATTTTGTATTTGTCCAAGGGACCGGGGTGATCTTTAAGGTGGCCCTCTGTCTGCTGGGCAGCCATGAGGGGGAGATAGTGGAGTGTGATAGCTTTGAGAGCATTGTGGACTTTCTGAAAACTACACTTCCTGCTCTCACTCAGACACAAATGGAGCAGACCATGGCAAAGGTACAATGTGTGATGTTGACAGTTCCAAGTTTCCAGAAAGTTGTCTCAATGACGCAATTTAATACTCTGGCATTCGTGGCCACTTTACCCACGTTTACCTGCATTGTAGTGGTCAGGCAACAGGTTTTTCAATCCTGAAATCCTCACATTGTAAGACACATTCTTAGATACATCTGGATAAGAAACCAAATCAAAAATACATATTTAAAAAGTGGCTTTTAAAACAAAATACATGTAATATTTTCTTTGTTGCCATTTTTAACCTTATTGACGAACACATGTTACTGGTTGTTTGCTAGGTAATGGAGATAGACATCTCCAAGCAGCTGCATGCATACGAGGTGGAGTACCATGTCCTGCAGGATGAGATGTTGGAGTCCGGCACGCTGCCTGATGACTCTGACCGGCTCGACAAACTAGAGAAGACAAATGTGCAGTTGAAGAAACAGAACATGGAGCTGCTGGAAAAACTTCAGGTAAGCAAGCGAATAGCCACACTGCTTCATTATTCCCTCTCATCTTGAGCAGTCGGAATACAATTGGGACATATATCAAATGCTTGGTATAAAATGTGTAAGGATATTCATTATTGTAATGCTTAATCATTGATGGAACTCACTGTCATAAATGTTTAAAGATCCACCCTGATAGTGCCTCAGATGACCAATAGATGGCACTAAAACACAAGTTAAACTCAATGAAAATGATAGCAAGACAAAGAGACTCAACGCTACAGTATGTTCTCCAAATGCTCTTAACATTTTGACAAGTAGTTTGTGAATCTGTGAAGCCGGACTGGTAAAGTCCAGCCTGATGGTCCTCATATTAATGAGGGTCAAAGAGGGATTGTACGGCTCTCATATCTGATGTGACAGAGGAAAAGGTGCAGACTCTTATACTTATGGTTTAAGAGAACTGTTAGTTAAACACAAACAAGTGTATAACAGAAAGCTTGGAGTCTGTATGAACTACAATCATATTTCATTGCACTTTAGTTGATATTTTGTTCTACGGTCCTGGTTTAAAAGTCAAACTAGTGCTGACTCTTGTGGAGTTCTCAGAGTGTGTAGCTGCTTCACTTTTTGTTAACCCTCCGCCCAAATGTCTGTGCTTGTGGTGTGCCTTGTATTTACTGATGTCTCCGTCCTCCAGGCTGCACGGCAGAAGATTCAGACACTGGAGACGAGCGTAGAGAACTTCCTTTCTCGAGAGAGCAAAATGAAGCACATGATTCGCTCTCTGGAGCAGGAGAGGGCATCTCACCAGAAGACCATTGAACGCATGCGCTCATGCCTTCCCCCTGACGCCCTGACAGATGTGGAGATGACCCAGATCAAAACAGGACCCAACGGGAAAGCCAAAACTGCAGCCAAGAAACCCTGATGGCAACCAGGGGGCTGCTGCTGCTGTGGGCAGATGCACAGGCAGAGACTGAAGTGAACAAATGCAGTGGAAATGTAGTGCAAGGCTGCTGAGCTTCACAGCTATTGTTGAACTGCTGTAAGAGTAGCAGGCTTTTGTAAATGTGTGTCTGGACGTGCAGTATGGGAAATATCTTCATGGTATTTGTCAGCATATAATAGAGCAGTGGGAGGATGGTTTCATTTATACTAGCAGACAGACTTTTCCATCAAAGCGTCTCATCTGTTTCACTGCCGGTTTGGTATCAACATGCACACCACCCTTTTCTTATTCAGATATTTTTGGCAATCACCGGGGAATTCATTAGATTGACGTGAGAAATCTTTTTTAGCACTGCCTTGATGTATTTACTATCAACCTAAGTAGCACCGCAGAAGCAGTAAGCAGAAGTTGCCTGGAGACAAACAATGTTTTGGACCTCAGGTTTAACTTTTAGCCATTAGCGGTGTGTATCATGGAGTTGATGCCCTGTTGTTTCTGATCTTGTGTCTGTGATGGAAACTCTGCCAGTTATCACAGTGCTTTGTCATTTCCTTGTATTCTCTCAAATGTGTGAATGTAATTTCCCTCCAAAGATACTTTTGATAACATTCTGTTTCTTACAACAGAGAGTGCAAATCTGCAATATTAGGCTTTACATTTCAGACATACTGTATATGGTATGTTTCTCAGCCGTGAGAGATCTTTAGTTCTTCTTGCTGCTTTAAAGGAGGAAGTGTTTCTTCCAAAGCTCAGGCAGGATGTGAGGTCGTCTGCCTTCTCAGTTTCCTGTGTGACTGACCGCGGTGTCGCCTCGTTTTAGAAACACGTTCAGACACTGAGGCAGAGTTCACGCTCCCAGGAGGCACAGAAAAACAGACCACGGTGGAGGAGTGGTCTCGATGTACATCACAAGCTTCTCTTCTAAATGTCTGTACGAAATGTTGTGCTCAGGCTGAAGTTTGACAAAACTAGCAACACTCCTCCGTAGTTCTTGAAGCTGGGTCTAAAAGGAGCTATTGTTGCTTGGCTCAAGATTTCATGACAACACATATCTGCAGTTGCATTGCTGTTGTTCACATGCCCAGTTTTATGTTTGCAGTGAAACTGAAATGTTTATGTCAGTAGAGGGGCCACACAGGAAATAAGAACTTAATGCCAGTTTCATTTTGAGTGTGGACAAGTCTCTCCTGATACTTGGCATTATAAACAGTATATGTACACACACTTGCATATACACACACACAATGTGCAGTGAGCTGTCTGACTGTATGGGCAGACAGTTCAAATGAGCACAAAGAGTGTCCTTGGCTCTCTCCTCAGTTTTGTTTTATCCCACCTCCACGTCTGACTCACCATTGCCATTTCTGATTGCAAGCAAAACAGTCCTGGGCTCGGCTTCGCTTTCATAAAACACCTTTACATTGAAACCAAGGTGATGTTTATCAAGTGAAAAGCACTTGCTAACAGTGTCTTCCTGTCCTTGGTTGTTTTGGGGAAACATTTGTGTCTGTTTCATTATAAAGTTTTTACTTTCACATTGAAGTCCAAGCAGACTTGTTCTTTGGCATACAATGCAATATGTGTATGTGAAGCAATCCTGTGTGTTTGCATATACTCAGAGCACTTGTTTACTTGCGCTAATTGACAGGAGCAACAGTTATTCACAAATAGTTTGTGGATAAATCCGTCCAGACACTCTTTGTCATGGTGTCTTGTGGTAATTGAGGTGAAGTTGTAAAGGTTTACACCAAATATCTCATACATATAAGAAATCACCTCTGAAAAGCAGGGGTTCTCTCAACAGTTCAGAAAGTAAAACATACCAAACATCTCTTTTTGAAATTTGTCAAAGGGTATGGATGCTGTCTGACAGCTTTATGGCTTTCCTTCCTCTTTTTGCCTGTAGTCCACTCATCTTCAGTATTTGTGCATAACATAAGTTGACTGTTGAACCAAAGAAGTGGTTGCTTTTCAAAAATGTATGAATGCAAAATGAATGACTTTATCCAAAATGCTGTGATGTATCATGTATGCTTATGTTTTGTCACTACATCTTTTCAGCTTTCTTTAAAGGTGGGGTAGGTAAGTTTGAGAAACCGGCTCGAGATACACTTTTTGTTATATTCCATGGAATGCTCTTAACATCCCGATAGCAATGAATATCTTAAATGCTTTGACAAAAAATCCATTAAAAAATGTCATCTGTGGAAGCCGTAATACTGTAAAAAGCACGACCAATCATTTTAGCCGGCCCGGCTAAAATAACTGGATGGCCTACCTGCCTGACAGCCTTCCATCTGTGCACAAACTTATCTCGTGCCCTCATTGGTCATGTGCGCGTTTGTGTGTGTTGGAGGAGGGGCTCTGTAAGGAAGTGGCAGATTTGTTCCGGCTGTGTATTTTCAAAGCGCACTCGAGCTGGTTTCTCCAAAATTACCTACCCCACCTTTAAGTTTGTTCTAGGACAAAAGCTTGAAAAAATACCAAAATATAGCAGTAAAAACTTGACCCTGGAAAAAAAAGAGACCATTGGCAGATTTGTTTACACATCATTTTCATTGTATTCCTTCGTGCCAAAAGTAGATAATGGCCTTTACTCTCCATTAATCGGAGATAAGAGACCATTATTTTATATCAGGTGCTCAGACTCCTGACTACTACATAGGTCCTTGTATCACTGTGTTTGAAATCAAAGATATTTAATCATGCTTTTCTGTCAACATGAGGGCTACACAAAAACAAAAGACACTGTCATGATTTCTTCAATAAACACCTTGCCTTGTTTTTGGTCTACTCATGTCTGAATGTCTTTCTGGCCCGGTGAGCTTTCATGTTCCTTTGCTGCTAGGTAGCACTTCAAGTGTTGGATGTAGCCTCAAGCACGAATGGTAACCGTGTGTAGACGTATTATTGCGTAAAAGGCCAAGGTAGGCTTAGACAGTTATAGAGAGTCTATTTAAAGGCCTTTTCAAGAGTTGTACTTTTGTTAACGCCTTGGGCAAAGAGAACTAAGGTCTCCAGTGTGGAGAGAAATCCTGTGAAATGGTACCCTTTACAGAGTCTTTAACACATTCAACCACTTGTGCAGTTCTGAATTAGCCATACAGTAGTGAATGAAAACATATCATGCTTGACACCCAACAAAAAGAAAGGGAAAAATTAAGTGTCGTTTCATTTGATTAAATAAAGATAGCTCTTTAATGAAACCACTTTGATGTAGGTCAGTGATTCCCAACCAGGGGTACTTGACTTGACATGTATAGTGATTTCAAGTGTGTGACATTGAGTAAGCGAGGGAGTTGGCAAGTCTCAACGGTAAGCGGAATAGATAGTAACCTAAATGGATAAATCATTAGATGAAAGTATTTGATAAACTGTTAAAAATAGTGAGCTAATATTCATGAATTAATTATTGAAATATAAAAAATTGACTTGATTGAACAAATAAAAAAGGTTTACAGTAAAACATTTCAAAAAGTCATTTAGGCAATGGTAATAAAAGATAAACAGTTGAAATGGTAAGCTAACTTTATAAAAAGTGAAAAAGCTAAATGGCTATAGCAAAAACGAATGGATAAACAGTTGAAAAAGCTAGCTTGTGTTTGCAAAAACATGGCTACTGGATAAACGTGAAAGAAGCTAAGAGTAATACTTTGAAATAGATGGCTAACATTAAAAGTAATGGATAACAAAAAAGTAATGAGTAATTGTTAAAATGGCTAGCTTCACCAATAGGTTTCGGATTTAACCTATTGGTGGCCACAGATGCCTTTTAAGCCCTTTCTTCAATCTGTTGTCCATGAATATGAACCACAGAAGGAGCCCAGCAAGAGCTCCATCAGCTGAGGAGGGGCTTTGAAAGATAGCAGCCATAAGACCAGTCATTGTTTTCCTAGGAGGGTCTTACCCAGAAAGGTCTGTTGAGTGTTGCTCTGATCAGCCTCTGCCAAGCCTGGAGCTTGTCACACATACTGTAAGACACACAAATGACTGCCAACCAGGAGCCTATCGCACACCAAACAAAGGGGGCCACATTCCTTGTGTATTCCCACACGAGGACACATCCTGCAGCAGAGGGGAAGAGTGGGATACTGGAAATCCACCGGGGATTGGCTGAGAACGACACTTCCTCTGCCCAAGGTCTTATCAGCTCTGTTTGTGCTTTTCTTCCTCTCTCTTCGTCTTCACTGTCTTCATCTTTCAGTCCATCTCTACCTCCCACATTGCTTCCCTCTCTCCTCATCCCTCCCATTGGTATTGTGAGGCTGGATCTGAATCTTTGGTACAATATTTACTGTTTTGTGAAGCTTACAGAAGTAAACGTAGAAATGCAAATGTCCAGAGAAGTAAATGGCAGCCTGAAAACTTTAGTTGTCAAACAGACCGAACCACCAGGGTTTGAAATAGGAGTGTTGTGTTAAGGCAGTCCTACAGGATAGGTGTGTGTGTGTGTGTGTGTGTGTGTGTGTGTGTGTGGTGTGTGTGTGTGGTGTGTGTGGTGTGTGTGTGTGTGTGTGTGTGTGTGTGTGTGTGTGTGTGTGTGGTGTGTGTGTGTGTGTGTGTGTGTGTGTGTGTGTGTGTGTGGTGTGTGTGTGTGTGTGTGTGTGTGTGTGTGTGTGTGTGTGTGTGTTTAAGTGTTTAAAGGGCATTAGATCATTGCAGAAAGTGAGCTGACAGTGCTAGCAGGTTGCTGCTCTGAAGGGGTAGAAGAAGGAACATGAAGGAGGAGGAAGAGGAGGGAGGAGGTTAGAAAGGGTCCTTTTTCCTTATATGGGAATTCCTACTGCTCCGCTTGTGGCACAGTCTACAATCTGGAGTTGTTTCAGTAGAAAACACTGGGCTACAGCTGTCAGAACAAAGTATTACAGATCATGGAATATCTATGCAACACCTCACGTTTTTAATTTGCACCGTGGATATCCACAATTCCAATCAATAATGTGGTTCAAAGGCAAATCATTCGAAACTGCAGAACTACATCAGCACTGAACCGGCACTGGGGTTGTAGTTGCAGAAAGAGATTTGGAGTTAGTGAATCTGGAAGATGGAGAAAAGGGCGATGAGGGGGAAGGTTTAGAGGTGGAGAGGGAAACAGCTGGAGGGGTGGGGGAGAGACTCAGGTGGGCTCAGTCTAGTCCAGAGAGACGAATTGGCTCCCTAGAGGCCAGGAACACACACACACACACACACACACACACACACACACACACACACACACACACACACACACACACACACACACACACACACACACACACACATTTCACTGCATCTCATAGTTTAGCTATGCCTTGATTTCTCTCCCCATCTCTCCCCTTATCCCCCTACTTTGCACATACTCCGACTGCTCCAGCTCTTTCAAAGCTCCTTCCTGTCTCTTCCTTCTCTAAAGCTATGCAATAAACTCTTCACTGCGGCAGCCTTGGATTCCAATCACCTATCCACACTGCACAGGCACACACAATCGTGCACATAGACACACAGCACCACCGTCTGACGTGTTTTAGTTAGCATGGTGACAGATTTGCCAGAGTGCTTTTCTCTCTCTGTACCTGTCAGAGATGCAGCTGCCAGAGGGGCTCATGGTAAAAGGCCAGAGAATTTGGCATTAATGAAGCTACTAAAAAAAATAGATCTCAACACACACACTCACACACACACACAGTCTTCCTGTTCCCATGACTAGTCCAGCTCATTCCTCTAGTCCCCTCCATCGGGTGCAGGTAGATCCACTATCACTGCCCGGAGAATCTTGTGATTAATGACACACATGTCATGTCTAAAGCCTCTTCATGTTTTTCCAGCAGGAGCCCCTCTTCCTCTCCTCACCTCCCCCCCCCCCCCCCAGCGGTCTGGCAGACACACTGCTCTCCCCGGGGGCCAGCTGCAGCACATGCTGGGGAGTATCGCCCGGCTTACCTGATCCAATGCTTCATTCATCTGTGTTGCCTCTGGAGGCCCTGGAAAACACACTCAGTATCCTTCGACACACACACACCTGGGAATAACAAATATATGTTGTGTGTGCACAGACATCCACAGACGTGCTGCCCAAACCCTCTATTCCCACTGGCCTCAATATACTCCATGACCGTGCTCACAAACATCTCGGGCTGGGCTGGTGCAAACACACTTTCCAAAACAAGGCCAAAAAAGAGGTGAGGCTCAAACACCGTGAGTAACAAGAAGATCTTATTGAGGCCATCCTCCGCCTAGAGATTCCCGACAAATGTGACTGAAGTCCCAGGTGACTGCGATGATCAGACTAGAGACTTTGCGGCTGAGACCCTTCTAATCACATTATCCACTGGCTCTGCCCGGCCCTCATAACCTCAGCAATGATTAAGACAAACACTTGCGAGAGAGGAGGAGAAAGAAACAGTGAGAGACACAAAGAGAGTGCTGGCAGGCTGGAAGGAGGGGGTGGTCAGACAGACAAGGAGTGAGTCAGACAGGCAGATATCCTCCTACATATAGGTTCGGCCAATAAAAGTGCAAATAATATGTCAAGATCAAGTACGGTACAGACAGTCTTTGAGCTGACTTTATCTGCTTGTGTATTCAGGGTTAAGCCCTGTAAAACCTGATGTCAGCGATAAGGGACTCTCGTGCGAGGTTAGGTTGGAAATGTTCTTCTGACATCATGCAATGTGTGTACGCACATCCTTTGCACAAGGCCACTAAGGGCACAATCACAGAGATGAGGTGGTGGGCAGAGCCTGCATGTTCGTGACTCAGTGCGCTCTGAACACATCCTGACGTCAGCCTCTGGAAACTCGATGAAAGCGAAGTGATTTGTCCAAGCAGAGGCTGCCAGAGGTTTAAGTGTCCACCAGCACTAGCTCCATTTCTAAACCTCCCTGAGCAGCACTGGGTTTTGTTCAAGAAACTCTCCAAGCTCAAGGCAGAGATGATAGGATTTGGTGATTCACAATTCTCCTCCCCTCTTCACCAAGCCACCCAGCTGTTCCTGTGAGCACTGAGTAACACACTGGGTTTTATTATGCTGATCTGACATTGCTGGAGTTGGGAGGGAAGACAGCTGTACTTGTGTGGCCCTGGGCACCCGTCATTAGTGCCAGCCTCACAGCACTCTTGCTCCATCCCTCCCTTGTTCCAGATCTCCCTCCCTCCCTCCATCCCTCCCTCCATCACTCCTACATTGTTTCCAAAACAACACCACACCCTTTGATAATATTCGCTGACCTGATATATGCCCAACGACATTTCCTCCCACCTGTACGTCCTTCTTAACAAGACACTACACCCTCGCACATCTTCACCTCCACACTATGTCGCCAAGATGACACAAAGTAAATCTGCATTGTGCTGCTAAAAGGCTGAGTGCTGGTTGCTTGCCACTCAAGAGTTTTCCTGAATAGATAATTTCCAAATTGATTCAAGCTGGGCTCACATCTAATGGTCTGTGTGGGCTCGTATGTGAACAGGAGATAATCAACACCCTGCGCTTCAAGAGCCCTGTTTGTCAATCATTTATATTTCTATGACTGTGTCTTTCTGCACATACCTCTTTGCCTTCCTTCATTTTTCTCTCAGGATCTCATCATCGCATTTCTACCCGTTCTTTTTCCAGCCCTATAGCTCTCCATCACATTTCTTGTGATACTATCTGTGATACTTAGAGGATGATTTCCCACTGTGCGTCATTAACCTTTTCTCTCTCCTCTATGTTAAACCAAGCGAGAACATTCGGCTGTTTAAGACGCAGGAGACTCTGGGTGCATGCTGCGCTCACTCAAGTGGGATTGGAGTTTCACCACCAT